GACGCATTCAAAATTTGTTGACTGCGGGATGGGGGCCCTGGTCAGAAGAATGGAATCTCTATAGACCACTGCAACTCCGCCTCCCCGCCCTCCGGATCTCGGTTGGTGCTGCACAGAGAAGCCTGGTGGGCAAAGCTGGGTTAAATTTACACCTCCCGCTTCGTCCAACCAGGTCTCTGTGATGCACGCCAGATCTGCCCGTTCATCCAGGATTAAATCCTGGATGAAAGTTGTTTTACCGTTGACAGATCTGGCGTTCAACAGCACCACTTTCAATCCGGAGGGACCGCCATCCTGGTTACACCAACTTGTCATATCAGGAGATATTAATACCTTGATTTGATTGTCTGGATGGCCTGGTTCAAAGTTCTGTACCTATCATTTCCTTCCAATTTATTGATTAAACAATGCAATTTCCTATTCCAGTCTTGTTTTGAATGATTGTTCAGATATTTATTTTTCCTTTGATTGATAAAGTCGTCAATTAAACATTTTAAGAGGTAAGACCACTAGGTTTCTATGTCCCACCTTGTTTTGTCTTTCCAACCTGAGGCAATTGTGGCATGTATGGCAGATATCATAAATTTTAATATTTCTGTCAATTCGTTGTTCCCCTCCTTTACCTCTATAGTGAGGGACAGAAATCAGGCTTTATACCAGTATAGTTTTTGTCCTCTTATTTCCTCTATTACTACTTTGACTTTGTTATAATAGTTTTGGATTTCGATGCAATCCCAACACATATGTGAAAATGTACCAGTCTCCCCACAAATGTTTCCCATAATGTGTACCAATTGTAAGGGGGTTCTATACCATTTTGAGATTATTTTCATTTGCGTATCCTTGATATTTATTTTTTTGAATGTTATCAACCCAGTACCCAACTAAACTATCATCAAAGTTTGTATCTTGCTTCCAAACCTCTTCTAAATTATATTTTGTCTTACAGGATAAAATGTAGATTAATGCCAGCAAAATCTCAAAATCTTTATGAGGATGGCAGCAGAAAGAGCAAAACAGCATGAATAGTGCATTAAATAAACAAGCTTAACAGAAATATTCTCCAGACAGGTAAATATTCTCCACACAGCTATAATGGGAGTTGCAATGACCTCTGCTTTGGTAAACATCACTCTCTGACTCAAATGGGAGAACAGATGAACTATGACTCTCCAGCAGCTTTTAAAGTTGTTTCAAATATTTTGATGGGAGAAATTACTGGACAAATGTTAGCGTTTGGACCTTTTCTTTACAAAAATGATCTAGTTGTGATTAAAAACTACACCCCTTCATGTTAGGCCAATGGGATAGGGTGAAACCTGCCCACATTTCAGTCTACATAACATCTTAAAAGAAATTGGTTCAATATTAAATATTTTCCAACTTCTTGTCTGAAACTTTAATTCCAGTCCAACCTGGCTAGCAAGAGCACCCAGAAGTAGACAAGAAAAGTGGATGGTGAAAGTGGTAAATGTCCTTAGGGGAAGCTGTCCCATAAGCTGTGCTGCTTGGAGTATGAGATAAAGTAGGGAGAATCATCTGATAAAACAAGATGGGAGTCAGCATGGTTGATTATCTTATTCAAGCAAGCTCAGTTTCTAAGCAAATCTAAGGAGATTGCCACACACTTTACACTATCCCTCACTGTTCTTGCAATATGGGACAGTGACAGAGTTACAATCATGATGACGGACAGCCTCAAAAAGCCATTGGCATGGTACAATTTTAACACCTTAGCTGTGTGAAGCCATACTTCCAAATGGATGGTATAGCTCTGCCTTTCCCATTGTAAAGTGTAAAGTGCTAAGTTAAACTCAAATCTGTGCAAGAGAAATACAAATTACAAATGGGGGAGGGGGTGTGCATGAGCAGCTGTATCTTGCTCTTGTCCAACCTGGCTAATAAGAGCACCTAGAAGTAGACAGGCCAAGTGGATAGTGAAAATGATAAATGTCCTTATGGAAAGCTGTCCCATAACTTTTTGAAGACACAGTAGCATGTAAGATTTACTGGAAAACTGCTCCCTTATACTACAATTTGCTTTTCAGTTATTTCTCATATTTATGCTTATTATTATGTAGTTCCTTAGAGATTGAATCTATATACCGTACTATCACATTGACAAAATGACAGATCCAAGTGTAACCTGAACTTAGTCCAAGGAAATCCCTAGTCCAAAGCCTGTGCAGAGAAATCTGTTTAGAGTAAATCTCATTAACCTGATCTTCATTATAAAGGATAGAAACGGCCAACCACCGATGATATAAATGCTATAAAACAATTTAATTACATGCGAACTAGCTAATTAGGGCTCCTAATTTCTACATCTGATTACACACTTTACTATACTTTTAAAGAGTACCCTTTGGGTTTTGTTTTTTTGTTTTTTTTACTTCCGCTCCACAATCCTTCTGTTATCATTGTAATTATAGCAGGCTTAGAGAATAAATCTCTAGCAGTTTACTTAAACAAATAATTAGAATGAGCAAAGGGAATGAAAGAAATAGAAGGCAGAAAAGCCAATATATCTGCTGGTCAAATTACACAAGAAAATTTTTGGGGTGACCCATATAGCCATCATCTGTTTTACATACTACCTATGCTTATATCTGTTCCTAAAGGATTTGACAGCAAAATTAAAAATCAAAGTATGAATAAGCATACTTTTACAAAGCATTCCTAATTAATATCTTTACAACTTATTTTTTATATAGCTGACAAGTATTTCACAAAGAGTGAGGTAAGAAATTATCAACTTGCCCAGATTGAATAAATTAATTTTGATCCTGAAAGGGGACAACTACCAGAAAACATTTAACGGAATACATCCAGCATCATGGTAAGAGCCAATTGAATTATACAGTAAATGTTTAAGAGCAACGAAGAGGTATCAGGAATGAGGTATCATATAAAGGTTAATAAGGATGGAAGTTAAAAAAAACCCCTTTGTATAATGACACAATGTAACTGTCATAGGACTAAGAATATCCTCTAGAATCCCAAGTACACAGTGGATCCTACAAGATAAAATGGCCAGTGGTATCAAAAGTCAGTGTGAAGTGAAGGAGATGAGGCATGCACTCTCATTTTTTTTTCTAGCAAAGGTGTTCCATAAGAACAAACAGGTTATTCCAATGCTGCTCTCAGGCATGGAGCCAGACTAAAATTCTTCTTGAACTGTCAGCAGCCATTTTCTCAATAACATTGCCCCAAAGTGGAGTACTTGAAATGTTTGGTAGCTATCACACCCTCTATGATCTAGTGCAGGGGTCCTCAAACTTCTTAAACAAACGGCCAGGTCACAGTCCATCAAACTGTTGGAGGGCCGGATTATAATTTGAAAAAAGCATGAATGAATTCCTATGCACACTGCATGTATCTTATTTGTAGTGCAAAAAACACTTTAAAACAATACAATAATTAAAATGAAGAACAATTTTAACAAATAGAGACTTAGTACTATTTTAATGGGAAGTGTGGGCCTGCTTTTGGCTGATGAGATAGGATTGTTGCTGTTGTGTGCTTTAAAGTCATTTCAGACATAGGTTGACCCTGAGCGAGGGCCGGGTAAATGACCTTGAGGGGCCGTATCCAGCCCCTGGGCCTTAGTTTGAGAACCCCTGATCTAGTGTATCCACTTTTAAGGACATGAATAAACCATTACTTCTTTCACATCTACTGGCATCACTGCTTCTCTCCAAGTTACATTAATCATTCTTTCCCACCCTCTACAATTGATCCAACACACAACCTTGATATTAGAAGACATGACATGCAAGTAGGCACTTGGCAAGATTTCCACACTGCCTGAATAAAATAACTGTCAATAATATCATTCAACCTGTTCACACACAATTTCACTGAGTCCCGGATATCGAAATAGCAGCAAATTCTGCATGAATGCAAGTGACTTCACAATTTTTTCACATCAAACTTCTGAAGGTTCTCTTTCACACCATGGCACCCAATACTAATAGTCCTTTCACCACTTGAAATTGCTCTGCTAAAGAGAGGATGCAATAAATGCAGTAAGCTTCCTAAGCTGTCAAGAGAGGAGATTCCATCTGAACAGGAGGAAGAACTTCCTGACTGTGAGAGCCGTTCAGCAGTGGAACTCTCTGCTCCAGAGTGTGGTGGAGGCTCCTTCTTTGGAAGCTTTTAAACAGAGGCTGGATGGCCATCTGTCAGGGGTGATTTGAATGCAATATTCCTGCTTCTTGGCAGAATGGGGTTGGACTGGATGGCCCATGAGGTCTCTTCCAACTCTATGATTCCATGACTGTCACATGGTAGACATAACACCGCTTCTACATCAGAAAAAGGTGTTAAAAATCATAGAGAAGAAATGTGACAACGGTAGACTCATAGGCCTACGTTTAATCTAAAATATTATTTTTGTTGTGGGTTACGATGATCTTCAGGGATATCTATGCAGGCAGAGGTCACTTTCCTTTTTTGGCCATGTGGGAACTATGTACAAAGGACAACAGAATAGTTAACAAAATTGCTGTTTTCTGGACTTTGTTATTTGTGCTGTATGGTCAACATAGCTATTCCTGAATTAGCTTCCTCACATGTAATAAACATTTAACATCTGAAGGTCTGGGAATACCTTTACACTAAGCGGGACTTGGATTTACATGGATGTTTATCATTCTCCTGAACCATTTCTTTAGCAAAATGTAAAATACAACAGTTCGCCCAGGAACATTAACTTCCCAAATGATATAATGAGATTCAAGCAACTGGGAGTAGATGAACTAAGTTAAATCAATAGACTAATTCGCCTAAAATTCAATGTGGAACTTTTTATCACCAATTATCCACAAAAAAAAAATCAATTTATCCAACAAAGGTGAGGAGCCTGTGATTCTCCAAATTGGTTAGCATTGAAGCAAGTGTATCTCTAAATCACATTTTTTTTCAGTCTCTGTCTCTCATACATACATACCCCCCCCCCCCCCATTTAATCATTCTGTTGAAGTCTTTAGATTACTCACCTGGTTTTCTTCCTGCACAACTCGATATTGTTCTTTCCAAATAGTTATTTTAGATGCTTCGTCTTTTCTCAGAGCTCTTTCTTTCTTCAGCTCTGGACTCCAGAAGGTCTTGATACTATTCATGGAAGAACTAAGTTTGCTTTCTTTCACCTCTACATCCTTTCGTAGTAGATCATTTTCCCTCAATACTTCCTTCAACTGTGTCTGCAGGTCCATTATAGTATTGTCCCTTGCCTGGCGTAGTGAATGAGGCACTGTGGATGCCATGCTCACAGGAGGAAGATGATGCTCTCCAAATGCAATAGTATCACTGGCAACCCCACTACTAGCAATGTTGGGACTACTGCCCATAGCAGTCATCCTAACACCATAAGGCAGACGCCCCCCAGATCGGCCAAGGGTCATCGTGCTTTTAGGCGTGTCTGAACCAACGTTCTCATGGTCACTTAGATACATAGGACCTGAAGTGGCATAGGCAGCATTTAAGGATTGAATATTTTCCATTGAAAGTGTTTTGCCACTGCCACCCCCAGTACTACTTCCAGAGCTGCCTCCTGTGCTGTTGGTTCGACGATGGCCCAACCGTGGTGATCTTGGCAGTCGTGGTGAACGCCCAGGACTTTGGCTGCTTGGCTCAAGTTTGCCAACTGATCGAGCACTTCCATACATGATTGAATTTGCGATAGAAAATAACTAAGCACAGAAGACTTCCTATGTTTCTTGACTAGCGTACCACACAGCTTGAGACCAATCACTGTTAAGAGCAGATACAAGCATTAACTTCTGAAGTCATAGCTCCTTGCTTGTCATCATCACCTGTAACAATAACAAAGACAATAAATTAATTTTCTCAACAGTTCATATTTTTGGGTTATTTCCACTGTTTCTTTTCCTATTTATAGAGATTTTTCCCACACTATAAAGTTGCACTAGGAACTAGAATCTTGTCAATTACCCATTAAGCCTACACAGATTACCTGCAGCCTTGTTTTATGCAATCCAACTCCAGCTCCATAACATGTTCTGGGCTGAAATTATGAAGATATAGGACTTTAGAAATGCCATACAGCTGCAGTTCATACAGTGTGCTCCCCTCCTCCCCACTCCAAGTATGCATGGCGATGACTTCCCCATCACTTTCCTGCTCCTCCCCCGCCCCCCAACTCCTTGACCGCTAAAAGTCTTTTCCCTTGCCTACCTGGCCACCCAAAGCCTTTCCCCCACCCCTCTCTGGCCACCAAAAGCCTTTCCCCTGCTTTCCCGGCTGCCAAAAGTCTTTCCCTCCTCCCTTGCCACCATTTTTTTCTTTGCCTGCCTTGACACCAAAAGTCTATTTTCCTTGCTTCCCTTGCCACCCAGATCCACAGTTGGGCCTTACTTGCCTCCAAAACCCTATTTCCCTCCCACCACTTAAGGGGTGCTTTGATTGTGCTTTTCATGCATGGCACACAACAGTTGGATTGGATGGCCCCTGAAATACTGTTAGAATAGAAAATAATGAAACACGAAAACCTCTAATTCAAAGTAATATGCTAGAAATTCAATAGGTGGCCCCTAGAGCATACTCCCAGTATACATGTATATTTATAGTGCTCTTGTATAGCTTGCTAAAACAATGTCTGAAAAAAGCTAGAAATATTTCAGTATTCTGAAACCATCTTCTCAAGGTGGCATGTCTCACATAATATAACCAGGCTTGTTGTCAACATTCATTCAAATATTTTTAGAGGCTTCCTGATTGCAGCTAAGTCCACATTTGCTTTCAACAAAATGTCTGAAACTGTATCATCATGCACTAACAATAACATGAACCTGGACAACAATTTTTCTGACTCCATGGAACAGGCACATACTCATTTGTTCTCAGGATATGTACAAAAGTGCTAGTTTAATTATACTACTGTCAACTTGTGCTTGACCACAATCAGCCAAGTCATGTTCAAAGTAGTGCTGTCACTTGAATCTTTCCAGAGGCATTCTTGGTTCTTACTCACTAGTGAAAAAACGGATTGCTGTGGGTGGAGAAATCAAATTGTGTTGTGTAATGGATGAATATGCCTACAAAACAGCCATGCAAAGCAATATGCAAACAAAAATGTAAGACACTAACACAGCAAAAAAAAATGCCAACCATTAATGTATGGAAGGTATGAATTCATAGGAAACAAACAATATGAATAATATAATTGCAAGGCTTATGACACAAACATTTAGTCAAGTCTGCAAATCCCATCATTTCTTCACAATTGCCATATTGGCTAAGGCTGCTCAGAATTGCAATTCAAGTTTTTGAGGCCTTAACCTAAAAACTTTGCTATTGGTAGTTGGTTTGATCATTATTTTATATTTTGTTATAATGTTGTTGTTCTTACTTTGCTTTGATTTATATTGTTGCTTTACATTTTAATGTGTTATGTTTTAATTGTATTGTTGGGCTTGACCCCATGTAAGCTGCCCTGAATCTTTGGGGAGATGGAGGCGAGGTATAAAAACAAAGTTATTATATTATTATAATCCATAATTAGAATGAGGCACACCAATAGTTATGGCAATCTTTCTGACAAAAAGTAACAAGAAATTATGCCGTTCTTTTTGAGCAAATATGCTAGATATGATGAGGCAGCACAACTCTGTCATTTTGTTTCATTGCTATCCTAAAATAATTTTAAAATAAAAGTGGAAAATATGTGACAAATGCTAAGAAAAAAAAACATATAATGAAAGATGTGCAAACTGAAAAATCTAAATGTTCATTATCAAAATGCCAACATCTTACTAAGAGATATACAGCCAAGTTACAAACAAGATAGGTTCTGTAGGTTTGTTCTTAAGTTGAATGTGTGTGTGTTGGAAAAGGTACATTTTTAAGTGTAACTCCAGCCAAATACATAGCTTTGGATAGCACAGGGAAGAGTTAACACCCCTGTAGATTTTTTCCTTCCTTTCTGGTCCTGCAATAATTGTATTTTGAAATATTTGGCTTGTGGAAACAAGGATTGGTGATAAAGCTTTAGTGGAGATACCTTTTCCCATGATAACTCTTTCAGGAGTGAATTTCCCTCTTTTGGGAGTGTATTTTCCCTACTTCCTTTCAGGAGTAGATTTCTCTAACTCCCTGTTGTCTCACCCTCGTTCTTAACTATGAGTCATTTGTAAGTTGGATGTTTAACTGCCTGTATAAAAGAAATAAAGTTACTTTCTAAATCAGAAGTCTTAAATTAAAATGGGTTCAGATAGCTTTCTGCTCCAAGGACCCTCTAGTGACAGCAAACTTCTGCCTCCAAGAAGCCTTTTTGGAAAAAAAAAAAGATGTAAAATAGTACAGAGCACCCCTCAACCTTCTTTAAAAGATGAATTGCTACTCTTGAAGGCTTTAAGCAAGAACAGTTGGGGGGAGCAGAAAAAGGGAATCAGAGAAATGTGTAAAAGTGATGGATCATGCCTGGTTCCAAGGCTGGGCTTTACCCACTCCTGTTCTAAAGCGAGAATATTGTAACCCTACTTCACAAAGCTGGCCAGAAATTTACGTAAGATATCGCTATTGATAGTTACATTACAAACACTTCAAAAAACATTAAAGGCTTCCCAATTTAGTGATTTTAAAAGTATTACTGGAATAATTTTAGGCTCCCATCATCAATTTTCTCACAAAGCTCTTTTCAACTGTGTGATCCTATTTAATGATCTTACATTTAAGCAATAAATGCTAAATTCACTGATCTCATCTGATCTTACTAATAAAAGATCAAGTTTCTGCTAATGTTTTGTTCTGCTTTATAACAAAATAGTATTTAAATCAGTAGTAAATGTTTTGTTAAGTATGAAGAAATATTCAAAAGTTTACCAAAAAGAAAAAAATGAATGCTACACTAGAAAGTGATAAGCCATTGTTACATGTTCATTCTGCATTAAAACAACTACTCCTACATATACAGTATTAAAAAACAACATAAGAAATGGTTATGGTGCAGCAGACAGAATTCTAATGCGCACACTGGTTTTGCCACTGAGCAAACTCCATGGACCCATCACTTACCCAATTATGTGGCCTTTATATTTATTTATAAAGATTATAATATCTTAGGCACCAGAGAGCAAGTTAACATCCTCTTCTTTGTAGCAGCCCTTCTGGTATTCAAAGGGTACAATCATATCACTCTCCAGTAAAATCAAGCCAAACAAGTCCAAGTACTTCAACTTTTTCCTGGATGTTTAGTTCTCCATGACTCTTATCATCCTTTTTGCTCTTCTCTGAACCTGGTCCGACTTGTCTACTGTATATTATTCTTAAAATAAAGCACCCAGAACTGACTGTGGTACCCAAGAAAGATATCTAAAAATCTAGTAATGGTTTCCTCTACCCCATCATCTAAATCATTGATTAGAAATATTGAAGAGCATTGGCCCTACAGCACCCCATTTTAAGATCTGAAAATATGAAGGACGGCCACTAGTGACAACTCAATTTTCCAACTAATTACTGAGCTATGTCATATTCTCTCCATCTAATTCTTGTTTTGTTAGTAGCGAACAAAAATATTATGAGGGATCTTATCAAATGCTGTGCTGAAATCCACACAAAGGAATTTCACAGCATTCTCACCATCTATTAAACTAGTGAACAATTAAAAAGATATAGTGATGGTATTAGCAAAAGTGCCCTGAACAAATCTTACCAAGAACATCCCATGATGGGTTTGCCTGAGGTTTGCCATAAGTCAGAAGTGACTTGAAGGCACACTTTTTCTCACCACATACAGTGGAAAAACTGGTAATGCTAACTGCTGAAGACACATTCACCAGAACCCAGGAGCCTCTTACATGCAATGGCAAGACAGCCTTTCCATTCTATTGCACCATCATGCTATTGTAACCAGTTTTAAGGGAACCTTATCCTGAATTACTGGAAACTAAAGACACTAAGAAAATTGTGCTTTCTTCCACAAGACTCTCTCAAACCATTTCAGACACAACAGATGTGAAAACAGAGAGCAACTTTAAAAAATGGGGAACTTTGGAGGTCAAGCAGCACTTTCTAGTATCTGTCCCGGAAACTGAAAGTCAAGATTTATACATTGCACTCAAGTTAAAGAATTTCACTCAGTGATAGGAATCAATAACTTTATAATGTTGATAAAATAATTACTGGGTAGCTTATTGTCTGCACAAACAATGATATAACACTACAATTCTTTACATTTTACTAAACATACAGGATTCTTTTGTTTTGTAATGCTCTTATTTCATTCTCTCAATCTAGCTATTTCTTACTTCATTATTTTAACGGCATCTGCTCTACTGTCTGTTCTAACATCACAATTCCAGGTTTCACAACTCCATAAATAAGATTCCCCAAACCTGGTGCCCAGATATGATGGACTACAAACACGACCACCCTTACTAAAAATGTTCATGCACAGCAGCTGCTAATACAAAAAAAGAGCAATACTTTTCAAAACGTAAAGCTCAGCATTTTTCCCTAACTGCTCTAACATTCTTTCCTTCAAATCGTTTTTTCCTTTTGTATGTGTCACTTATATATTTTAAATTTAACATGCATCATTCTTTTGCTAGAAATAAAGGTTTGCTGCACACTACCAATTCATTGATAGAACAGGAAAACTGTTCAAGATGTATACAATAAAATTAAATATATGTTCTAAAATTATGTTGACATTAGAGACATATGCTCTAAAGATTTTGGTCATATAGCACATCTAAAGAATTCAAATCTTCAAGTCAGATCTGCGGTGCTGGACAATTAATGGAGAATCATGTAATCAGAGTAGAGGAAGGCATAATCAAGGAATGACTTTCAGGAATAAGCACGGCATAATGAATCAGAGAGGAGTGGCTAAAGGAACGGTAAACGAGTCCTGGAATAGAAGCCCTCCCAAGTGAGATGTAAGGAATTTCGAAGCACAGGATCAACTGTGCATGATACCAAGTTTTCATTAAGTACTATATGATCTTTGTATCTGAAGGGAATAAGGCCATCACCCCTGTGGGCAATTGAAACTGTGGATAATGAAGCATATATTTTGACTATACTTGGGCCAAAAGGAAATAATCGAATCAGACAAGAGAACTAGGAGGGCATGTAAACCAGTAAATACTAAATCTGTGGATAAAGGGATCATACTATATGAAACAATTTACTGTTGCACACCAATATGGAAAGGGACTGCATCAAAACATGATATAAATTTATTATTTAAAATACATAATTGAGATCATTTTAGTTGTTTTTTTCTTTTTGCTCCATCTAAACCAGGCATGGCCAAACTTAGGCCCTCCAAGTGTTTTATACTTATTTATAGCACATACTTGTATCCTGCCCCTCTCACCCTAAAAGGGGACTCAGGGCGACCTTACAGCAATTCCTACCGGCTATTAGGAATTGTGGGAGTCTAAACTATACAAAACTGAATTAAACCCAAGACCAATTTTTGACTGACTATGAGTTGAGGATGGAGACGAAAATCATATCTTTCTGCAACTAGGAATACATATTTTTGAAAACATGATACAGCCTAGTGCATCCAGCTGGGGAATTATGCACTCTAGCTAGCAATAGTTCAAGGCCTCACCACAGCACTTTCCCCAAGGTTACTTCCCTGAGATTAAAAAAAAAAAAATCCTAGAAATTACCAAAGCTGACTGTCAAAATCCAAGGCTGCAAATTAATATTTCAGTTAGTTTCACAGCATGACGGCCACCCCATTACATTAGAAAGAATTACCAGAACAAGGCACGGTTTCATAATCCAATCAGAATTAAGGACAAAACGGAATTATGAAAGATAAAACCATTGCACAGCATTCTTCCTCGCCCTATCCACTATCTCAAAGAATATCTAATCTGTAAATGCTCCCATCCACACCAGCAAGACTGCTTGCTACATGCTTGTCATCCATGTGCCAATTTCACAGAATCACAGAGTTGAAAGAGACCTCATGGGCCTTCCAGTCCAACTCCCTGCCAAGGAGCTGGTAAAATCGCATTCAAAGCACCCAACAGATGGCCATCCATCTGCTTAAAAGCTTCCAAAGAAGTAGCCTCCATCATAGTCCGAGGCAGAGAGTTCCATGGCTGAACAACTCTCACTGTTACGAAGTTCTTCCTAACATTCATGTGGAATCTCCTTTCCAGTAGCTTGAAGCCATTGTTCTATGTCCTAGTCTCCAGGATAGCAGAAAACAAGCTTGCTCCCTCCTCACTATGACTCTCACATATTTGTACATGGCCATGATGTCTGCTCTCAGCCTCCTCTTCTGCAAGCTAAACATGCCCAGCTCTTTAAGCAGCTCTTCGTAAGGCTTGTTCTCCAGATCCTTGATCATTTTAGTCACCCTCCTCTGGACACATTCCAGCTTGTCAACATCTCTGGAACTGGACACAGTATTCCAGGTGTGGTCTAACCAAGACAGAATAGAGGGGTAGCATGACCTGGATCTAGACACTATACTCCTATTATATAGGCCAAAATCCCATTGGCTTTTTTTGCCGCCGCATGACATTGTTGGCTCATGTTTAACTTGTTATTCACGAGGACTCTAAGATCTTTTTCGAGCTAGGCAACCCCCATTCTGTACCTTTACGCTGCATTTTTTTCCTGCCTAAGTGGAGTATTTTGCATTTGTTAGTGCTGAACTTCATATTGTTCATATTGTTTGTTTTGGCCAATCATCTCTCTAATTTGTAAGGTATGGGATGAACATTTATTGAAGCTAAACTCAACACAGCAACTTCTCAGATGTGAACATTCATATGCCCCAAAGTCACTCCACTTTAAATCCAGATGGTGCCTCCTGCAGAATTCTGGGGTTTGTAGTTGAAGGAGGCACCTTTAACAGCCTCACTAAACTACAAACCCCAGAATTCTGCAGGAGGCAGAAATCGGATTTAAAGTGAATTCATTCTCTATTGTGATGATGTAGCTAGAGCAGGCATGGGCAAACTTGATCCCTCCAGGTTCAACTCGAACCATTCCTAATAACCTCAGGCTCCTTCCTTTTCCCTCTCAGTGAAGCTGTTAGGAATGGTGGGAGCTGAAGTCCAAAATACCTGGAGGGACCAAGTTTGCCCTTATTTATTTATTTAAAAATTTTATATCCCGATCTTCTCTACCTCTGCAGACGGACTCGGACCACCTAACAGCAACGATTCAATGCTAAAACTGAAAATCTAAAACATGATACACAACATTAAGTTACCAATTACATATTACATAAATTACATAAAAGCCTTTCGCAAAGATAAAATCGTGTCCAACTCAGTCCGTATGTCCAGTCCATATATTGTGATCAGTACCATTAGGTTCGAATCCTCATGTGGGGACATGAGAGAAGCCTCCCACAAGGATGATAAAAACATCAATTCATCCGGGAGTCCCCTGGGCAACGTCCTTACAGACGGCCAATTCTCTCACACCAGAAGCGACTTGCACTTTCTCAAGTCACTCCTGACATGACCAAAAAAAAAAAGTACCATTAGTTGATTGCCGGTGTGAGAAATCATTCCGCAAAAGCTTTGTTGCACGGACATGTACCACTAGCTTCCTAAAGGTCAGGAGAGAGGGGGCAGATCTAATTTCATTTGGGAGGGAATTCCATAGCTGAGGGGCCACCACAGAAAAGGCCCTGTCTCTGACCAATAGGAGGCATCTTCCCGCCTTTCTCAGCCTCCTGACACATTTCATACCTGCCTTAATGTATGAAAAGCAAGGCATATTCTCACACCAATTGATTGTTAGCTGCAGGCAGAAAGCTCCCATGGGTTCCCAGAATTGAGAATGATTGGACTATATATATAAAAAGCCAACAAACCCCAATAAAACAGGATTGTGCCCCTAAAAGTATCGTGTCTCAATAATGGCTTCTAAAACGAGGAGTAGGCTTTGGAGAAGGAGGGAGGATGGAGCGCCATAAAATCTATCTGAAGCAAAATGGCTTTTTGTGAAAACACAGAGGGGGGGGGAAAGAGCCGGGGAAAAGAGGCAGGTAGATGATGTATTCCAGGAAGCCATGCCTGGCAACCGGGTGGGGCGCAGGGAAAGGAAGAGGCAGAGAGATTATGAGGGAAGGAAGGGGGGAGGAGAAGAGAAGGGCTCCCCTTCAAGGAAAGGCGATACTGGGAGGACTCCCCCTTGAGTGTGGCCTCCATGGAGGGAGAGAGAGAGAGAGGCCTTGGGGCAGGAGAGGGCCTGGCTCCAGCTGGCCAGGCAAGGCCCCGCCCGACCCCCTTCCCTTCCCTTCCCCTTGCCTCAGCTTCGAAGCCACACAGAAGGCCCAGCGGCTAACAGCCTACCTCCTGCCCCCGGCCAGCTGTAGCTCTCCAAGCAGGCGCGGCTTCCCTTCCTTCCGATCCGAGCGGCGGAGAGGCTCCTCCTTTTACCTCAGAGAGAGAGAGCCGCTCGCGCCCTGGCCCCCGGCGGCGGCGCGAGACCAGCCAGGCCCCGCCCCCTCCCCTTCCCTGCCTTCCTTCGGCGCGAGAGACCCACCGTAGCCCCGCCCCCTTCGGCGCGAGCCTGGCCCAGGCGCGCGCCTCCAGCTCGAAGCCCCTCCCCCTTTTTCCCTTCCTCCCTCCCTCCCTCCACGAGCCAGGCCCCGTCCCCCCTCCTCCTCCCTTCCTTCGGCCCGAGAGACCGACCGTAGCCCCGCCCCCTTCGGCGCGAGCCTGGCCCAGGCGCGCGCCTCTCGCTCGAAGCCCCTCCCCCTTTCTTCCCTTCCTCCCTCCCTCCCTACACGAGCCAGGCCCCTCCTCCCTCCTCTATTCGGCGCGAGCCTGGCCTTTAGGTTCTTGTAGGTGTTTTCGGGCTATATGGCCATGTTCTAGAGGCATTTCTCCTGATGTTTCGCCTGCATCTATGGCAAGCATCCTCAGAGGTAGTGAGGTCTGTTGGAATTAGGAAAATGGGTTTATATATCTGTGGAATGGCTGGGGTGGGGCAAGGAGCTCTTCTCTGCTGGAGCTAGGTGTGAATGTTTCAACTGACCACCTTCATTAGCATTTGAAGGCCTGCCTGAGCCTGGGAAAATCTTTTGTTGAGAGGTGTTAAGATGTGCCCGGTTGTTTCCTCTCTGCTGTTTTGCTGTTGTAATTTTAGAGTTTTTTTAATACTGGTAGCCAGATTTTGTTCATTTTCATGGTCTCTCCTTTCTGTTGAAATTGTCCACATGCTTGTGGATTTCAATGGCTTCTCTGTATAGTCTGACATGGTGGTTGTTAGAGTGGTCCAGCATTTCTGTGTTCTCAAATAATATGCTGTGTCCAGGCTGGTTCATCAGGTGCTCTGCTATGGCTGACTTCTCTGGTTGAAGTAGTCTGCAGTGCCTTTCATGTTCCTTGATTCGTGTTTGGGCGCTGCGTTTGGTGGTCCCTATGTAGACTTATCCACAGCTGCATGGTATACGGTAGACTCCTGCAGAGGTGAGAGGATCCCTCTTGTCCTTTGCTGAACGTAGCATTTGTTGGATTAAAGCTTTGGCAAAAAGAATCTGCGAACCCCACCTCCTCCAAGATGAACTGAACCACCTCAACTGAGCTCTCCAGGCCAATGGAGACTCCACCTCAGACATCAGAAGAGCTGCAAGACCAAGAACAAGCCACGAGAGTCAAGATGAAGATCCACCCAGAGGAAAAGTGTTCCTGCCATACATCAAGGGAACCACTGACCGCATAGGGAAGCTGATGAGGAAACACAACATACAAACAATCTACAAACCCACCAAGAAAATCCAACAAATGCTACGTTCAGCAAAGGACAAGAGGGATCCTCTCACCTCTGCAGGAGTCTACCGTATACCATGCAGCTGTGGACAAGCCTACAGAGCGACACCAAACGTAGCATTGCCCAAACACGAATCAAGGAACATGAAAGGCACTGCAGACTACTTCAATCAGACTCTGGAACACCCTCCCTAAAGATCTTAGACAGGCCCCTACATTGGCAGTCTTCAGAAAGAACTTAAAGACCTGGCTGTTCCGATGTGCCTTTCCAGATTAGGAATCTCCAATAACAAGTCCTCAAAGCACTTTAGTAGAAATAAGATTACTGCACACCGCACTCTGCACTTGCCCTATAATCCTGTATACCTCCTGCCACATCTGCACTTTTAATCTTGTACCCACTACTCTGGCCTGGCCCAGTTTTATTATGTCCGGATGTATTGTTTATTGCATGTTGTTTCAATATTGCTTTAACTGTTTTTAATTTGCTTTTGGTGTTATATTGTTGTGTTGTGTTGAGGCCTTGGCCTTTGTAAGCCGCATCGAGTCCTTCGGGAGATGCTAGCGGGGTACAAATAAAGTTAATAATAATAATAATAAGTCTACATAGGGACCACCAAACGCGGCATTGCCCAAACACGCATCAAGGAACATGAAAGGCACTGCAGACTACTTCAACCAGAGAAGTCAGCCATAGCAGAACACCTGATGAACCAGCCTGGACACAGCATATTATTTGAGAACACAGAAATGCTGGACCACACAACCACCATGTCAGACTACACAGAGAAGCCATTGAAATCCACAAGCATGTGGACAATTTCAACAGAAAGGAAGAGACCATGAAAATGAACAAAATCTGGCTACCAGTATTTAAAAAACTCTAAAATTACAACAGCAAAACAGCAGAGAGGAAACAACCAGGCACATCTTAACACCTCTCAACAAAAGATTTTCCCAGGCTCAGCCAGGCCTTCAAATGCTAATGAAGGTGGTCAGTTGAAACATTCACACCTAGCTCCAGCAGAGAAGAGCTCTTTGCCCCACCCCAGCCATTCCACAGATATATAAACCCCTTTTCCTAATTCCAACAGACCTCACTACCTCTGAGGATGCTTGCCATAGATGCAGGCGAAACGTCAGGAGAAATGCCTCTAGAACATGGCCCTATAGCCCGAAAAAACCCACAAGAACGTAGTGATTCCAGCCATGAAAGCCTTCGACAATACATTGAACTCCTCCCCTTTCCTCCCTCCCTCCACGAGCCAGGCCCCGCCCCCTCCTCCTCCCTCCCTGCCTTCCTTCGTCGCGAGAGATCGACCGTAGCCCCGCCCCCCTTCGGCGCGAGCCTGGCCCAGGAGCGCGACTCCCGCTCGAAGCCCCTCCCCCTTTCTTTCTTTCCTTCCTCCTTCCACGAGCCAGGCCCCGCCCCCTCCTCTTCCTGCCTCCTCTCTTCGGCTTGCGCTCGAAGCTCCTCCCCCTTTCTTTCCTCCCTCCCTCCATGAGCCAGGCCCCCGCCCCCTCCTCCTCCTCCCTCCCTTCGTCGCGAGAAACCGGCCGTAGCCCCGCCCCCTTTCGGCGCGAACCTGGCCCAGGCACGCGCCTCGCGCTCGAAGCTCCTCCCCCTTTCTTTCCTCCCTCCTCCTCCGCTCTCCCTCCCGCCCTGCCTCCCACCGCTCGACCGCTTCACTCCAGACTTACGCTATTCACCTACCTCCACGTTTCGGCTGACGTATCCTTTCCTTCTCCCCCCCCTTCTATTCCTCACCCACTGAGACTGCCAATCATTTTTCTAGAGGCGCCCTCATTGGTCCGCTCTGACCAATAGGAGGCATCTTCCCGCCTTTCTCGGCCTCCTGACACGTCTCGGGTTCCTATGCCATCTCCTCCCCTCCCCTTTCCCATTGGGCACCCGCGGGAAGTTTGTCCGATCTAGCTCGCCGTACCCGTCATCTCTGACTAAGGCTTTCAAAAGAAGGAGGCAGCGAGGGTTCCCTCCCCGTTCTCTCAGCCCGTCTCTCCCGCTCAGGTAACGGAGAAGAGGACATTACACCTACATTTATGCTGGAATTCAGTGGGGAAAGGCTTGTGGTTTTGGAAAATTGCATTCAGAACCTTTTGGAGATTATAACCTTTTAAGGAAAGCATGACCTTTCTGAGAAGAGCCAAAAATGCTTTAGAGTAGAATCTTCTCTTGTAAGTATATACAGTAATTATGCAAGGCAATGGTTTCAGTTGTTAGACTGAATAACCTGTTACCTCTGATCTGTTAGGAAAAATCTGCCAGTGCATAAAAAAGCAGTGCTTCAGAAGTGTTTTTCAGTGTCCTATATATATAGGGCACTGAAAAACACTTCTGAAGCACTGCTTTTTTATGCACTGACAAATCTCTGTTTTCCTAACAGATCAGAGATAACAGGTTATTCAGTCGAACAACTGAAACCATTGCCTAGTGTGTGTGTGCATATATATATATATATATATATACACACACACCCACACACACACACACACAGTCCCATAAAACAACTTGTTTATATCATGCACTCAAGAGACAAAAATGAAGTAGACTTGGATAAAAATAACATAGTTGGTTTACTTACAACCTTCATACATTCAGCATACACAGCTACACAACTTACCAGTCCAGTTTCAGATATGATTGAGATAATTCTCTGTGCCATCCGGAGCCAGGACATCTCTTACAGCAAAACAGCAAGCAAGTGTGTGATCTGAGGTCTGAAGTCCTCTAAGGAACTAGAGAGTAAAGGAAGCTGCACACCAGAACATATATACAGGAAACAATAAGCAACAGGATCATAGGTAAACATTACTAGAGAAGGCTTGAAGAAGGTTGTCATTTCCAACATGGAGCCCTTTCAAGCTTCAAAGCTCCTTGAGGAGATAGCGTGGGTTATAAATAAAGTATTATTGTTATAAAGTTAAAACTCTGTCGTTTAAATGCCACGGTTCCATCTAAGGACCTCTAGAAGGTCCACTTTGAATTTCCAGGCAGAGAGCTCTAGTGTTATTGCAATGTTATTATTATTATTATTTCATACACAACAAGATTAATACACAGCAAACAAGATCACTGCTGGCTTTTGTTTTTCATAACACATCAGACACTTCCCAAGTGTCTAGGACTGTGTGATGTATTATTTATTTATTTATTTATTTATATGCAGCTTTTGTATTCTGCCCTTCTCACCCCGCAGGGGACTCAGAGCGGATTACAATGTACACATATATGGCAAACATTCAATGCCAATTTGACATACAACATATACAGACATAGACAATTTAACTTTTTTTTTTCTGGCCGCCAGGGGAGCTGCTGCTTTTCATCGTCCATCAACGACACCGATGAAGTTCTTCCCCCCGCTGGAATGCTTTGCTGGAGTCTTCTTTATGGCCTCATAAATCAGTTAATTTAGCCTCCCACACTTTAAGGTGGTACCTAATTTTCCTACTTGACAGATGCAACTGTCTTTTGGGTTGCAAAGGTCGACAACAGGCTACACAATTGGTTGGAAACCCACTCAAACCCGGGCTGGCTTCGAACTCATGACCTTTTGGTCAGAGTGATCTTAATGCAGCTGACACTCAGCCAGCTGTGCCACAATCCCCGGGTATCAGCAAATAATGTGTGCAGATCCAAGTAGGGTGACCTTTTGCAGCTGACAGGTGATAATTTTATTGGCGCTGATTGTTTTTAAGTGTAGGCCAAGGTCTTTAGGCACTGCACCCAGTGTGCCGATCATCACTGGGACCACCTTGTGCCAGAGTCTTTGCAGTTCTATCTTTATCATCATCACAGGATTCTGTAGGATGCAGCCATAAGTGCAGTTTGACACCACTTTAACTGCCATGACTCTATGTTATAATAATAATAATAATAATAATCCTTTATTTGTACCCCGCTACCATCTCCCGAAGGACTCGGTGCAGCTTCCAAGAGGCCGAGCCCAAATACAATAGTAAAAACAACAGCAACAACAGACAGCAAAATAACTCAGAAAACAAAGCAATAACATTGACAACACACAATGACACAATTAAAAACAATGGCAGGGCCAAATGTAATAATTAAAATTAAAAGTGCTGGGCATGACCAGGTGGAGTGTTTTGGAGGGGGATGGGCATGCAGATATCCTAGATCTCTGATAAAGTGCGTTGGGACATAATGTTAGGAGTTTCCTATTCTGGGAAGACACACTGGAACAACCACGTTATGGAATCATGGGAGTTGTCATTTTGCAATGACATTAGTCTTCTCTGCCAAAGAGGACTGATGCCACACCAGACTACAAATCCCAAGGTGCCATAGCATTAAAGTGGTATCAGACTGCATTAATTCCACAGTGTAGATGCACCCCATGACAGTTACAGTGGGGTCATAGCTCTATTATTGGGTGCTGTGAAAGCACCCTGAGCCTTAACGTTTTCCACATGTGCCTTTTATTCAGTCAAGCCGTAAAAGTTATGAAGGGATACATGTGGTATTGGCAGCAGCAAACCTTGCAGAGCTTCCAGCTTTGTCATACCTCTAAAGCAAACCACAGCATATTGTCGGCACCATTAGTGCAGCAAGGTTTGCGATGACCTTCCTCTGAGGCTGAGAGAGAAGGTTGCCCAAGATCATCCAGTGGGTTTTATTGAGCTGGGATTTGGACCCAGTAGTCCAGATCCCAAACCACAACACTGTGCTGGTCCTTCCCAAAGGGAAATTGTTACAATGAAAGCAGCACATGGTTGCAAGAGAGTCATACAAAGTGACATTTTTTGTGTTCAGTTTTAAGTACAGTAGTAGCCACAGTTACTGGACAGCAGTAGGCAAGGAAAATGACATGTATTCCAAGGTGCTTCTGCAATGACTGGCATCCCCAGCAAACACTTCCAAGTCCAGCTTCCCCTCCAGGAATTCCTATGGGGCACATTCAAACTGATCTTTGAATGCACTTCAAAGGCAGCCTGACAGCTCAGTGTTTATATGATGCACACCACGATTAAGCCCTGCAGTGCACTTTAAGGGCTTTAAACTGAGATAAAGTTGGAGGATACTCTGAAATATAGCCCATAATGTGTGTCAGCACGTGTAGGCGTAATTTTTAACTCGCCCTTTCATAATGTGCACTTGTGAAGCTGTTTGGCAGTCTGCACACATGTAATTAGGGAGGGCCAAATTTTAAAAAATCCCAGATTCTCCCCAGTTGTCAAGCTGCAGACACTGCATATTCTGGAATCAATTTGATAAGCACCATTCAGGCCTTGAACCAGTGTTAGGATTTCCTACGTCCGCACACCAAAAACCGCTTCGATCTCTGCTGGTTTCACATGAAGTCTGTAGATATGACCAAGGATGTAGATGGACCTCCTCCATTTTTCTTTACACTCCAGAGTGAAATCCCGTATAGCAACTGGGCCCATCACAAACAACTGTGGATGGACACAGAGTGAATCATGCTGCACCATCTGAGTATTAAACAATAGCAGCAAATTTGCCTTCACCTAATAGGCAGCTCCCCCAAAAGCAGTAGAAAGTGGCTCCAGCCAAGGTTATTTCAGACTATTTCCTGGGTGGCAGGGGAGTGTTTCACAAAAAAGGAGGATCATCCCAGGCGAGACCCCCCCCCCCACACACACACACCTCTGTTCCTTTGAACCTTTTGAATTATAGGTAACCTAAACTCATTAATTTTGTATGTGACCAAAAAAGTGAACAACACTGTGAATTAATAAATTCCAGTTATAACTGAAAAGGTTTGAAAGAGAAGACATTAAAAAAGTGAGGGGTGTCTATATTTGTTCAGAAAATTATGCATTACAAAATGAAACTTAGTTTAAATGGAATACTTAAATTATGCCTTCTCTTCTTGGTAATCAGTTCTAAATTGACTGTGACCTTAATTCTTTTGAAGCCAAAGAAAAATCCTAGATAGCTATTATATATTCTGTAACACTTAACCAGGCAAGAAATGTAGATTATCAAGATTCAGGTGTCCCACAAACAGCGAATTGGCGAGACCAACCACATTATCACACCAGGTCTTTAAAGCGGGCAGCCCGGCATTTCTGCCACCTGCAGAATTCTGGGAAATGTAGTTTGGGAAGGTGAGCACCACTGTAGCTGAGAATCCAAAAGGCTCCACCCTAAACAACATTTCCCAGAATTCTGCAGGTGTTAGAAATACGGGGCGGTCCGCACTAAAGCCCTGGTGTGATAATGTCACAAGTTGTGTTTCCCTAAAAGATTCACAACCTGTGTGGTAAAGTCTTGCATATGGCCTAAGACGACTTCAGTTCTGAGCTATGAGAAAAATGAGAGGGAAAAGCTTCAGTGAAACCATAATTTCAATTAATGACTTTCATAAGGCCTTCATTTAAAATAATGCTGTATTCCTCTCCTAAGTAATGCATCTAATGACAACTGCTTTCAAGAGTACCATATTTCCCATCAGACTAGTGGTTACTGAAAGAATGAGTAAAGGGGAAGCAAGTGTAATTACGGATATCATAGTCCCTTCATCATAAATATTCTGCAAACAGCTTTTATTAGTTCTGGGAAATGGCCCAAGTAATTATTCAAGGAGTTTCGGAATTTGCGTGTGTGTAAAATCATCAACTGAGGCCTTATTTGCCAGATCTTTCTGGTTTCTCATCTTAGCACTTGTTTAAGAGATATGTTTATAATTCTTAATTAAGAAAATATGTTACATGAGAATAAAAAAGCAAAAATACATGTAAGAAACAATTCAGGTTTAATAGACTCTATATAAATGTGCCCACAACCCACTTGTAAAATTTTATATGCGCTACCATGCTTTGCTGCCATTGACTATGCAAAGCGGACAAGTTTTGGAACCTGCAAATGAATTACTGGTATATTAATAAATGTAAAGTTAATTAAGCTAATAAATTTATAGTAATCATAATTAATACTTATTTTAATTAAACAATAAATATTTATATAATGCATTCTTCATGAACATGGGTTCAGTGTGAATCAAAAATGTAGGTTTTATGTTTGAAATCATTAGGAATGGAACTGAACATTAAAATGCCAACATTTTTCTATTTATTTAAATCAAATAACAATATTCTAATTGTGTGTTGTTTTCTTTTGTCCTTGATCTAAAATAAAATTTGAGGACAGGGGTAAACACTGAACTTTTTTTCCCTGTCGGTCCTGCTGATAAGCTTTCTTCTTCTTTGGTATCTAGTGTAATCCTTTCAATTTATACTTTTGTTAGCAAATGGAGGCAGCTTCCAGTAACTGCTTTCCCTTTTGTTCGGGGAAGCAATAGTCTTGATCAGCTACATGAAAATGAGCAGCTGTTGTGTGGCAGTGCTATAAAAATACATTGATTACATCAGTAAGTTAATGTTTCTTATCATTCTCTGAGGTTTTAGCAAAAGTGTCTGATTACTTGTACAACAGAAATACATTCAAGCAGTTTCAAAACAGCAGGTTCTCCGTTACTGAATGATACATATTCTGAGTTGACAGAAATGCTATTCTCTCTTCTTTGGATTATCAATGGTGAATGCAATAATTTATAATTTCTAAGTCATTTAGATTATTTATTTTATTTATTTGCGATATTTGTATACCGCCCTTCTCAACCCCCAAGGGGACTCAGAGCGGGTCACAGTGTTGGCCACAATTCAATGCCATTGATAAGAAACACTATAAAACATCAAAATTGACCCTCCTCTGATTAAACATTATTGAACACATCACATAAAATAAGATCACACATCACACAAAGACATAGCCGTTAATCCGTAAACAGTTCTGGGGCATTGCACTTTCAACTTTCACTTTAAGTATTCCTATGATGGGCTGAACGCTTGGTATATAGCTGTCAGGTATATAGCTGTCTCCTAAAGGTCAAGAGGGAGGGGGCTGACCTGATCTCACTCAGGAGGGAGTTCCACGGCCGTGGGGCCACCACTGAGAAGGCCCTGTCCCTTGCCCCCATCAGCTGCACCTGTGAGGCCGGTGGGGTCAAGAGCAGCAGCTTCCCAGAAGATCTTAATCTACGAGCGGGTTCATAGAGGGAGATATGTTCGGACAAGTAATTTGGACCGGAGCTGTTTAAGGCTTTATAGGCTAAAGCCAGCACTTTGAATCGTGCTCGGTAGCTAATAGGCAGCCAATGGAGTTGCCGCAGCAGGGGGGTTATATGCCTCCTGTGTGACCCCCCCAGTTAACAATATGGTTGCAGCGCGTTGGACTATTTGCAGCTTTTGAACAGTCCTTGAAGGCAACCCCACATAAAGCGCATTGCAGTAGTCTAAACGGGATGTAACATCAGTATGGACTACTGTGGCCAAGTCCAACTTCCCAAGGTATGGGTGCAGTTGGCACATAAGTCTTAGTTATGCGAATGCCTCCCCCCCCCCCCCGATCACTGCCAACACCTGGGGTTCCAGGTTCAGCAAAGAGTCCAGGAAGACTCTCAAACTGCGAACCTGCACCTTCAGGGGGAGTGTAAGTCCATCCAGCACGGGCTGTAACCCTATACCCTTGCAACTGACCAAGAGTATCTCTGATCCCAACCTCAATTTAGTTTTTTCCAATTTGCAGCTAGATTCTGCTCATGTTTAGAGTTGAAATAGATGACCACTGATTCATGAAAACCATAGTTCCACCTTGGAATTTAGAGTTTATGGACATATCCCTGCTCCCATTGGGCCCTAGCATGACATCTCTAAGAGAACCAAATATCTCCTTTATTGCCAGAGATTAGAGCATGATTGATCAACCACAGAAGATCCAAGATCATGTAGATGGCCAAAAAAATGGGAGGTTGGGAGAGAGAAATGGTCAGTATTCTACTTAAGGTTTTGAAAAAGTTTATTTTAATGTTATCAATAAAATAAATTTATTTCAATCATTTAATGAGTCAGTTTTAATTATTGAAATTGCTAGTAATTAATTTAATTGCAATCATCATTTAAATCACTAATAAGAAATTTAATCATATTGCTTCATGTTACATTACTGTGTATTCAGAGACTTGGGGCTTGTTAGATGGTAAGTACATACTAAGCTACTTCTAAAATATTGTTCGTCTCCCCAACTTCTCTGTTCCTTTGAGAGGACTGGCTGGAATGAGAGGGAACATACTCATTGGATACTTCATGTGCTGAATCGGAGTGATCAGGTTATTCACACTTAAACTGCTCTTATGCTTGTTTAATAAATGGATTTTTAATCAACTCTTGCTAACATGTGCAGGGGGGCCGCCTTCTACCTCTTTAGGGGGGCCTCCTTCTACGTGCTCCTGGAGGCTTCCAGGTGAGGCAGTTCTTTTGAGCAGAACGTGCAGTCTTGAGTAAATTGGAATGGTCTGAGTGCTGCAAAAATCGGCCAAGAATTGTATTCAGTAATTTGGATTTCTCTCTGTCGTCTGTTAGTGTTATTTTCAACCTTTCTAGCAAGCCTGGGCTCATTATGCGCTTCAGCTTTTTTGACTCCCCCCCCCCACACACACACACACATGCTTTGGATATATGTTTATCCATATTTTCATTTTTCCTTCTCTTTCTAGGAATGTCCAGAAGTGAAATGACAAGAGACGGAGGCAACAACAGTGATACTGCCAATATGTGCTTTGGAAAGGTCTGTAACATCTCCTTCAGCTTTGTGTGAGATTTTCAAGTGGAGCAGGGGGTCCCCGTCCTTTGTTTCTTGTATCCTGTTAAGGATAATAACCCAGTTCAGATGCAATGGGAGTCCACTATTTGAAATAACGCCTCAGACATGTCCAATGTATTGTCGAAGGCTTTCATGGCCGGAATCCATGGGTTGTTGTAGGTTTTTCCGGGCTGTATGGCCATGTTCTGGAGGCAATTTTTCTCCTGACGTTTCGCCTGCATCTATGGCAAGCATCCTCATGCATCCTGCATCTATGGCAGGTTCACCATCACCCAAGTCAAAAAAGAAGCACCATTAAAGCCTTGGCAGACCGTGCAAAAAGAATCTGTGAACCCCACCTTCTCCAGGATGAACTGAACCACCTTAACTGGGCTCTACAGGCCAATGGATACTCCACCTCAGACATCAGAAGAGCTGCAAAACCGAGAACAAACCACGAGAGTAAAGATGAAGATCCACCCAGAGGAAAAGTGTTCTTGCCATACATCAAGGGAACCACTGACCGCATAGGGAAACTGATGAGGAAACACAACATACAAACCACTTACAGACCCACCAAGAAAATCCAACAAATGCTACGTTCAGCAAAGGACAAGAGGGATCCTCTCACCTCTGCAGGAGTCTACCGTGTACCATGCAGCTGTGGACAAGTCTACATAGGGACCACCAAACGCAGCGCCCAGACACGCATCAAGGAACATGAAAGGCACTACAGACTACTTCAACCAGAGAAATCAGCCATAGCAGAGCACCTGATGAACCAACCTGGACACAGCATATTATTTGAGAACACAGAAGTGCTGGACCACTCTCACAACCACCATGTCAGACTACACAGAGAAGCCATTGAAATCCACAAGCATGTGGACAATTTCAACAGAAAGGAAGAAACCATGAAAATGAACAAAATCTGGCTACCAGTATTAAAAAACTCAAAAATTACAGCAGAAAAACAACAGAGGGGAAACAAACAGGCACATGAAATCACCTTCAACAAAAGATTCCCCCCAGGCGCTACCAAGCCATTGAATGCAAATCAAGGTGATCAGCTGAAACATCCATAGCCCCAGCAAATAAAAGTCCTTTGTCTCACCCTGGTCATTCCACAGATATATAAACCCATTTTTCCTAGTTCCAACAGACCTCATTACCTCTGAGGATGCTTGCCATAGATGCAGGCGAAACGTCAGGAGAAAAATTGCCTCCAGAACATGGCCATATAGCCCGGAAAAACCTACAACAACCCTCAGACATGACCGTTTCTCCTCTTTTTGATTGAAAGTAGTGAATTGTGTTTTGATACTTTATCATATCCCAAAATGGAGCGACCATGTGAAACATCAATACAATATCCCTTATAATTTTTTGTTGTTATGTGTCATAAAGTGAGCACCAGTTTAGGCCAATTCTATCATAGTATTTTCTTGGGAAGATCTATTCAGAGGAGGCTTGACATTGCTTTCCTCTGAGGATGAGGGAAGGTAACTGCCTGAAATGGATTTGTGTGACTGAGGAGGAATTCAAACTCTAGTCACACAAGATCAGTGCTCAAACTACTCAGCCACACTGACTGTGTCCTTATGGATTATATCTTTAGAAATACAAGTAGACTGAGAGTTCAGTGTGATAAAACTGAGTGAAGTCAATAATAGGTGAAAGCTGCTAAAATGTATTTCTTTTTTTGGTTCAGTGTCAATATACAGCAGATGAGTACCAGGCCATTCAGGCTGCCCTAAGACAGAGACTAGGCCCAGAATACATCAGCAGCCGGCAAGCTGGAGGTGGACAGAAGGTAAAAAGTGTGTATACAGAATCTTTGATTTCTTTATACTGAAAACTATCCATTGATGTCAGAGAAATGATTTGCTAGGCAGGGGTAATTCATAATGTTAACCAAACCCTTGAGAAGCATGTTGTAAGCTTTCTCAGAAATGACATGCAATAATCTATGATGGGTTTGCATGGGCTACCCCCAATTCAGCCTGCTTAATACTATCCTTTGATCTCCTTGAACCAGATAAAAGGTTATTTATTTCATATCAAAAGCATTGCATAAATTAGTATAAAACTGATAAAAATAGAAGGAGCACAGGCAGCTAAATATCTTTTGACCAAAAACGGGCAATGGCAATGGTAGCCTCCAACAATTCTTCCTCTGTACATGAGGCAGGGCATAGTGGACAAGCATACAGATGCAGAGTTGTCTGTTCTGCTCCAGTCACGTAAAGTGTGGGGTTCTTCTAGGTAGTGCCATTTTACCAGGTTGTCTTTTGATCTGCCCACTCCACTTCAGAGTCTGTTCAGGGACTTCCAAGTTGCCCATTCTTGGTTTGCCCCTGGCTTTCACAGTGTTCAACCTTGTTTCTCTCACATTTAGCAGCAACTTCCCGTTGCACATCGTGGGGGGGGGGGGGGGGGGGGGGGGATGCCTGCTAGCTTGTAGAGTTTATCAACAGGTATAGGTTTAAGACATCCTGTGATTATTCTACATGTTTCATTCAATGTTATGTTCACCTACTTTGCATGGGCAGACCTATGCCAAATTCAGGAGGCATACTCGGCAGTTGAGTAAGACAAGGCTAGGGCTGATGTTTTTACTAATTTTGGGTCTGCACCCCATGTGCTGCCAGTAAGTTTCCACAGGATGGTATTGCCTGCATCTGCTTTGTGCTTGAAAGGTAAGATAGCATCTACCTGCAGAAAGACTGATAGCTCTGGCTACTAGATTTGCTGGTTGTCCTCTTTGGAGTGTAGGGTGCGATTGATCTACACTTTCCATCATCTCTTCAAAGTGGCCTTTCACAGATGTAAAGAGATAGATGAGTATAATACAGGAAATGCTTCGATCTGTAATGCACAGTCCTGATCATTTGTACTACACTTTACTGCGAATTGCATTGAGATTCTGACATACTTCGGTGTAACTCCTAATTATATCTTAAACACTAGCTTTTTTATACCATTCTCATTTTACAATTCTTCTTCCCTGAAGATACCATGCCACTGCTCTTGCCTGAATCCCATTACACTCATTTTGTGAGCTACTGTAACCATGAAAAGCGCAATATAATTATATACACCAATATATTGTATGCACAGTATTTTTTTCTATTGCTGTTATTCTAACATACTACTTAAAACGTAACCATAATAACTGTTGTTGTTCTGTGCTTTCAAGTTATTTCCGACGTATTGTGACCCTTGATGAACCTATCATGGGGTTTTCTTGGCAAGACTTGTTGCCTTTGCCTTCCTTTCTGTGGCTGAGTAGGGATTCGAACCCTAGTCTCTAGAGGCATAGTCCTGTGCCCAAACCATTACACCACACCGGCTCTTACATAATCACTGTTACAGAGAAGCAAATATGTGCATCCATTATATCAATGAATTGATTAATTTTTAAGTGGGCATTATTTTTTATGTTATACATTGATCATATTCATAAGTTATAATATAATATAGGAGCAGGAGAGAAATACACTACAGCAAAATCATATTTCCTTTCTTTGTGCTCTTCAGGTTTGTTACATTGAAGGACACAGGGTTATCAGTCTGGCTAATGAAATGTTTGGCTACAATGGCTGGGCTCATTCCGTCACTCAGCAGAATGTTGGTAAGCACGAATAAAAACTTAGACCACTTGTTTGATGCTAAGAGAAAATGTGATAAAAAAGTTCCTGTTCAAAATGCCATCTGAGCAGAAGGAACCAATAAACCAAAGGGTATTTATAGACAGTGGAGGGCTGCTTACAGAGAAGACACTTGGATCCAGCAGTGGTTTCCATTAAGGGGATTGGGGAGCAAACTTTGCTCGTTGGGGGAGCTTCTTGAACAGCATGGCAAGTGGCTTGGGGGAGCTAAAGGGGAAATCGTGAAAATTGTTCTTCTATCCCACTTTCATGGAAGGAGGATAGATGGACAACTCACTTTTTGAGTTAGTCACTAAAATGGCAGCTTGAAACAGTTAATTTACTGGTAAAAAAAGAATGAGTTGACTGCATCAACAATGGCTTTTGGGTGGGGAGTATGGCCTTGTTACATACTGATTGGGATTTGCATGTCTGAAATAGCAAATGGGTATGATAATTCTACCACCTCCACAGCACATCCATCTGCTAATCTTTAATTCATGATATCATCTTCTGTGTTTCTCCTAAACACCAATCTTCATTACTCACTTTCTCTGCAGTTAGATTTTCCTGTAAAACATCCTCCTAACAATATTGACTCTGCACACTCATGTTTTCAATCCTATTGCAATTGCTGCCAAATGATCTCATTATCCCTTTTACTGTTAGCTGCTAATACTGTTCTCCAATTTCCTGTTATCTATACTAGAAACATATTTAGACTACAGATGGACAACTCCTTGGGGTCTGAAAGCTGCATTGGCCTTCCATGTGTTTTAGGGAGCCATGTCCTAGTCTATGTGAAATCTTTGGTTCAAAATATGCTCTGCTCCATCCAGTGTGCCACTCTTCTCCCTCCACTGAGGTTTCTTGGACTTATGAGGACACTTTTTTGCAATCGCAAATCAATTTCTGTCTGACTCTGTGTCAAAAAAAAGGCATGTTGTATTATTGTGTGTGTGTGTGTGTATTGTATATACATATAATATTTATAATATTATAGTGTAATGCAATATAATAATATAATAATTATATAATTATATTACATGTAATATTACTAATAATATTTCAATATAGTGGTATGGTGCAATATAGCAGTGTTTAATGCTGATATTGAACTATGCTCATAATATAATATATTGTATGTAATAAATACCTTGTAAGCTGCTCTGAGTCTCCTTTGGGGTGATGTAATGGCATATAAATGTCATAAATAAATAAATATATGTAATGTAATATATTGTGTATATATATGTATTTATAATGCTATGCAATATAATACTACTACTAATAATATATTATAATTATATATTTATATTACATGTAATATTACTAATAATATTACAATATAATGGTATAGTACAATATAGTAATATTATATATAGTAATATTTAATACTGATATTGTACTATGCTAATAATATAATATATTGTATGTATATATATCTTGTAAGCCGCTCTGAGTCCCCTTCGGGGTGAGAAGGGCAGCATATAAATGTCATAAATAAATAAATAAATGTCTTGGGGATAATCCAGCCTGCTAAAACCACATGAGCTAGGTTTATACAGTCATGGGATAGGTTTCTCATGTAAAAGGCCAAGAATGCTGCTACATTTTGGCATAAAAATGTTTTCAGAAAGTTGGGTGAGCTTTGACTGGAAAGCATCCCTGGGGCCACATTTTTCCTACCTTTGACTATCACATGTATCACCTTATGCTTCAGCTACCTTTGATTTTGTATTTAAGCTGCTTGAAACTGTTTAGATTCAGACTTCTATGGAAGAAATAAAACATGCCAGAGAATACTCTGATCCTACATGGAAGAATTATTAAGGATTTACACAATAGTCATCTCTAATGTTCAGATTCCCAGAAGGCAATATTGCTCATGCTCTTGAGAGTTCTAAAATGTTGCTACTAATGAAGCTGTCTAGTCAAATAAATTAAACATAAACTGATGAGAACCTTGTTGATTCTGCCACTGAATATTAACAAAAACATGAATGGGACTAAATTGTTATAATGCTGTGAGTTAGAATGATTAGCAGTATGCACCTGATTTTTAGCTGGCTGAATTTGGCCTTAAAAATATTGGAAAGTGGTGCTCCACATTCTGTTTTCTAATCCCAATTGTAGAGGTCTTTCTGCCATTACATCACCCCAAATGATGCAATATTCTGCTGGAGAATATTCAAGCAGAGAATGGAAAATCATCTGCTCTGGATTTCCATTGCTCAGCAGAATATTGCTCCAAAGAAAAAGAAAACCAAGAAGGCAAAATGGTTGTCTGCTGAGACACTGGAAGTAGCCCAAGAAAGGAGGAAAGCAAAAGGAAACAGGGATAAGGGGAGATATGCCCAGTTAAATGCGCAATTCCAGAGGTTAGCCAGAAGAGATAAGGAACTATTTTTAAATAAGCAATGCATGGAAATGGAAGAAGACAACAGAATAGGAAGGACAAGAGACCTCTTCCAGAAAATTAGAAACATTGGAGGTAAATTTCAGGCAAAAATTGGTATGATAAGAAACAAAGATGGCAGGGACCTAACAGAACCTGAAGAGATCAAGAGAAGGTGGCGAGACTATACAGAAGATCTGTATAGGAAGGATAATAATATTGAGGATAGTTTTGACGGTGTGGTGAATGAATTAGAACCAGACATCCTGAGGAGTGAGGTTGAATGGGCCTTAAGAAGCATTGCTAACAACAAGGCAAGCAGGAGCCGACGGGATCCCAGCTGAACTGTTTAAAATCTTAAAAGATGATGCTGTCAAGGTGATGCATGCCATTTGCCAGCAAATATGGAAAACACAAGAATGGCCATCAGACTGGAAAAAATCAACTATATCCCCATACCAAAAAAGGGAAATGCGAAAGACTGCTCCAACTTCCGTACAGTGGCCCTTATTTCTCATGCCAGTAAGGTAATGCTCAAGATCCTGCAAGGAAGACTCCAGCAATACATGGAGTGAGAGTTGCCAGATGTTCAAGCTGGGTTTAGAAAAGGCAGAGGAACGAGAGACCAGATTGCCAATATCCGCTGGATAATGGAGAAAGGCAGGGAGTTTCAGAAAAACATCTACTTCTGCTTCATTGGCTATTCTAAAGCCTTTGACTGTGTGGATCATAATAAATTGTGGCAAGTTCTTGGTGGGATGGGCATCCCAAGCCACCTTGTCTCTCTCCTGAGGAATCTGTACAAGGACCAAGTAGCAACAGTAAGAACTGACCACGGAACAACAGACGGGTTCAAGATTGGGAAAGGCGTACGGCAAGGCTGCATACTCTCACCCAACCTTTTTAACTTGTATGCAGAACACATCATGCGATGTGCGGGGCTGGATGAATGCAAAGCTGGGGTGAAAATTGCTGGAAGAAACATTAACAACCTCAGATATGCAGATGACACCACTCTGATGGCCGAAAGCGAGGAGGAGCTGAGGAGCCTTCTAATCAAGGCGAAAGAAGAAAGCGCAAAAGCCGGGTTGCAGCTAAACGTCAAAAAAACCAAGATTATGGCAAAAGAATGATTGACAACTGGAAAATAGAGGGAGAAACCGTGGAGGCCGTGACAGACTTTGTATTTCTAGGTGCAAAGCTTACTGCAGATGCAGACTGTAGCCAGGAAATCAGAAGACAGATGATGCTGTCAAGGTGATGCATGCCATTTGCCAGCAAATATGGAAAACACAAGAATGGCCATCAGACTGGAAAAAATCAACTTATATCCCCATACCAAAAAAGGGAAATGCGAAAGACTGCTCAAACTTCCGTACAGTGGCCCTTATTTCTCATGCCAGTAAGGTAATGCTCAAGATCCTGCAAGGAAGACTCCAGCAATACATGGAGCGAGAGTTGCCAGATGTTCAAGCTGGGTTTAGAAAAGGCAGAGGAACGAGAGACCAGATTGCCAATATCCGCTGGATACTGGAGAAAGGCAGGGAGTTTCAGAAAAACATCTACTTCTGCTTCATTGACTATTCTAAAGCCTTTGACTGTGTGGATCATAATAAATTGTGGCAAGTTCTTAGTGGGATGGGCATCCCAAGCCACCTTGTCTCTCTCCTGAGGAATCTGTACAAGGACCAAGTAGCAACAGTAAGAACTGACTACGGAACAACAGACTGGTTCAAGATTGGGAAAGGCGTACGGCAAGGCTGCATCCTCTCACCCAACCTTTTTAACTTGTATGCAGAACACATCATGCGATGTGCGGGGCTGGATGAATGCAAAGCTGGGGTGAAAATTGCCGGAAGAAACATTAACCACCTTAGATATGCAGATGATACCACTTTAATGGCCAAAACCGAGAGGGAGCTGAGGAACCTTCTAATCAAGGTGAAAGAAGAAAGTGCAAAAGCAGGGTTGCAGTTAAACATCAAAAAACCAAGATTATGGCAACAAGAATGATTGACAACTGGAAAATAGAGGGAGAAAATGTGGAGGCCGTGACAGACTTTGTATTTCTAGGTGCAAAGATTACTGCAGATGCAGACTGGCCAGGAAATCAGAAGACGCTTACTTCTTGGGAGGAGAGCAATGTCCAGTCTCGATAAAATAGTAAAGAGTAGAGACATCAGACTGGCAACAAAGATCCTCCTAGTCAAAGCCATGGTATTTCCTGTAGTCACCTACGGATGTGAGAGCTGGACCTTAGGGAAGGCTGAGCGAAGGAAGATCGATGCTTTTGAGCTGTGGTGTTGGAGGAAAGTGCTGAGAGTGCCTTGGACTGCGAGAAGATCCAACCAGTCCATCCTCCAGGAAATAAAGCCCGGCTGCTCACTGGAGGGAAAGATACTAGAGACAAAGTTGAAGTACTTTGGCCACATCATGAGGAGACAGCAAAGCCTAGAGAAGACAATTATGCTGGGGAAAGTGGAAGGCAAAAGGAAGAGGGGCCGACCAAGGGCAAGATGGATGGATGGCATCCTTGAAGTGACTGGACTGACCTTGAAGGAGCTGGGGGTGGTGACGGCCGACAGGGAGCTCTGGCGTGGGCTGGTCCATGAGGTCACGAAGAGTCGGAGACGACTGAACGAATGAACAACAACAACAATCTGTTTCAGTAGAGAAGAAGTATTTGCCCTGTCCTATCTGGTAGCCTCTCAAGTATTTTAACAGTATGATCATGTATCTCCTTTGTTTTCTCTTCTGCAAGATAAACATATACTGCTCCTTCAGCCTATCCTCAAAGGCCATTTTTCTATACTAATAACAATTTCCATTGCTTTTCCCCGAACCCACTTCAACATGTCTAATCATTCATAAAATAGGATTCCCTGGTGGCGCAATGGATTAAACTCTTGTGCCGGCAGGACTGCTGACTGACAGATAGGTGGTGCAAATCCGTGGAGAGTGCAGATGAGCTCCCATCTGTCATCTCCAGCACCCCATGCGGGGACATGAGAGAAGCCTCCCACAGGATGGCAAAATATCTGGGCGTTCCCTGGGCAATGTACTTGCAGACGGCCAATTCTCTCACACCAGAAGTGACTTGCAATTTCTCAAGTCCCTTAAAATGCATTGTCCAAACCCAATACAATGTATATGTGTCTACCTACAAAAAAGCCACCTGGCCATGCCCTCTAATCATTGGTGTAACTGTTTATTTCTGCTCTTGTACAGATTTTGTTGATCTAAACAATGGCAAGTTCTATGTGGGTGTCTGTGCCTTTGTGAAAGTCCAACTTAAGGTAAATGGAGGGGATGTACCTTTGTGATATTGATACTATGCACATAAATGCTGCCACTGTTGCTGCTCGTCAGTTAAAAAGATGCCCCCTCATTGTTATCAGTGCCATCAGTGGTTGACAAGGGTTACCTTTTCTCTGTTTGGCTTTTCACATAAAGATTCTAAAGAAGATGAAAGCCCTTGCTTAAAACATAAGTATCTGATTTTTCAAGTGTCAAGTTATACAAATTGCAGTATGTTGGCCTTGCCATTTATATTTTCTGTTTGCCTGCACTTTCCAAGGTGAGGTTCTGACTCTAAAAAGTTTAAAGTTTTTTAACTCTAAAAGTTAAAACATGCTTCACTAGCATAATTTTGCAGATTGAATTCATTCCAAATCCCCGAGAATTTCAGAAAACTAAAATAGCTGCAATGTCCCATTAGACTTACTTTTACACAAAACAAGAATGAAGAGTAAGGTCATTGAAATGACTTACAGGCAAAGGGCTATGTAGTGGCTCTTACATAGTTTACTCACGTTGCAGGATGGGGCATACCATGAAGATGTTGGTTATGGAGTAAGTGAAGGTTTGAAGTCTAAGGCCTTATCACTCGAAAAAGCCAGGAAAGAGGCTGTTACAGATGGACTGAAGAGAGCACTAAAGTAAGTGCTAACTTGTTCATAACTTACGAGAGCCGTAAGGACAGGGAGCTGCATTCTAAACAACATACTCTCTCTCTCTCCCTCAGGTGCTTTGGTAATGCTCTTGGGAACTGCATCCTGGACAAAGATTATTTGCGGTCAGTGAATAAACTTCCCCATCAGGTGTGTTGCTTTGAGCTCCCAACAGCTGTATAACATAGTTCAGATTTCAGCCAAGAAACCTACCCTCCTGCAGTGAAAATGCCAAATTCTGCAGTGAGCACATAGATCATATAAGTTATGTAGTTTGTTTTCATGACTGTGATGAGTGCTGAGGATGACTAGTAATACTTCAGGAGGGACATAGTCCTAAAGCTGCAGCATCCTTTTTATTTTCTACCCCACGTTCTGTTCTGTCTAGATGGCTTCTTAAAGTAATCTAGTTAAAATAATGAATCTTTCAGAAACATATAATCTTTCAGAGACATCATAATAGCAGCTTGGGAATCCAGTTTCAGTGGTAGCCAGGGGGGCATTCGCACAATTAAAACTTGTGCCCCAGTTGCATCTGTACCTTAGGAAGTCAGACTTGGCTACGGTAATCCACTCTGGTTACATCCCGGATAGACTACTGCAACACGCTCTACATGGACTGCCTTTGAAGACTGTTCAGAAGCTACAAATGGTTCAATGAGTGGCAGCCAGACTGCTCACCAGAGCGGTGTACAGGAAGCATACAACACCCGTTATGTCAACTCCACTGGCTGCCAATCTGCTACTGAGCACAATTCAAAGTGCTGGCTTTAGCCTACAAAGCTCTAAATGGTTCTGGCCCAGCTTATCTATCTGAATGTATCTCCTGCGGAGTTTTAAGATCATCTGGCGGAGATGAGAGACAGGGCCTTCTCAGTCGTGGCCCCTCAGCTGTGGAACTCCCTCCCCAGCGATGTTAGGTCAACCCCCTCCCTTCTGACCTTCCACAAGAGAGTGAAAACGTGGCTTTGTAACCAAGCCTTTAGGGAACTTGTGCAATAGATAGACTTGGAACAATGTGCAATGACCATTGTTTTAATGTACTTTTAAATTCTGTTTTAATATTTATTTGAGTGTACATTGTATTTTAGGGCATAAAATTGTTGCCTGTATGTAAAGCCTCCTGGAATCCTGTTCCCCCCCCCCCCCCCCCCGGGTGTGTGTGTGTGTGTGTGTGGGAAAGATGAGATAGAAATGTAATAAATAATACTACCTTAATTTTTTCCTCTTTTTTTAAAAAAAGTCCTTTAATCTCCAGTTATCCTTACAAACTGGGTTCTTTTGCATTTCCCTCACCCAAGTGAATCATCACTTAAGCTTCTGCCTTCTGATCATTCCAGCCTGCATCATTCTGCTATTAACTGCCCACAGCCCATGGAGTTAGTCACTTTTAATTGTTCTGCTATCCATGATGGCTCTTGGATGTCGGATGAAAAACTGCAAGTTACATCAAAGCAACACTTGATTTGATCTCTCAAGCTCTCCCAAGAACGTTAAAAGCTGTGAGGTTTCTTGCAAAAAGAACCACAAGCTCCGAAGACTTCAGTTTTTATTGTCAGAAATCAAGGCTGATCCATAAAGTACACTGTATTGTCGAAGGCTTTCATGGCCGGAATCCATGGGTTGTTGTAGGTTTTTCCGGGCTATATGGCCATGTTCTGGAGGCAATTTTTCTCCTGACGTTTCGCCTGCATCTATGGCAAGCATCCTCAGAGGTAATGAGGTCTGTTGGAACTAGGAAAAACTAGGTTTATATATCTGTGGAATGACCAGGGTGAGACAAAGGACTTTTGTTTGCTGGGGCTAGCTGTGGATGTTTCAGCTGATCACCTTGATTTGCATTCAATACATAAAGTACACGTTACTGACTGAACATGAGTGAGAAATCCATTAAGTTAACACAAATAAACCTCACTTGCTCAGTTGACAAAGAAGGGTTAAAAGCCTGATGTGACTAGGCAAATTCTGTCAGGAAAGAGGCCTGTCTGTTATGAGGCTTTGCCAGTCTGTGAAATGCTTCTGTTGCATCTTGAATCTCTGGCTACTGAACACAATTTTCCCCATTCTTTTTACTAGATGCCTCCAGATCTTGATTTAAGCAAAGCTAAACGACAGGACTTTGAGCCTGCGATAGAAAAAGCAAGATATGGTAGCTGCTTGCAAAAGGCAAGCAAAGGCCAAAATCATCTGTCCGCAGCCACTCCTGGCAGTTGTGACCAGTGGAACTCTTCGCGAAGCTCGGTCGAGCAAGACCAGCAGAACAGGTAAGTGCTCTGGTCATTTCACATTTTGCAATGGGCATGCATTCCGAGAGTTTGAAAATAAATAGCGTATGTGTTACAGTCGCACTGTGATTTTCACTCCCTTATTCAAATTCAGTATCCATCTATTCTTGATCTGCATCGTCTCCTGCAGTGAGGGCATTGGTTTCCAGGTGGAAGGCGGTCCAGCTCGGGGTTGGCTTGACGCAATTTCCTCTTGGCATGTTTCTTTTGCCCTCCATTCGTGCCTCTTCAAATTCTGCAGCACTGCTGGTCACAGCTGACCTCCAGCTGGAGCGCTCACAGGCCAGGGCTTTCCAGTTCTCAGTGTCCATGCCAGAATTTTTAAGGCTGGCTTTGAGCCCATCTTTAAATCTCTTTTCTTGCCCGCCAACATTCTGTTTTTCGTTCTTGAGTTCAGAGTAGAGCAACTGCTTTGGGAGACGGTGGTCAGGCATCCGGACAACGTGGCTGGTCCAGCGGAGGTAATGGCGGAGGACCATCGCTTCAATGGTCTTTGCTTCTTCCAGCACGCTGACAATTGTCCGCTTGCCTTCCCAAGAGATTTGCAGGATTTTCCAGAGGCAACGCTGATGGAATCGTTCTAGGAGTTGCATGTGACATCTGTAGACAGTCCACGTTTCGCAGTCATACAACAGGATTGGGAGGACAATAGCTTTATAAACAAGCACCTTGGTATCCCTACAGATGTCCCGGTCCTCAAACACTCTCTGCTTCATTCGGAAAAATGCTGCATAGTAAATATTTTTATCCAAGCAAGATGCTGAACCTTTTTAAGGAGGGAATTCAGCACCTTGGATACCCAGCTGAGGTCTGCCATAAAGCCCAAAGCAGATGCACTGTTTCCCTGATATGGATCTCACTGGAGTGTGTGACAATATTGGTAAAAATTATCGGCTTATTTTTTTCATAGTGAGGCCTCATTGGCCTTGGAGTGTGATGCAACTTACCAGCGGAAATTACGGCAGAAGCAACTTCAGCAGCAGTTCAGACAAGAGATGCTGAAAAAACAGCAGATCCAATCAGATACTTCAGCTTGCAAAGCTACAGATCTAGGTAAAATATTAATAAGAATCTGCAATGGGTGTAATACCATAAGCTCAGAATGGCAGACCGATCCTTCCTCCTTTTGGTTGCCTGATTTTTGGCGCTTGGCTGCAAGCCCTGGAAGGCGTGGGCGCTTTGGGCCTGCTCACCACGCATGCACTCTCTTTCCAAGGAGAGTGCATGCATGGCGAGCAGGCCCAAAGTGAACATGCCTGCCAGGGCCTACAGCTGAGCGCCAAGTATGCACTCTCTTTGGAAAGAGAGTGTGTGCATGTGTGGTGAGTAGCCCCAAAGCGTCCACGCCTTCCAGGGCCTGCAGCCAAGCGCTGAAAATCAGGCAACCAAAAGGTTACCATTCCCACTTGCCTTTCATTTCACTGATATTTCCGTACCAGAGGGGATATACTATTTCATGTCTTCCAAATGAACAAAACGGCATGAAACATGAATGAAATTGAGGAAACTAATATATGACTAATATACATACATAAGAAATGAAAAAAACACAAGGTTGTATTGCAGTATAGCCTTTGTCCAAAGAGAGGGGCTCCTATTAAGCATCACAGACAGTCATCCTATCCCTGTGAATTAGCATTGTGTTCAGGTTTTCTTCTCAAACTCATTCATTTCATATCTTAGCAAATGCACAAGACTAGTATATATGCTTCCTAATAAGACACATAAAAAACCCATCAAATTTGAAGCTGCCAGATTTGATTAAGCAGTGCATTAATTAATTATGTTGCAGATTATTTTTTAATCAAACTTTAAAAATGGATATTTTTGCCAAAAAAGGTGCAGAGTATTCTGTAATTTATTATTATTTATTTACCATATTTATACCCTCCCCGTGTCACTCCGAAGAGGACTCAGGGCAGCCTTACAATAGGCAGCAATTTGATGGCATACACACATCTTAAAATAAACCATTCCAGTTAAAACCAGACAATTAAAACACAAATTATTAAACATAAATTAAAATCAGTGAATGTATTAAGTTGTGAAGTTTCTTTCAAGCAATGGGCAGTACCTTTTGTTTGTTACTCAGCAAGCAGTTTAGCTGATTAATAAACAAAAAGTAATAATCACTAGACAGTCCCCAAATTCATCTTTTGGAAAGTTGAAGTCTCAACCAAATTGATGAAATAAGATATTTTGCAGCATTAATTAACCATACCGGTTAGATATAATTGGAGATTATACATTTTTTTTTCTATTTCGGAAATAATTGTAGCCTGAAAGACTCAAATCAACAGGAGCAACTCATCTGTATGAATAGAGGGGATGAAGAGAACAACTGCTGAAGAAATCTGGACCCAGAGCATTATTCACCTTATCAATCTGCCTAGCTGAAAAAGTTCTATAGTTCAATTATTGGTTATATTATTTTAATTATGCTAATAGTTTTATAAAAAACCAAAATTACAATTCTTTTTTCTGAGTTGTAGGTTTTTCAGGTTGTGTGGCCATGTTCTAATGGTTTTTAATAAAACTATTAGCATAATTAAAATAATATGTTCTAGAACATGGCCATACAGCCCGAAAAACCTACAACAACCCAGTGATTCCGGCCATGAAAGCCTTCGACAATACAATTTTTTTCCTCTCCAGATTTGAAAGCAAATGTGTCTATGTCGATAATCTAAATCAAGAAATGTTGTATTACCTGTGTCAGCTCTAGTATCCTCTTTTATCTCTTTCCAGAAGAATGCAGTCTCCCTGCGATGAAACATGCCAATTCAGCCCAACTGGAGCCTTCTGTAGCGGAAGAGTTCCTTGCAGGTGAGTGAAGAAATTGTGTGCTGGCTATTTTGCCTTTCTAAAATGTGTGAAGGACAGCTAATGGAATGCTTATGAATCAAAAGTAAACTGCTTCTTTTCTCTGGTTCACTTGTTACACAACTATTTTTCTGGTGAAAGGGGGGCATTCAGGAAGACTATAAGGGATGAAACAGTGGGTCCATGTGTTCATCTTGTTGTGGAGAACTTCAGGTTTTATTTTAATATGCATGTTTGCTACATGAATGTCTAGCCTTATCCTGGTTGTGCCTGCCTCTGTTACAATTTGGTCCTAATAGTAATCAGACTTGAATGGTCAATAGTTGAGCCATCGCTACTAATGTTCAACTTATTTCAGATGACCCCGAGCTCTGGGATTTGCCTTTGGAGGCTGCCGATCTCAACGTTACCAGTCATAATGCGGGATCTGTGCAAACCCGTTCCTCAGGCACGCCTCTTGGACAGCATCAAATGATGACTCGCAGTAGGACCCCGCAAAGACTAAACCAGCAGAAACCCTGGGCACAACTTGCACCATCGCATGTCTCCACAAGCCCTAGGCCTCATTTACTAGGTACATTATATAAGAAGTATAAAAGCAAATAGATCTAGGTACAGAACTGGTAGCAGAGGAGCAAATTATACTTTCCATTCTTGAATATAATACAGAATGTGGAAGCTGGAAAGACTGCTATGCACTAGAGCTTTTATGTTACTGCTCTCACACGGACAGTCCTAAGGCAACGGTTGTCAAAAGTATGTGCTTCAGTGGTTTTGGATTTCAACTCCCAGAAGGGCATCCATCTTGGTCTATGCTCAAATTATGGATATGAGATCCAAAACCACTTGGAGGATCACAGCTTGAGAATCACTGCTTTAAGTGTCTCCAGGTCTTCTGGAACGCAGAGGTGGAAAACCTCAGATTTTTCTACTGCTTTCAACTTTCACTACATCACCTTCAAATTCAGAGCGACATACATCCAACTAAGTATTCTTAAATGTTTATGGTGTTCAAGGTGAACTCTCAGGAAAGAATAATGATCATATAACTGCTTACTTCACTTTGCTGCAGAGAGAAGGCAAAAGTAGGCAAACTCTCTTAATGTATGAGAGTCTTTAAAATAAATGTTATTTAAACTATTATTTCTCTTTCAGCCGAGGGCAGTCCATACAGGAGAGGCCAGGGAATGAAGAAGAGAAGACTGGAGTGCACATAACATGAAATGCTTAGTTATCATCTCTCCAGATTTTATTCCAGAAACTATTTGGTTGGATAGTTTCACAACTGAGAATATTCTCCACGTTAGTATGCCCAGAACTAAATGAGGAAAGATGTGTATACATGTTGTGTATAGCTTTGCAATATTTAACTGAAAGCTGGAAGTTATCAACTCTGATCACATTCCATTAAGTGATGCGACTCTATATCCAAATACAAAAATGTGCAAGCGTCCTTTGTTTTAATTTAACAATATTAGTTTTAGCAAGAGCAGATGATGTATACAAATAGACTGACATGTGCTCAATTGGATAAAGTTGCCAACTAGTTGAATTAATCTGACTCATAACATTTTAACAGTAACATTTTTAAAATCCTAGTGAACCTTTTGTGGAATAAAACATTTAAGTATTTGCCACCCAACTATATCAGGGTACTAATTTTACTGACTACCCTGTATTAACATGCCTAAAGGTTTTGTTTATGAATTTCGGTGTACATGTGTATTTTCAATCTTAAACAAAGGTCCTAGCTTTGAAAAGACTATGCATAAAAACTGAAGACACATGCAGTCTCTCAATTGTTTACTATGTGCTTATCCGATTCTCTTTCAAATAAAGACAAATCATGGAGGTTTCTGACCTAGCTATGGAAGTTTGTTAAGCCAGTTCTTGAAGCTGATATAAGTATCTTCCAGTATCTTAAGTATGGTATGAAAACTTAGTATTGTCTGCCTTGGTAAAGGCAGTTCAGGTGGAATGTATTTTACAATCTAAATGTTAAAGAGCTTTAGATGTGTGCTAGTGCTTCTTCTTCTGTAGAACAGGGAAAGAAGCAGGAAAGATCAAACAAACCTTTTCTTTGTACCATCTTTGTAGGAGACTGGGGTTCTGCACCTAAGCAGTCACATTTTCCAACCCAGATGCAGAAAGACAGTGCTTTCCTTAAAACTAGTTCACCCCTCTGGGAATAATATCTTCATTAGATTTAAACAATTTTATGCTCACTGAACTGAGCAATTCCCCCCTGAACAATTCTAAGAATTAGATTCATAAAATTTTCCTAAAATACCACCAATCTTCCTCACAGAACTGCTGTTCCTAGATTGTCCTTTAAAGAAGGTAAATGTGTACTTGTTTTCTGTGAAGTAGCTATAGAAATGGTGTAAAAGTTAAGATTTAAATCTGTCAGCTCTAAAGAAACTGCATCTCATCTGTAAAGCGTGATTTGCTAATAGCTTCATCAGTCTGTGGAAAAAATCCCATTGCCTATTTTATCTGTCAAATCCCTATCAAATAAACGTCTATAGAGCATGCATTTTAGAGATGTCTTAAAGAAGGCAGTTGCGCTCATTTAGAAGATAAGTTTCTTTAATTAGTTGATAGTTTTACTTCCCCTTTACCTTTACTTTACCTTTTTAACAAGGTAGTTTACAGCAAAACTGAAGAAAAATCAATAAAAATATAAATGAAAGGCCATGAATTCAGAAAATGCAAAACCCAAAGAATTACAAGGTTCCTTCCTTAAAGATGATTTTGGTTCCAAAACCCTGTCAGGAGATGAGTCAGAACCTGGAAGCTCTTGAAATTAAGATGTGCTGACAATGAAGATCACTCAGTCTTCCCAGCGTTCAAGAAAGTCAGTTCTAACTAGCCCTCTATTGTCTCTCGTATATACCTAGAAGCTAATCCCCCCCCCCCGCCCCTCTCAGCCCCACTACTTGGCATTCAACCCGTCTACACTTTCGTTTCCCAGAGCACTGCCAGATGTTCTTATCTATGTAACCTTTCCCAATTCCTTCCCATCCCCCCCCTCCCCCCCAAATCATGGCCCCTCTTCATGTCAGAACAACATGGGCAGTCTTTTCCCACACTGCATCAAGCTTCTTGACAAGGAGTAAGTAGCCTGCTCTCTGAAAGTATCAACATGTCCTCCTTTGCAAGTTTCCTCAAACCTGGAAGTAGATGCAGAGAAAAGTGTCTCCTCCATTGCCACTTAACATGCCTCTCAGAGTGACTGTCTGAGCACACTCGGCACCTTCTGAAGAAGTCCTTTTGTGGCCAGTTGATACAACCTTCAAAGTCCAAAGCCTGAGGGGCTCACCAGATTCAAGTGCAAACAGCAATACTGCCCTCAGTCCAAAGGAATGTTACATCTAAGTCTGAAAATTGAACTCAATTCATAAGAGATTTAAGGAACTAAATAATTTCCCCCCCAATCTCTGATGGCCTTTAGGAGGCATAGCTATATGGAAATTAACTGATACAAAGCAAAATGAACAGTTTATTTAATCCCGATTTTATGTTGTACTGTATACTACACTAAATAAAAACAGTACAAGAAATATCTCATTCTGAAATACACTGGTACAAACGAGAAAGACTGTCACCAAGGAGGCTGTCCAGACCTTGAACCAGTGCTTGGCTGCTGTGTCGGACTTGATGAGAGCTAACAAATTGAAATTGAATCCAGACAAGACAGAGGTCCTACTGGTCAGTCGCAAGGCCAAACAGGGCATAGGGTTACAGCCTGTGTTAGATGGGGTTACACTCCTCCTGAAGACGCAGGTTCGCAGCTTGGGAGTGATCCTGGACTCATCGCTGAGCCTGGAACCCCAGGTCTCGGCGGTGGCCGGGAGAGCTTTTGCACAATTAAAACTTGTGCGCCAGCTGTGCCTGTACCTTGGGAAGTCGGATCTGGCCACGGTGGTCCACGCTCTTGTTACATCCCGGATAGATTACTGCAACGCACTCTACGTGGGGTTGCCTTTGAAGACTGTTTGGAAACTTCAATTAGTCCAGCGGGAGGCAGCCAGATTGCTCACCAGAGCGTCATACAGGGAGCATACCACCCCCTGTTGTGTCAGCTCCACTGGCTGCCAATCCAGTTCCGAGCACAATTCAAAGTGCTGGTTTTGACCTATAAAACCCTATACGGTTCGGCCCAGCGTATCTGTCCAACCGCATCTCCCTCTACGTCCCACTTCGGAGTTTAAGATCCTCTGGGGAGGCCCTGCCCTCGGCCCTGCCTCTGTCACAAGTGAGGTTGGCGGGGACGAGGAGCAGGGCCTTCTCAGTGGTGGCCCCTCACCTATGGAATTCACTCCCCGGGGAAATTAGATCAGCGACATCCCTCCTTTCCTTTAGAAGGAAATTAAAAACATGGATGTGGGACCAGGCGTTTGGGCAATCTGGCAGATAAATAAAGGACGGCAACGACGGATAGGAATAGACAATGTGGAACAAACTAGACTGAGTTGGCGAATGCTGTGCTAGAGATTGGCTTACTGACTGTGATATATATTGTTGTTTTAACTGTTTAACTGCTGTTTTTATACGTTTATTGTATTATGAAGGCATCAAATTGTGCCATTTTGTAAGCTGCCCTGAGTCCCCCCTCGGGGGTTGAGAAGGGCGGGGTAGAAGTATACTAACTAAATAAATAAATAAATAAAGAGCAGCATCAAAACAAGCCAGGGAGCAGAAAGGACAAGTTCAATGCTTGGGAAGAGTAGTCTAAGCAAACTACATATATTTGGTAGTGTTCTGGTTGTCACTCTATGTGTGAAGAGACAAATAACTTTTCCCAACCCAAATTATTACATGATTAAAAAATGAGTAGGAAGTGGCAAATTAGCTGGTACAATGGAACACTGAAGCAAATGGTAGATTTGCGTGAAGTTGAAAGGAGTGGATCAATGATAAATTGGATAGGATAGGATGGAACATTAAAGCTTAACTGAATCTGTCCGTTCAATAAGAGCTTCAATTCAGAGTTGGCTTCCATGACGTTTTAGAGGGAACATGATTCTTGATTCATCTTCCTGGAACAAAATAGGAGATGGCCTGCATGGAGAAGGATTTTATTTAAACAAAGTTCTTTCCGTGCATCTATTGAATCAAAGAGACTGCCACAGTTGGACTGCCATGCCTCAGTTCGATTCCTGGCTTTTATATGCTATGTGCACTGACCTTTAGAATTATGATCTATCTATTTGGACCTTCCAATAAAAGACACAGGTATAGTTTGTGTGTAATTCCAAAATATAGGCTCTAGTATTTAGACAGGATCTAGTATTTAGACATTTTTTCTGATTCTCTTACCATTGCCATTTCAAATAGCCATTTTCCAGCCATTATCATTCTATTATTTGAGGTTCAGACCCTGCTGAAGTCTCAAAAATCAAAAGTGTGCCTAAACTCTCCAATAATATTGTTTATTGTCTGGAGGCACCTGAAGTCTCCAGCGAGCTCAAATGACTTTCTTCTGCAGACACTGTTAGTGGCAGCCACTTCTTGATAGTAAAGCTTCAGGGCACAGAAGGAAGAAAAGCCAACTGAAAATGAGAAACCACAGCTCAACAAAAGCAGGTTTGGTTTATTTGAATGATTTCATTAAATATCTACAAAGAAGGTAACAAACGGCAGCACAAAGCGCAATCATACAGGAAGCGCAATGCCTGGATTTAGTGCAAAACATACCATTAACTACGGCCAGGGAAGCCCAAGGTTTGAATTCTTTTTATTTATTTGTTTTTACAGTGTACATTGTTAAATAATGTAAAGAAAACATCTGTAATTCAGAAACAGATCTTGTGGAAAAAGGTACTCAAAAGTGTAATATTAACACAAAATAATTTAACAGTTCAGTAGCATTAGTTCATTCTTCTAGACTTCAGTTATTTCATCCACAGGAGGGAAATCAACGTTAAATAAAACCAGCACTTTTCAGTGAAATCCTGACCTCAAACATATTAAACCAAAATACCACCCTTGTGCAACACTCAGTTGACTAGTTCCTCTATCACAAAGTGGCATCTTTCTCATCTCTGCTCTTTTGCACTTCCTGCACATTAGCCTCAACTCCTGTTGCTGCCTTTAAGATCCTTAGCCGTAGAATAGAAAGCACAACTTTTCAGATTTTTTCCCCCTGCAGGAAGCCTTAGGCTCATATTTGCCCATCCTAATTGTGCACACTTTTTCCCTTTTCTTTAAGTCTGGTAACTTGTTGAAACCCAGCACCTCAGTTATTCAGCCCCCATGTCCAATCTATCTTCCTAACAAAGCCACTGTAAGCTTCAACTTGAGGTGAATGGATGGAAAGAAAGACCTGTGCATATGTTTGAGGGAAGAGTGAAACCAAGTACAGAAAGAACAAACTTCCTGCTAACTTTAGAGAAACTTCAAGGGCGGGGTAAAGGGGGGGGGGAGACACCTCTCCTTAGTATACAAGTCTCTAGACCAGCAGTAGAGCTGTTCCCAAATACAAAGCAGAAGTACTTTGACCCTTCACAGCCTGCTGCAGCAATACAGATAATACTAGTTGGTTGCAGTATTTCATTTGAACAAGGAATTAGTATTTTAAGGTAGAAAGAGGAAGGCGAGCGGAAAGTAGGAGATATAGTACACCTACCAGAAGGCAACACAGTTAGTTACAGTCATGGTACCAGTTTTAAGTTCTTTACACATAGAACAAAAACAAGTTGGTTTTTGATAGTGGCTGTTTCAAGTGTATCCATCCTTGGCAATTGATGCTGTGCCAGGAAGATTTGCTCCTGGCCTTTCTGGATTAAATCAGGGGGGGAACAGATCCCAGCAGACACAATCCCTCGCTAGAGTGATAGCTCTAAGCCCTTAACAAACTGCCCTTACAAAAAACCTTTATCACTTTAAAGTCAGTCCACCCATAGGAGCTACCCTTCCAAAGATTTCTCTTCCTCCTCATTTCCTCTGTTCCTACATAGCCCAGCTCTTACTCTGCTCATTGTATTTACTCATTTCAGCAACTTCACACTAATCCATCCTTGCTGCTGTGTCAATAGCACTGGTTCCCCCCAAGAATCTATAGCTTTGCTTTTTTCAACATACAACTGCAGAAGCTCCCCCTCCAACTCCAGCTCTAGACACTATTACAGTAATAAACATACAATGTGTTGTTACGCCTTTGGTATTCCAGTGACTATGTTCAAATAACTTCCCTTTCTCCTCTGCCTTTCCCTCTGCCTGTCTAAAGTCTGCTGGGAAGGTGATGCTAACTGCAGAAGCAATAAAAGTCCAAGGCACTAAAATATCCAGCAAGCATACTGGGAGAACAGACAAGTATTCAAGTACATTAATTTATACAATTATACATTCACATTTATCTAATACAATGAAAATAAAAAGGAAAAAAGTTAAAGTGTCTCCAATACGTATCAGGATATAGCTAGCTTTTTCCCCATTTTTTTTCCTTTTTAACTGTTTAACCCTCTATAATCCACTCATTTTTTTAAACTACTGTTGTCCAACAACATTTATATATCACAGTGTTTCCACATCAAAACTGATGGTAAGTACATGTCCGCAGGGAACTTTTAAAAATTTATCTTCTAAACAATTTAAATTGCTCTAATGCTGCAGTCAAAGCTGTTAATATCTTTTACTTAAAGCAGTAATGACCTATCTCAAAGCATGGGCTGTGCCCCGTCAGCTCAGGATCTTCGACGTGATGGCTTGAAGGAAAGGGCAGACAAAATGGTTCAATTTCTCAGAGTTAAAAAAACAAAACATCAAACTAAAGATTCATGCTGGAATGAACAATAATTCTCCCATCTCAACCCGTGGGTATTTGGCCTCTGCAGCCAAATTAATTTTACAACACAAAGCCATTGGCTTGCATGGTGATTTCCATTTCTACACATTCTGCCACACAAAAGAATGAAAGGAAGCACGTCCCATCATGGAAGATCCTGATCACCCTTCTCCCCATCTTCAGATTAGAGGGCTTTTCCTTGCTGAGAGCACAGAGCAACCGTTAAGAGGGAGAAATTCACCCCCTCTGGGCATCAGGAGTCTCTTAACTGCAGCCCAGTAGTTGATTCAAGGCCCCATCTCCTCCCCTCCCCCCCAAGGTCTACCCAGCAGTGTATCTGGGTCTCATTAAGTGGTCCGCAGATTAGATCCGGGGGGGTTACTAATAGATTTCTGCAAATTGCTGATGTTGAAGTTTTGCAATGAGGCAGCTGCTACAGGCTGGAATTGGCCTAAAGGTGGCTGTGCTGGACCACCTGTCCCACTCCAGGGAGGTACAAAGGGCACTGTTGGGTAACCGTACGGCTGAGGGGGGCACATAGCCTTTGTGAAGTGACCTAAAGAGGTAGCAGATGCTGCAGAGATTGGTGTAGCACCAAGGGAGGACGTCATCGAGATGCAGAGCTGGCTTGGTGCAGAAAACTTTCTTGCCATGCCTGGGCCCTAAAAGAAAAACCCAACCCAAGGGTAAATTATTTGAGAAATATTCCTACATTTTCAACAGTATTATCTAGTTAACATTCTCCCTCACAACCTTGGCAGATTATTCAAATTAGCATTACATTGCTTCACTGAAAGTCAAATAATACGATCACAGCATTCACCCAGACCAAAAACCTACCTCATAGTTGCCATGTCCTTTGCCTGCTTTCTTGCCAGAGAGGTTCATGGCATCACGGGCCCAGTTATCCACCAACTTGTGCAGGTCATCAGTAAAGGTCCCTTTCCGGCTAGAGGCAGGAGGCTGAGATTGAGGCGCCTGGCTGTTCACTGTACCTCCAACTGTATTTGTACTGCTGGTCCCTAAAAAAGCAAAGGAATGACTGCCATTTAACTTGATGGGTTATAATTTCATAAGGGCCACCAAAGCTATAGCTACAATGGAAAACAAGAAAGAGCAAGAGTTTTAAGAGCCATGCACATGAGTTCTACAAATCAGCACTAGGACATAATGAAGAGGAAGGGTTCTAGGGCTCAGCTAGCAATTTCTCTGCTATTAGGTTAATTACATAACCGCATGTTATTTTTTCCAGATCAGTGGGTAGTTCACAAATTTGTCCTTTTCTACTAGAGGGTGAATTAGATTTTGGCATTAATGACTAGGCCACGATAGTTCCCTCTGTACAGTCAACATGTGCCTATTATACTGAATTTACACCACTACCAACCCTGCCGACTCAAATAACATACAGTAACCATATAGACTGCAGCTCTGTTCTGTAGATGGAATATATAAAGTGGACCAACTCATTATTGGAAATGGGTATTCATACTACTATCAGCAACTATCTGGGAGGATGCACCAAGAACCTGTCGGCCTAATACCCAAACACAGGACAGCCAAAGATGACTGGCAACCAATCCTTAATGAATCAAACTCAGGTGGTGGCTTCCTGGGAAACCTGCACATCTGTACTTAATTTTTGAGAAATGCTTCCATTCCATGAATAGTATACGTACAGCGCTTGGTGGAATCAAATAGTAAGAATGAAAGAAAGCACAACATAATTAATATTCTGGTCTGATAACTATTCAGTGGCAAATCAATAACGGAATGATGTGGAAAGCAGGATTTGATTTCCATCATTGATTACTCATGAAGCAGCAACCTAAATACAAACGTTTAAGAGTGCTGAGAATCACAAAACAAATCTTGAGCACCATGACAACTTTACCTCACATTTCCAGAAAATGAAGTGAAATCAGCTGGCTATACAGAAATTCTAGCCAGGCAAATGTCTGAAGTACAGTTCAAATACTATATTGGAGAAGAATAAACCTGAATCCAGTGAAAAACTACCCCTTTCAGTACAAAGGGAGAAAAGATATGTGTATCCACAACAAGAGCAACTTAAGGCATCCAGTTAAACAGCACATTAACTTCACCTAACTAGTTCCCCAAGACTGGGACAGAAAGCATAACAGTGTCAAATCTTACAGAAGAGTTACAGGAAGAGGCCAATAATTACTCCTTGCACAAGACTAAATTTTTAAGTCCTGGCAATTCCTCCTTACCATTTAGGGACTTGTAATTATAAGAAAAGCCGCTGGTACTTGCAACTGAACTTTGGACCCTGCTTCTGAGGGAAGAATTGGCCTCCCTAAATCCAAGCCAAATTAGGCATGAATACAAAACATCTTTCTTAGTTCCAGCAACTGAGCAAGGTGAGATTGCACTGTGAAAAGACTTACAAGCAGATAATGCTAGCTAAGGTGTTGAAAGAGGCAGCTTTCTGTCCAAAACTGAACTGAAAAGAGGGAAGTGATGCATATCCACATGCAGGGGAGGTGAAGGAGGAAGAGTGGCCCTGTCCAGGTAAAGGGGAGGAATGCAGAGTGAAACAGTAGTAATACTATAATTACACATCATGTGCAAAGGAAACTCTATTTTCAATGCAAAAGGATTCACCCATGTGGCACGAGAGGGACTAGAACACAGACATGTGCCTACTGATAAAGGAGCAGCCAGAGGAATAACCAGTACAAATAGTAGGTAATAGTGAGGGAAAGAAGAAATAGCTTGGCACAATGTACCAACAGGTGTGTTCAGTATATTTTGCTGTCAACAGTCTCATGCAGGGATTCAGCACATACCCTTCAGTCCTTTCCTGATGGCCAGAATCTACATGACTGCTCCTCAATATAGTGCCCAGACAGTGAGCATTTAAAACACAACTTGTTATTACTATAGCTCAAAATGTGGAAGGGAATTAATCCTTAAATGTGAGCTAGGATCTCACAATGCAATACTCAACTTTGTTTTACTAGGTGTTTGTAATACACCATATTTTCTCAGGATCTTTTCATGCTATTAAGTTAAGAAGGATTGTGATATTAAATATGAGACTACCAAAAAGCTTCTACTTCTTGGCTTGTAAGAAGCCAGATTTCAGACATTCAAGATATTGAACCAGCCATCAAGAAGAGACTGACACACACTTATATCAGTGACAATGGAAAATAACCTCCCTCCAATCTTGCTCAGTCACAGCAAACATTACAGAATCTTATTTTGGCTATTCATAATAATGAACAAAAGAAGAGGCTCCTCCCTCAGCCTGCAGACCATATAATTGCATCAAATTTCCTGAGCATCCTACCTCTTTCACTTGTGAATTCAGTTCACTCCATTTTTTCTTGTATCCACATAAATGGCTCCCCCCACCACCCACCCCTCCTCACACTGCTGGCACACTGTAAGGGCACTGGAGTATTTGCTCTGCTTGTAAGATATGGAGGTTCTCTACAAATGGACCAGTGCTTCAGTTACACCCCTTTCAACATGGTCAGTGCAAAGAAAGCATGAGAAAATATTTTTGCATTCCAATCAAAGATGCTGCAATTACCGATGCTAATTTATACACCCTTCAGCATCACTGATCATAGCCAAGGTGTACACAGTGTGGCTGAAGGTTAACGTAAGCCCTTCCAGTGAGGAACAGTAGTCATGAGGTGGCCAAGTCTCTTGCCAGATTAGTCCAGAAAAACCAATTAGAAAGGGCAGACAAAACACGCAAGACAGATGCTGTGCTCAAGAGAGATTCAGGGAGGTTAAACTTCAGGGATCAGAGGGAAACTCAAACATTGCAGCTTGGCAGTCAGAGTTTAGAAATAACCAAAATGCAATAATTACTACAGAGCTGGTTGCAAGGGCAGACTTTTTTCACCATCTTCCCTGAAGCACAAAGAGAAAGCAATTTGTTAAACAGTGAGAAACATTTAGTGTCAAGCAAAGAGCACAAAAAGCCTGGCGAGAAAAAGAGGAGAAAACAAGAGCACACTGTCACTTGGTGACACTGCTCAACTCTTTAGAGAGGTCTTCCACAATGCAAATTACACACAAAGGTGACTTTTAACTAGTGGAAGTGTGTTAATCACATTTAGTTGCAGAATTCCTACAGCTTCTAAAAATGTCAACAGACTAGAATTGTGGTTTTGTTATTTGACAAATAACAAATAGGTAAATGAATCAGTTTGGGTTAGGTCTCTCGAACACCTCCAATTTTGAAATCTGCAAACTGGGACTAAAAGTCAAAGCAAACCTGAACACTGGACTAAATACTTATTTTTTTCTCCTATTAATCTGCTAACTATTTTTAAATACAAAAGGAATGGCACAAAACCCCCTCAAAACAAACCCTAAAAGGTTATTTTGGTGTCATGAAATAAATTCAATTTATATTACACTCGTTGAAAAGATGACATCCTTCAGAGCACCTCTCTATTTCCTGGAATGTCAGTGCCACCAGAGGCAGGTACAAACCTACTGAATCTTTCCCACTTTTTCTCCAACTACACAGACAAATCATTTAGTTCTTTGTCCAGCTTCTTAACTTCTAACAAAGACCTTTCCTCTTCTTCATTTCAGAATGGATGATGGGAGGTTAGGTCAAAGACTGAGATAAATTTTTAACACTGTACACAAATTGAGGATCAAGCCAAGCCATGCCTTTTATTAGCATCACCTACATTCACAAGACAGCTGCAAAAAAATTGATAGGCAAGGGTAGATGGCACTAGCCTAAATCCAATAGTTGGGGAGACCACCGAAATAGATGGGACTTGTGTTAGTTGTGACTAATAAGTCCTGTCACTTTCAAGAGATCTAACTTACAGAATAAGACCATGAGGTTTATCCTACTTCATTTGCCAGTACCATGAGGCAACCAAATACCACTTTATGTCTTCTTCCTCATGATGCTTAGTCCATAAAGGTAACTTCTCATAATGTCATGAGGAGTCAATTTTTAAAACTAGAACAACTGCACAGTGTGAATTAGTTATATCCTTGCCACCCACTGAAAATCCTTCAAGATTTAACTGAAGGCTTACTTGTTCTCTCTTGATTTATTATAATCTGATATTTTCTAACAGTGATTTAGCATTTCCTTAGCCCTGAATGAATCTCTATTGCCTTCGTAATTTTCTGCCTGGACCTTCAACTGCATTACTATTAACAAGTCTGAGATGGGGAGGAGTTGCACCGTTTTCAGATTATGATTTGGATAGGATTTTGATTGTTTTTGCTTTGTTTTGCAGATCTATATGGACTGATAGTCATAGTATGTTTGATACATTAAATTAATAAGGCAGTAAATGTATCGTGTAGTATTATCATTGCTTCAAGCAACCGAAAAATAAATCCAGTGAAAATGAAGTAGTGTAAAATTCACCTCCTAATTTTGTTAAAAAACAAAACAAAACAATTCTCTGAAATCAAATGTGATCATCTCATGATTCCCACTGCAGCTACCATGGAACAGTCTGTCAGAAATTGCTGCTTTACTGGCTGCAAACCCAGAATATTCCTAGCCTGTAGGAGCTGGTGCTCAGTATGTATGGACAATTCTTTCATCAACAGGGGACTTTGTTTATATTGAAAGTATGGGAGGAGGAATAAAACCTGGAATCACCCCCAGGAAAAACAATTGTACTCAGTGCAGGGGAGTACTTAAAATCTGTCACATAAATAAACCCCCTTTATTCCCTCACATGTCATCATTCTGCCTAATTTGAGAAGGAGTTTGCACACCGATTCTATCAACTATGTGTAAAACAACAACTGATTTTAGAATCCAATTCATATTTTTAGAACGCTGATTATTTTAATATGTGTATTTGGTTTGAATGTTTACTTAAATGTGTGATAGTTCTTGAAACTCTTCAGCCCAGAAGCATGAGATATAGCTCTAGAAAGGAAAACCTGTGTAATGTGCTGCAAAATGGTGTGCCAAGCAGCACATGAGATGCTGCAAGAGAAGTATTTATACTGAAAAGCTCTTAGTCACATTTATTATTGAATCTCCCTTCCAAATCACAGAAGTGGAAAAGACCCACACTACCAATACTATCTTCTAATTCATGGTCTCATAAATCATTCCTATGGCAAACACTACAACATGGAACATCTGCTCCTGAACATATTTATGCAACTCATGAGTTAACATAAATAACTCCTCCTCAGGGGAGGAATAGAAAATGAAATGTGGGAGGAACACACAAGCAAAGCTACCCATTTTCTGCTTTAAAATTAACAAATACAGTAGAATGCACAAAGTCCAAAAAGGCATTAGCCATATCCCTTTCTGGGCTGATTACCATCCTGATTTAAAGTGCACCTATGGAAAATGGGGTGTTGTATTTCTGGCATAACAACGACTCTCACAGCACATAAATTCCTCAACCTAACAAAACTGCTGTTGAGTTCATGTGAAGTAGTGGGAATATCATACCACGTACACAATTGAACTCAATCTAATAATGATCAGCCCAGAATGATATGCCCTGCCTCTCAGAGCTGTGTGATTTAACCACGTGGTTTGCAGCACAGCTTCTAAGTGAACTATCAGGAAGGGGTCTGCATCTGTGGACATGGCTTTTACAGCATCTATTTCTATTCCCCATAGGGAAGCCTATACACCTAAGGCAAGGAGTCATAAAAAGGACTTCTTGATACCTGAAGCTCTATTTAAAATATGAAGAGAACTGTCACCAACACAGCCTTTTGGCTGAGCAACCAAATAACAATTTCAGTAGGATGCTTTCTGCAAGATAATATTTAAGAGCAACTCAGCCAAGCCCTGGAGTTGGAGAGATACAAGAAGGCAGATGTGAATGGACGGCATGTGACAACAGATCCAAGTAGCAGAAAACAAAAAGACGAGGAAGGAGTAAAGGTGTTACACACAAAGAGCCAAGCAGGGCGTACTCAGAAATCGGGTCCTCCTGCCACCAGGCTTGAATGTCACCCGCTCAGATGCACAGTTAAACTTCACACAGCCTGTGGTAAAACAAAAAGGGGGAAAACAAGGAGAAGAAAAGAGACAGAACACAACTACAAGATGTTAGAAAACTCTAGACTGGAGTGGTGAAATGCACTAGCAAGACACAAGAAAAAGAGCTTAAATCAGTAGAGCATATGCAAGACATAAAGTGCTCTGCCCCCACCTGCACAACTATCAAGACTCATACTGCTGTTTTCTAATAGTTAACCCAGAAGAAAGAGGGCTGCATGCCACAAGCAATGTAAGTCATAAGAGAGGCACATATTGGCATAGTACATGATACTATTTGTAGACATGAACAGTTCAGATTAGTAGGGCTCATGTGATCCAGAGAAACAACCAGAAATTCTCTTCTGCCTAAGAGTGGTATATATTTTCTTATTCTATTTTTAGTCAGCTTTCCCATTGAAATTCACACACTGCAAATCTTAGCCATGTCTGAATTCAAAGACAAATACTACATACATTATCAGTGAGGGGAAAAAATTAGAAAGCCATCACTTCTAAAGGTCCAATGTATATATAAAGGAAGGTTTCTAACATAAAGAAGAGTCATCAAGAGGCCATAAACTTTTAACATGGATAAGGCCACAATACCTCTAGGATAAGTGTAGTCTTGCAACAGCTGCTTTAAGCATTCCCTTCCATCATCTCCATATGGCAGAATACGGAGGACACTGGAACATTCACTGTAATATCCCTAATTTTACTTTCTGGAGTGTTCCAGGTCTGTCCAGATTCATCATATGAAGAAGTTTAAAATGTAGGAAGGCAGTGAATCTCACACCTCAACTCTCAATGAAGTCTATCTCTATCATCCACAATATTTACCTTGGCCTGGCGCAGAAAGGCTTGGTATGGAAATGGCACCATCACTAGTAAAGGCAGAGTAGAGGTTCTCACTAGAAGGAGAAGGTTTCAGGGGCTGTAACAGATGGTTCTGTCCTGTCTCTGGGACACTGCCAGGAGGATGGAGGGTCTGCTGTTGGGGCAAGACTGAAGGTGCGCTCTGAGCAGACAAATTTCCTGTAACGTGGGGCAGGGGGAGGTTTAGGAGAGCAAATCATTAGAATGGCAATATGATGGACACCCAGTTACCTCATCCCAGAGGAGACTAAACGGTGCCAAAACACTAGCTATGGAGGAACCCTTCAGTGGGATCAACATTATGAGGGGGAAAAGCAACTGATAAATATGCGCATGACAAAAGAGAACATGCAGGGAAGGCTACAGTCATCCAGTGGGGCTTTCTGTGTGTACCTGCTATTCTACTTCGCCGGGTAAGGGAGAATTACTTTATTTACTTACATATTTATATCCCATTTTTTAAAAAAACATTTCCCCCACAAGATAGCTAACAACGAACACACCAAATACATGTATCAACTGTAAATGCCCTACAGGAATACACTATAGTAAGCCTTTTTCTTTCTTTTTTCTTCATTGTGTGCAACCCATCATTGTGGGTTTTTAAAATTGCAATTGAAAAATGTGGAGCAAGTTATTGAGCCGCTTAGGAATGTAGCTTTGGTGTTATAGGAAGCTTGAAGGCATAGAAGGTGAATAATAAATGTCAGATTTGGACTTAAGTGACCTGAGTTTTATCTCTTCACTCAACCTTCAGGTTCACTGGACAAACAATATCTTTCAGGTTAACCTGAATCACAGAATAAATAGGAATGACCACCAGAGATAGAAACCATTGCTTGGACTGCAACTCTCATTATCCCATACCATGGGCTACACTGGCCAAGGCTGATTACAACAGCAAGTCCAACAATATCGAGGACTGTGTGTTTTTGGTGTACACTTTGGAACTTGTGGAGGAAGTAAGATTTAAAAAAAAAAAACTTCAACAGTAGCATATAGAAGAAAACAAGTACTTTTAAATATTATTTAAAAATAAATAAATCACAATAGCAAGTCCAGATTAAACAGCCTGCCAAAACAAAAATCTTAACAGACTACTAGACCAGGGACGTGTCTATCACAATCTCCATGTTGCCTTACCCAAAATCTGGGGGCTCTTATTACCCTGGGAGCTGCTGCGACTAGATCTGCTGCTTCTTCCTTTCGTAGGTCTTCTTCGCCTGCCTGAGAGAGGAGCAGCCGGAGGGATGATGACAGCTGGAGGTATCTTGCCCAGTTTTGTGTAGAGCAGTTCTATCTCCAGCTTTTGCCGACTCTGAAGCTCTTGGATCTCCTTAAGGTGTCTAGGGAATAGAAAAATGGCATGTGTTGCTTCCTATCATAATGCCAAGTTACTTCAAACTTGAACTGGTAAGTGAAGGTTGCTTACCTGTAAACGTGTTTTCCCGAGTGACCACCTGTGGATTTGCACCTATGGTAATTCCTGCGCACGCGCAGGCAGCATCGGACATTCTCGAGACTCTCTTAAACCGTTAGCTAAGCCACGCCCACCTCCGAGCACATAAATAGCCCCAAATGGAGCTAACGGTCAGTTCTTCCGCCGCATTAAGCAGACAGAAGTCCTGAGGCATGACGTAGCGGGGAGGTTGGGCGGGCTGTGCAAATCCACAGGTGGTCACTCGGGAAAACACGTTTACAGGTAAGCAACCTTCACTTTCCCCTCGTGACCACCTGTGATTTGCACCTATGGTAATAGACTAGCGAGCTGCTAACCTTGGATGGTGGGCGTCATGCCACAGCTGAAAACAGAACCGCTCTCCCGAAGGCAGCATCTTTCTTAGACAATATATCAAGCTTGTAATGTTTCACAAAAGTCAAAGGCGTAGACCAGGTCGCCGCTCTACACACTGCATCGATCGGGACCCCCTTCATGAAGGCTGTTGTCGTAGCAACTGCTCTTGTCGAATGCGCCTTAACCTGTAACGGTAAAACTTTCCCAGAATTACGGTAAGCCATACGAATAGCCAATACAACCCACTTCGAAAGTCGCTGCGACGATACTGGTAAACCTACAGTATCTTTCCGGTAAGTAACAAACAATTTTGGCGACTTCCGTGACTCAGCTGTCCTATCTACATAGTAAGCTAATGCTCTACGAACATCCAATAAATGCAACGCCCTTTCTAAAGGCGTCGTAGGATTTTGGAAAAAAGCCGGCAAAACGATCTCTTGAGACATATGAAAAGTACTAGCTACCTTTGGCAAAAAGGCCACATCTGTCCTAAGGACCACTTTATCCTTATGCATCCGCATATAAGGATCATCGCACCGTAGTGCACATAGTTCACCCACTCTCCTAGCAGATGTTATTGCTACCAAGAAGGCCGTTTTCCACAACACAAAGGAGATATCCGTTGTTGACAACGGTTCAAAGGGATGTTTTGTTAAAGCCGTGAGCACTAATTCTAAGCTCCACGGCGGGGCTACTGGGGTAACTGCAGGCCTTATATTCCTTGCTCCCTTCAAAAACCAAGAAATTAAAGGGTCTTTGAAACAAGATGTCAAACCAGCCTTTCTTCTATACCAGGATAAAGCTGCAAGATAACATTTTAATGATGAGATTGAAAGGCCCGAGTCCATTAAGGACATCAAAAAATCCAAAATTAACGACGTGGGCGCTTTAATTGGTTCTACACCCCTCTCCTGGACAAATTTTGTGAACCGTGTCCATTTATAAGTGTACGATCTCTTTGTTGATCGCCTATGAGCAGCGTCTAAAACTGCTTGTACTGGTTGAGACAGAATAATATTAGCAGTCATTGACTTGGAAATATTCTCCAAGCCGTCAGTTTCAGGGTCTGAACATCTGGGTAAAGGACCAAATTGTTCTGCGTTGCTAGAAGGTCCTTCCTGTCTGGGAGACGCATGAATACTCTTCGTGACATTTGCAGTAGCAGGGAAAACCAAGGCTGTCGAGGCCACCATGGGGCTACTAAGATTCCTTGAGCTCTGTCTTGGAACATTTTCGACACCACACGTAGCAGCAGGGGAATTGGGGGAAAAGCATAAACTGTTGTGCTCCCCCAGTCCTGCAGGAACGCATCCCCCAGACAATTGCACAGTGCGGTCCGACTCAGCCGTGCGCAAAACATCTCGCATTGCGCGTTCTCCGGTGATGCAAAGAGGTCTAACTGCGGCCAGCCCCATGCTCGAAACAGAAGCGATGTCACTTCCTTGTTCAGCATCCATTCGTGGTGTTGTAAAGGTGACCTGCTTAGGTCATCTGCTAGTACATTTTGAACTCCTGGCAGATGAATGGCCATCAAATGTATGCCTCTGTCTATGCACCAATGCCATATCTTCAACGTTAACGTTAGTAATGTTGTAGAATGGGTCCCTCCCTGCTTGTTTATATAGAACATTACTGTGGTATTGTCTGTAACTAGTTGGACATTTTGATTTACGAGAAGCAGCTGGAATGCTTTTAACGCTCTCTCCACAGCAAGTAACTCCAACAGATTTATGTGTGACCTTGACTCTTGCTCTGTCCACCTGCCCTGGGCAGTAAAGCCCTCCACATGGGCACCCCAACCTTTGAGTGAGGAATCTGTTGTCAGAACTGCCGTCGGTTCTGGTTGTTGAAAAGATAGGCCAGCACAGACATTGTGTTGATCTGTCCACCACAGCAGGGATCGGCGAATATCCCCAGGTAGGGAAAAACGGGTGTTGGAATTGTGATGTAAAGGATTGAAAACCGACAGGAACCATGATTGCAGGGGCCTGATATGCAACCTCGCATGTGGTGTCACTCCCGTAGTTGAGGCCATGTGACCTAAAATTTTCTGGATGCATTTTACTCTTATTCTGTCTAGTTTTACTGTTTGTAGAATTAGAGTTTGTAGGTTCCTGAACCGGTCTTCGGGAAGAAACGCCTTCTGCACTTCTGAATCCAACGTGGCACCAATGAATTGTATTCTCCTCGCCGGGTCGAGGTGGGATTTTTCCCAATTCACAATTAGACCTAGGGACTGGAGAAAATACAACGTTTTTCTAATGTCGTTTTCCAATCTATACCTAGACTTAGCCACCAATAACCAATCATCAATATATGGGTATATCGTTATTCCAGCTGTGCGGAGATATGCCGCTATCACAGCCATACACTTTGTGAAAACCCGTGGTGCTGTTGCTAGTCCGAAGGGAAGCACTTTAAACTGGTATGCCTGGTTGTCAACCTTAAAAGTCAGATATCTATGATGGTCTTTATTAATTGAAATATGGAAATAAGCGTCTTTCAAGTCTACTGTTGCAAACCAAACATTTTTATTTAATAAAGGTAAGAGTACTTTCAACGAAACCATCCTGAACTTCTTAGGAACGATATACTTATTCACGTTACGTAAATCGAGAATGGGGCGTTGACCACCACCTTTCTTAGACACTAAGAAATATCTTGAAAAATAGCAATTATTATACTCAGATGGATGTACATAGGAAATCGCCCCCTTCTCCAACAACTTACTAATCTCATCTAACAGTGGGCCAGAGGACGGAGTCGACCTCACATGACCAACAGGAGGCAGCTTTTCAAACTCAATACTATAACCGTTTCTAATTATTTCTAAAACCCAGGCATCTGAAGTAATATTAGTCCAAACATCATAAAAAGGGGTCAAACGTGACCCAAAACATGGTAAATCCTGTTGACCTAGATTACAGGTCTGTATAGGAGAACATGCAACATTTGATAATACGCCAAGTGGCGAAGAAACATTAACCAAAGGTGTAAATCCCTTTGACAATACGGTATTTGATATATCATTTGAGTGAATGTCAAAAACGCTGCTTATTGCCCCCTGAACGGTTAGGTTTGCTCTGGTAGGGCTGGAAGCGATTCTTCGTTCCATAGACCTGTCGTCCCTGTGTAAAGGACTTGTTATTTTGGAAGTTTCGTTGACGTTGCGGCCCATTATAGTAGTTACCAGAGTATCTCCTGTAATAAGGTTGATGCCATCTTGGTTTTTGTTGGTAACTTGATTGACGCGGAAAACCATAGATCTGCATGGTTTTTTTCATCTCCTGAGTATGTTTAAGTCTTTCATCTGTCAACGGGTTAAACAGTCCATTCTCATTCATTGGGAGATCTTCTGCAATAGTACAACCATCCTCCGACAAGGATGAAGCTCTTAACCAGGCATGACGTCTGATTGCTGTTGCTGTCGCAAATATCTTCCCCGATGTGTCTGCCAAGTGTTTGGCGAAATCCTTTTGATATTTCGCTAGCAGCAATGCTTCCTTTTGAAAGGCCTTCGGCAGGCGTCGCTCATTCAGAGGCAGCAAGTCTATATAGGGACACATCTTGTTCCATAAAAACGTTTGATAAGCAGACATATAAGTGGCATAATGTGCCATCCTCGTAATCAGTCCTGCGGCTATATGAGCCTTCTTTCCCAATGTATCTATCTTTCTACCTTCTTTATCAGAAGGCGCCGTTTTCTTAGACTTCTTCCCTTGGCCAACCTCCGCTACAACTGTGTTGGGTATAAAAGGTTTGTAAACCCAATCAGCAGTAGATAGATCCAGTCTGTAAATGTTATCTACCCTTCTCGGTATAGCTGGTGCTGATACTGGAGACCCTTCTGGTACCTTAGTAAGTTTAAGGAGGTATGGCAATACTGGTAACGTGGTATTATTTGTTGCCTCCTGTTGATCCGCCGGAAACATAGGATCTTCTACTGGTTCCGGCGGTTTAGGATTAGGCAAGTCTAGCGCTTTAATAAGTCTGGTTAACATAGCTGTAAATTTAACAACATCATCATTAACATTAGACGCAGGGCCTTTACGTCTTGCGTCATCATGTGTAGGCAATTCATCATGAGACGTATCAGTCAAGTCCATCTGCTCTGATAAAGGAGCTTCATTACTATCATCTTGCTCTGACAGCGGGTCGTCTAGCAAAGCCACTTCGCCTGATACAGAAGCTAAGTGTCTGTGTGCTCTTGCAGCCCTGGGCTCATGGGGTCTCATATCAAACCCATTTGGATTGTTGGAGCTTTGCCAGTGATAAGGAGGTGGGAAACCTCCATAAAAGATAGGGCCTTGTGGTGTCATTTGCCAGAAACCCCCTTGAGGGAGTCCTTCTCTCATCTCCCTTCGTGAGCCAGAGGGTGAATGGGAGCAACACCTCACTTCTTTGTCAGTGTGTGTCCTGCTTCGTCTGCTCCTTCCCCTCTGGCACCTCTTCTTCGCTCTTGGAGGGGAGGAATCAGAAGAGGAACCTGAAGAGTTGCTGGAGGTACTCTTCGACGCCGAGCGTTCCCGGCGCCGATGCCCTCCTAACTTCTCTCCCCCGGCGTCGGTTGCGCGGCGCGAGGGAGCTTTCGCCCGGCTCCGCACAATACGATCATCCTCTCTAGCCGAGGAGGGGCCGGGTGCTTGGGAGGAGTCAGTAGGGGGAGCTTGGTTCGGCTCCTCCCTCGAAGCCGCGACGTAGACCATGGGAGGAGCCGGCGCCGATAGCGTCGGCATCGGGGGAGTGGTTTGGTTCTCCCTCGCCTCTTGCGCATGCGCCGGTCGTTGTTTTGCAGATCCCGGCTCCGCCTCTCTCAGGGACGCGTGCAAGGGAGCGGATCCTTCTCCTCCGGTCGTTTCCTTTGCGCTCGCTGGCTGTTTAGGCTCAGCATGAGCGATCATCTTCTTGGCCGGCTTAAGGAGTAGGCTTGGGGCCTTTTCCTTAGTTCTTTTTGTTTTCTTTGGCCGCGCCATTATTACAGTGGAAGACGATGACTCAGGTAAATCCTTATCGTTTACTGAGCTCTCATCGCCAGTTTGCCTCTTCGCAGGCAATGGCGGAAGAAGCGCCTGCTCATAGAGAGCTGCTTTAAGACGAATCTCCCTCTTCTTCCTCGTTTGAGGCGTGAAGAGTTGGCAAATATTACATTGTTGATGCATGTGCTCTTCGCCAAGGCAAACAATGCAAAGAGAATGCGCGTCATTATCCGGGAAATTAGATTGGCAAGCTGTACAGCGTTTAAATCCTGTAGTATGAGACATCTCAGTTGATATCTCACAAACACTTCTTTATTAATTGAAGCTTAGAGTCTCAATTTATCCGACTGCCTGAATGCGGCGGTTAAAGAGAACTGACCGTTAGCTCCATTTGGGGCTATTTATGTGCTCGGAGGTGGGCGTGGCTTAGCTAACGGTTTAAGAGAGTCTCGAGAATGTCCGATGCTGCCTGCGCGTGCGCAGGAATTACCATAGGTGCAAATCACAGGTGGTCACGAGGGGAAAGCAGAGAATATTAATCAGGAGGGTCCTTGGGCAATATGGTATACAAATGGGATCTGCAACACAATAGTAAAATTTATCCCCAATCATAAACAGAACTAATTGTATTTGGGGCTCCAAACTAAAGTAGAAGATTTTGTAACAATATAATCTGAGTGGGTGAAGAGAAGATAGTTTTACAATGTGGGCAAACATACTTTTCACATTTGTTTTCTGAAACATACAAAGAGGACAGTTGCATTCACCATTTACTCACGTCCACAAACTACAACAAACTACCAGGAGACCTAGCAGGCAATTTCACTGTATCCCACATCCTGATCTTCCTCAACAGAAAGTCTACTTAACTTTCACACCTTTTTCTGTATTATCAAAAGCAATATGCTCACATCTTGCTAAGAAATTATCAAGGAAGCCCTTGGTGAGATTCCTCAGGATCCCAGTTGTAACAAGGACATAAGAAATGTGTACACTGCACTTTCTTAGGTGACCTTTTTCTATCTTGAGTTTTATAACTTGCTGTAGGTTTTTGTATAGCAATTTATAAACTCTGAGTAGAAAAATGTATCAAAAAGTGCTGTATATTTTTGTGAACCCAGGATTGTGCACTGGTTTCAGATTGGATTGGGGATCCAAGAGACCAGTGTTCAAATTCTTGATCAGCCATAGAAACTAATTGGCAAACTTCCCCAGAATAAGTTATCAAGAAAACCTTGTGATAGGATTACTATAAATTGGAACTGATCTGTGGATATGCAGCAATTAATATGTTTTTGTATCCCCAACTGTTTTCCAAAGTTCTCTTTAATTACACTATATAACAAAATTTTGAAAAAAAAAATCTGTTCCTGGTTTAAAGATAGTTGTTATACTTCAGAAATTTAATTTTTGTGGCTGCCACAAACTATGCTGAATTGGTTGAGACTCGATGAGATGTTCATTAAAAAACTATAGAAAAATGTGCTGCAAGATGTCCCGCAAAAACAAAATTTTTGCAGTTTAAATTTTTCCATATTTTTATGATAAACCAATTAGGAAATGACATTTATAACCCAGGAACAAAAATCCTGTTACATATTGTTATCACCAGATATTTTAGATCAGTTATTACTTGTTGCTTTTGATAGTATAAAATTTAATGTAAGCTGTGTTTCTATATTTTTACTTTTGATGGTGAAATTGATTTTTCACTATTTTCATTTTTTAAATCATATACACAAATTACACAGATGGGGAAAGTTTTCAGCCAAGACCTTTCACAAATTAGTCCACAAAAAAACCCAACTTACTTCTCCCGCAATTGCCGTAGCTCACACTTCAAATCTTCATCTTCTATGTCTGACTCATTATCACTGCTCATGTAGGAGGAGTTGAATGAGTTACTAAGGCTATGGACTGGAAGACTGATTTTTGACCCAGGCGGATGAACAGAGTCTGGACTGCCTGCACCATCATCCAGCTCCTTAGTGGCACCACTCAAGAAGGCAGCTTCCAACTCAGAAGAAGGCCCATTCAGATGCAGAGAAGATCGCCTTTCTGCCACTTGTGATTTAGGAGTTGTGTGTGGAGAAGAAACATGCTCAGACAGAGGGACTATTGCAGGGATCTCACTTTCTACACAGGTCACTTCATCTTGAGTTCTAGACACAGAAAAGCGACCCACTTGGTCTGCTGTTGTTGTCACCTGGAAACGCCCAACCTTGGTTGGCTGTAACTGCATGCTGGAAGTGTGTGAAAAGACTCCATCTACTGCATCTACTGAGGTACCAGCAACGACCTCAGCTGTTCCACTGGAGGTTGTCTTTATCAAAGTACTCTCTGGGCTGCTGCTAGACAAAGATGAGGATTCCGAGGTGGTTGTGTCAAAATGCTTGGGCTGACTTCCACTCTTTTTTTGGTCATCTACTGCCACTGAAACCTAGATATAATATACACATTATTATTTATATGCACACAGACACCTATCAGTGTGAGTTAAATTTTACAAGAGCTCAATGCAGGGGGTCTTATTCAAAACAGGAGGAAATAAGGATGGAAACAGAATAAACATGGAAACGGTATGTGTTTGCTTCAGCTCCTTGTGCTGGGTTGGGTTACTGTAGGATGTTCAGCAGCAACTCATGTTCTGATGAACACAAATCAAACATAATATAAAGTGCCTAGTTAATGCAAAAGTCATTACCATAAACTGTAACAATAATTGCAATTTTAGACAGATTTAAAGGGTAATGAAAACATTTATGTAGGAAGCCACTATCAATGGCTATCTATAGATTACCTGATATTGCAAAATGAAAATGCCAACCAATTATCTATCAAAATGAGGCTTTGATTTCTATAATTTTGTAGGTCAAATCTTTTTAAAATGTCTACGTAGAATTTAGGTGGTAGTATTTTGGAACTTTGATGCCCATCAAGCACAGTATTATTCCATACTCAGTTTCACCATATATAAAATAGGAGTAACCAAAACCACAATGCAACTATGACAAAAAGTGCTAAAGTATTCTAAAAAATACCTGAAAACGACCCATCTTAAGAACTGCAACTCCTGCAGTTGTAGTTGTGGCACACCTTTCTGCCTCCTGAGAATCTGAAACAGAAAATAGCAAAAGGAGTTAAGAAGAAATGATGAAAAATATTGTTCATTCCAATACATTCCAAAGAAACAGCAATTCTCACACTATCCATTACAAAGGATGCCAAGAACCTGTTTCCAGTAGTTGTGTGGATCTTAGGATTTAGTGTATGCAAAAGTTGCTTAAAAATATTGTTATCTTATTAACTATTGGGATTTGTGAATAATCTAGCATTACAAAAGAGAGAATGCATCTTTCCAATAAGTTACACCATCAAAATGACAGATTTGCGATGCATGCTGGGCCTTATCATAATCAAGCATTGTAAGAGTAAATGAGGAATTCGCTTCCCACCAAAAATACTGAACCTAACAAAATATATTACTCTGAAAAACAATAGATTGTTGCAGGCCATTTCAGCAGATGTATAAATTCATTATTTGTCCTTACACCTTGGCTGCTGCAGAGCACATGCTCATGCTCCAATAGGACAATTTTTTGCTGAGGTAAAAGTTCCAAAAACACATCTTCTGTGATTATAATCCTATTATAATCTGGATTTTGTTCATTAGTTTTAGCAGTAGCAGACAATACATTTTACTTTTCATTATTATCCATCAAAAAGATTTTACCAGTATTTGAAGGCTGTTCTGGTGCAGGAACCATTCCAGTAACTGCTGTAGAAGCTACAGATGGCACAGGCTATGAAAAGAAAACAAAGTTATGTTGGCATCAACGTAGCTTACTCTCTCTCCTTTTATTTTTTATTTTCTAATCCAGGATAATAATAGGACTGAGATAACTGAAAGGGACTCAATGGTTTTGTTAAGCCTCAGACACCAAAGCAAAATACACAGAAGACTATCAGAGTAACAAGTCAAATCCACTCACTAAGCCTCCCAACTAATTCCAGCACTGACATATAAAAACAATCCAAAGGAATCTGCACCATAGTTGATGTAACTTGAACAAATCTCTCAATTCAAAGTAACATCCATCCAAGTGGCACTGCAGCTTGCTACAAAGGTGGCAATCAAGGCCTCTTTGCTTACAGTTGTACTTATAAGGAAGGTAAATTTGTTTCAAGAGTTGGATTCATTCCAGAAGGGTTCATTCTTACTGGGCCAGCAATCCTCTATATGAACTTCATCAAACCTCATTGTAGGTCCAAGCTCATGTGCCTGTGTATTCCATCATACACAAAAAAACTTAAAACATAGAAAACCACTGTCAGCGAAAACTCCAAATCAACACTTGCTTTTCTCATTTTCTATGGCTTTGAATACAATGGCATGTGCACATGGAGGCTGCGGGTCTGTTATATGATTACTGTATTATGCTCTGCCCTTCCACTTAAAAGCATTAATGTTAGTTTACAATCATATTACTATAGAAAAAAAACAGTAAGCTGGTGGCCCTAGAATCCAAAACACATATGCCATGATGTGAAATGTCTCCCTAAGCAGTGGAATTACTAGTGAAATGTCTCCCTAAGAAGAGTATCCACCTTCTCTGATACACCCTCTCACAAGCATTACCCTTTTTCCATAGTACTACACACTTGATCTTAGCCAAAAGGCCGAGAAGCAATAGTAAAATTAACAGATCTAACTCTTTTCCATCCCTCCCAGTCTTGGAGGGGGGAGGAGAGGGTGCAGACCATGCAATTTCTGAACACTGCAAATCTTTGGTCTCATCATATGAGAACTCATATCAGCTCACATGAAGCTGGGGCTGATGAACAGCAAACACTTACACAGGCAGGAGTAGATGTTGGGACTGTTTCTGGACTCAGGGCTCTTCTTAACTGAGCATCCAGGTCTTCTAGAGGTTGCTGGGACTGGAACAAAAGGCAACTATTATAGCTGTTGCCCTTTACAAACAGGATAGTCTAATTGTGGTCCTCCAAATGTTGCAGAAGATGGATATCATCATTGCTTACTACTGACCTCAAGTTCAATCCAAGTTGTTGTTCAGTATCAGGAGGGCCACAAACACAAACATATAGATCGACTTTCAAAACCATTCTCTATATTGTCCCTCACAGACTATTTTATTGTGACATAAGCACAAGCCAATACCCTATTTCAGGTTGTACAAAGTAAAAGGAGAAGTTGGGTTGGTGTTAATGAATTATACTGGCCTTGTTGAAAGGTACAGGAAGTTCTGGAAAAGAATTATTTCTATTCAACAACTATACTTTGGGCAATGAATAGGCTGGTAAGTAAAAGGGCAAAATATCAAAACATATTCAGAAAACTACAGCATGTTAAGACAAGAGAGCCGAGCAGCCTCTATTTTAATGCACATTCTTTCATCATTAGCAGTAGCTTATATAAACCAAGTTCCTTTGAACCACAAATCTCTGAAAGTATACTGATATATTGGATAGGAAACTTGGTAAAACTTCTACCATCAAATCCTTCAAACGCTCAGGTAAGTTGCCATTAGCTGGTGCACATTTGCCCAACCACCTCATATTTTCCATATCACCATTTACATAGCAACCAAATTGCTCCATCACTTGCTTCAGATACTGTGAAGCACCCTCACTGGCTTTTCCATTCTCTGGGTAAAAGTCTCCTAAAGTACAGAACACCAAAATTTGTGTAAACATAATTTGATGGGACAGTGTATGTTCTGTACTTCCACCAATTGACAAAGGAAGCAAAGAATCTTCCATCAAGCATGGAATGCCTCACATTGAGCACATTATCAACTTTAAAGATATATTAACTTAAAAAATAATAATCTACCGTACATCTGAAAAAAAATCATAAAAACACAAGTTCCAAAAAAGCACAGCAGCTCTAAACCAGTACACAAAGCAGTTGAGTATCATTTATTTCTTTGGATATTTTAATACTACAGCACTGCAATTGCCAAAGATAAACATCTAAATTAGGAGCAATTCCACGTTTACTAAGATATACAAGAATAAGGTAATGGGAGTAAAGTAATGAAGTTTCATGCAACAGAGTTTAATTTCAGCATGCTCTTTGAAAAGGGAAAAAAGAAGAAGCGGATAGCTGTAAAGCACCTGAGTTAGTGTAGGTCCTGGAAATGGTGGCAACTGCTCACTGGATGGAGTGCCAGCTGGAGGTTCAGAAACTACTGGTAGTCCCTATGAATAGATATGAAATTGAAGTTCAGTCTCAGAAGAGAAAGATCATCCAGTTATAGAGTAGACATGTTCACCTTGTAAAGGTTTCAGTATGTAAGGAGTATTATTAACATGGGTTCTTCTTTGTGTGTTAAAACAACCATTTTCTAAAAGTTACAAAAGGAGCAAAACCCTAAAATGATACTCAAAATGGAAATGTTTGTGATACAACATGCTTTGATTCAACCAATAACTATAAATGGAATGCATATTTTGTTGCATTTTTAGTACTTCTTTTCCCTGGAGGAAGGGAAATCCAACTCTATATACTCAAGTGTAAGTCTAGAAACTTTAGTTTTAAAAACCCCCCAAAAATCATTTGTCCACAGTGATTACAGACTCTTAGCTATTACCAAAAAAAAGGAACCATCCTCTTCTCTGAGTAGAAGGGCAAAAGGCAAAAGCTTAGTCCATTCTGGGAAAACCTAAAAGAAGCACCAATCCCCTCTACTCTCTCCCCCATGGGATTGCACCTGGCCTTTTTGGATACCTTGGTGGGGAAATCGGAGTGGCAGCAGCCGGGGCAGCTGGCCCTCAGGCAGTGCGAACTCTTTCCTCTTACTATGGAATGTCCTTCAAATTATCAAAATCCATAATTTTGCACCAAAACCTGCCCTTGACCTATATATGAGGATGGTTTATATACTCATATACTCATGTATGCTCCTGCAAATTTCTTGGGAAGACAGGTGGACAAATGTCAGAGTGGTGGAAGAAGCAAAGACCACTAGCACTGAAAGGATGCTACTATACCATCAACACCACTGGCTGACCACATTGTCTGAATGCCAGATCACCATCTTCCAAAGCAGTTTCTATACTCCAAACTCAAGAATGGGAAACATAATGTTGGAGGACAGGAAAAGAGATTTAAAGATGGGTTTAAAGCCAACCTCAAAAACTGTGGCATAGACACCAAGAACTGGGAGGCCCTGGCCTTTGAGCACTCTAATGGGAGGTCATCTGTGACCAGCAGTGCTGCAGTATTTGATGAGGCATGAATGGAGGGCATAAGAGAGAAATGTGCCAAGAGGAAGGAGCGTCAAGCCAACCCTGACCGGGTCCGCCTTCCACCTGGAAACCGATGTCCTCACTGTGAGAGAACATGCGGATCAAGAATAGGACTCCACAGCCACCTACGGGCTCACTGCCAAGACACTACGCTTGGAGGACTGTCATCCTTGGGCTACAAGGGATCACCTAAGTATATGCTCCCAGTATAATTTCGAGTTTTTCCCATCTCCCTTTATTTCTAGTTTCCTTGAATAATTGTTATTTAAATGCTATGTTACACATTTTATGTATAATAAGATACTATCTGGATAAGTAGCTCCCTTTAAGTTAGAAGTAAACTGAAGGAAGACGTGAATGTCTGCATTCATTTAAAGTGACTTCAAAAAAACTATCAGTGTGCTGGTTTCCCTACAAAAAGAAGCTGAGACATGCAAACTTAAGGAGAGGGGAGGGTAAACAGTTCAAACATTGTTAGACAAGGCAATAGAATGAGGCAGATCAGTTTGACAGGCAGGTGAGACAGCACATTCTAACTATTTTCATCTTTTTTTAAAAAATAAAAAAGTCTCTAAACTAAAAATGTAAGATAGCTGAACATTTTTCTCACCCTACAATACCTTGTCATTCTATGAAGCAATACCCCCGCCCCAGGGGGGTGGGGGGTGGGGTCAGTTTGGAATCCTAACTAAAATAAAATTTTGGTAAATCTCATGACTATCTATTTTCAGATTTGACAATTTTGATAAATTTTGAACTCTGGAAGGCAGCCATATACACCTTGAACTCTATGTAGAAAAGAAGAAGGTAATCAATTCTATCTTGGCTGTGAACTGGGAGAAGCTGGAGCCCCGTGTCATCCCTGCTATATAAAGTCTGATACAAAACAATATCAAATACCTAAGTCACCTCTTTTTCCCTCGAATCTATATCTTTCCCTCACATCTATATTAGTGATACAGTCCATGTTTATCTTTCAAATTTAATAAATATTGTGAAACTATGCCTTCACACGATAAAGTCTATTGCATGTTTAGCCAGATATACCATTATCTTTCCTCATAATTACTAAGTGTACACCCCAAATTGACATTATAGACACAAAAATAATCAACTTGTTCTTTTATACATTAATAAATAATAATGAACTTTATTTCTACCCCGCCACCATCTCCCCAAAGGGGACTCGGGGCGGCTAACATGAGGCCAAGCCCAAAGGTACAATACAACAAAATAAAATACAGACTGCAAAAAACAAAAATTACATCAGGATAAAATACATACAGTAGCAAAATAACATAAATAAAGCAAATTAACACAATATAAAATCGAACATAAAGGACAGGCCTTAAACAACTTGTTACACCTAACACCAGTCCCCTTATAGAACATCGAGAATTCCATGGAGAATATCCTGAGTGCCCTATGCTTCAAGCAGCACTAATACTAGGATTTCTACCAAGGAAGCAGACTGTTATGACCCTTCTGTTAAACTACCAGAGGTTTAAACAGAATGTTTCAAAACTTTAAAAATATATTAATACAATGGAGAAGAGGAAGAGCTGAACTATAAACAAGGTATGAACAAAAATTGAACCAAGCAAGTCATGGCTAACATTTTCAATCTCATTTATTTGAAAATTTCCTCAGCTAACATGTTTTAGAGCAAATTCATAAGAACATTTGATTCCTTACCGGTACTCTGCTAAGAGGAGGTTTTGAAGGAGGGGTCCCCGGTTTAGTGGTTGCTGATGCAGTACATGTTGCTGGAACACTGTTGATGGGGGTGCCTGCCTGCCCAGGTGTAGCAACTGCTGTTACGACAGGTAAACCTGCTGGACCAAGTGTCAAACTGGCTGGTGGTATACTGGTACTTGCAATAGGTGCCACAGGTTTCGTGGGTGCAACAGCAGTAGTTGGTAAGGCAGGCATGACTGTGGTCTCCACCACAAGAGATGTCTCCAAGGATACAGATGGATGAGCTGCCCCAACACCACCATGTTCACTGAAGAGAGATCGCAATTTTTCTTCCAGGGTTTTTATGTCATCTATGCCTGGTGCTTTGGGCTGAGTGTCAACATCCACTTCCAAAGAATGAGTATGTGGTAGATTGGGCAATGGAGCTGACTGAGGATGACCATGTATCAAAGTTTGCTGGACGACAGGCACATTAGTTACTGGTTGTGCCAGTGGCAGAATGCCAGGTAAAGGAACCTGGGGTAATGCCGGAGTAGAAACTATGCCTGCTACTGGGGCTAAAGTGGATGAGGTAACTATGGGTGGGATGGGTAGTGGAAGTACTCCAGGTGGCTGCATGATGGAGCCAGGCATACTAGATGGTACTGTAGAGGATATAGGTACAGAAAGAGGCAAGGATACTCCACCAGTGATGCCTAGATGTGGCTTTTCTGGCTGCTGCTCGCTTTCTGATCTTGGTTGCAGCACACTAACCACCACCATTTCTGCTAGGCTGGGGACAGAACTGCTAGTGTCCAACTGAGTAGACTGTGAAACCATGCTCTGTGCCAAAGAAACAGGGACAGTTGTTTGGCATTGTGACGGAACAACACTGGCACTGCCAACCTCCTGAGATGTCACAGGGGGTGCCATAGCTCCTGGTATCGTAACACTAGGCCCAGTCACTCCAATTTGTGGCAAAGTTAAAGAAGCTGGGGTGCTACTGCTAGGAACAATTTCTCCTGCAACAGAACCTGCCTGAGATGCAGTTGTAGACAAAGAAGAAGGTGCACTGATGCTGGAAGCCACACCACTAATTAAATCTGACCCTGACTGCAACACTGGTGGAAGAGAGCTGGAGCCTGGCAATTCTTCATTCAGTGAAACCCCTGTGGTCACCTTTTCCACTACCTGTGTAGTTGGTAAAGAAGCACCAGTGGAGGAAGGAAGGGGCATTGAAGGAGCAGTCAATGATGTTGAGGGCAACCCACCATTTCCACTTGTAGCTATAGGTGGGAAAGGTGGCATGTCCTGATTAAAAACTGGAGGAGCTGTGTTGGGACCTTCTGTCATTTGTACATGTTTGAGCTCTGAAAAAGCTCCCTGTAGGCTGAGGGATGATGCAGAGTGAGACAGATTCATTCCAGGACCATGAGATGAGGAAGCAGCAACTGAAAGAAAGAGGTAAAATATTTTTTTCAGAATAACTTACTGAAGAATACTAAAGACCCTGGAGTTAAGGCAACTCAAGGAATTTATTTATTTGATTTTATATTCTTCCTTTCTCTCCATAGTGGAAATAAAATTAGCTCAAAGAAAACAAGTTGCTTTTTTTTCTCTAAAAAACAAACAAACAAAAACAAAAACCAGACTACTGCATGTTTAAGAAAAAGTGTTACAAGAATCCACCACTTCTGTTTTCATATGGATCCAGTGGTTTTAGTGAAGGCACACTTTCAAGGTCAGTTAGAGAAGTGTCTTTAAAGATAATCTGAACAGCTACATAAGGCATATGAGCAGAAAGTTAGTGTTTCAGGCAAATGACTGTTCATACAGCAAATCAGTCCCTTACAGAAAAAATCCCTGTAAAACCAAGTCTCTCAGAAGCCTACACACTCACATTCTGGTAGTGCTGGCACTAGACGACGCTGGAAATGTTGGTTAACTCACCTACATCAAGAAGCTCATTTTCTGATGGAATAGAGGTGAAAAATTTCTGTTCTCGCAACCTGCTTTCTGGTACAGGGCTGACAATAAATCTCCTTCCAGCAGAATGGACAACTTGAGTCAATGAATTAGGAGGGACACCTTCAACAAGTCAGAGAAAGACACGTAATTATTGACTTATGTACAACATGCTATAAGTATCAAACATTCTGCTGGTAAACTAAACAGTAATGATCTAGGACTCAGGGTAATAATAATCCAAATGAAAAAAATAATAAAAATAAACAAAAATTTTACCTATTCTTTGTGGAATGGAAGACACAGGATCTGGCTGTTTAAAGTCTTCATCCAATTTCTGCAAGAAATGAAAATAGCAATTTAAAAACTTTTCACCATCCTGGAGATGAAGATGTTAATGAGCATGAAGACCTGCCACAGTATGAGTATGAACATCAAGAAGTAGAGACACTGGCCAGAACTTCTGAGATGGCTTATCACCCACCAACAAGCTGTAATGGGTCACAGTATTGGATTATTTTCTTCCAGCGACTGAAGACTGTTTTCAAATAGCAAATCACTACTTTTCCTATACTGGTTGATTACAATAGGTTTGCTCACATGGCACACACATGTATAGAGGACCTGGTCCTACAATCATTATGATGTACACGTTACTAACTACCCATGAGTTTTCAAACCCTACGTAAGGTTGCCTTCAAATTCCTTGATGGATCGAGTAAAAACTTCTGCCAATATAAGATCACCTATCTATGAAATATGGCCACACTGAGGGTCTTCACCATTTATAAGACAAGAATGACAGTTACTCGGCAAGACCTAAAATAATGGCCATGCTAACTTTCTGAAATCCCATCCTAAAAATGCTAGCTATATAAATGCCTTCAGTTATTGCAAACAATACAAACATTTGACATAAAATACTGTATCTCACCACGTAACAGTCACCACTGCATAATGATGCACCCCTTGGTTTTGGGTCCCAAAATGATTTTTTCCCTTTCCTCACCTAATTGTCGCAGGTAGTTTTAAACAAAACAAAACAAGGGTTTAACGCAGGGGACAAGGGTTTAACCCAGGGATCCTCAAACTAAGGCCCGAGGGCCGGATACAGCCCTCCAAGGTAATTTACCCGGCCCTCACTCAGGGTCAACCTAAGTCTGAAACAACTTGAAAGCACACAGCAACAACAATCCTATCTCATCTGCCAAAAGCAAACCCACACCTCCCATTGAAATACTAATAAGTTTATATTTGTTAAAATTGTTATTCATTTTAATTATTGTATTGTTTTTAAGTGTTTTTTGCACTACAAATAAGATATTTGCAGTGTGGATAGGAATTCATTCATGCTTTTTTTCAAATTATAATCCAGCCCTCCAACAGTTTGAGGGGCTGTGACCTGGCCCTCTATTTAAAACGTTTGAGGACCCCTAGTTTAACCCATTGCACCACCGGGGGCTCCAGAAGCAACTTGCAGTTTCTCAAGTCGCTCCTGACACCAAAGAGGGGGTGGGGGGAACAAACAGAGAATGCCTTGCCCGATAGACTTTTTACCTGGTTTTGCATACTGCCGATACTTTGATCACCTTCTGGTTCCCCACTGGCATCTTCACCTAGCATTTCATCTGCCTTTTCAATAATGTCTCGCACCTGTTCAACGAAAGAATCTCTTTCTGTGGCCAAGATGAATTCATTTTGCACCTGTACAAAAATATTAATTAATCACTACAGGCTTGTTTAACAACAAAAAATACCAAAACATGAACTGCTGCAACATTATGCCAGTTATATATCTAACAAACCTTTTTGCTTAAAAAAATAATTGAACTTTGATTCTAGGTGAACTCAAGAATATGGCAAATTAAGACATGATCTATGTTTGGCCTTGGGACACCACACTCCATCATCCACAATGGTGACTAACTGTAAAGCAGGTGTAGTAAGAAAGTGAGGAGCAATCTGAGGAGGTGGTAGGCATCTCTATTCTCATTTGTTATGGAATTTGAAGACTCTTCCACTGTTTTTACTGGTAAACCCAAGCACATCTTAGCTATAGGAGTTGGGGGGAAGAGGATATTTATCACCAAACTTAAAGAGGCTCAAAGAATATGAATTCCATTAATTTGTCTTTTCTAGGTTATAATATTTGAGTGTGCAGAAGACTGTTCACTTGAATAAATGAAAATTCTTAGGTCAAAATTGATGTCTAGCTTCAGGGAAACTTTCCAAGAAATTTTAAACACTTAATTTAAACAAGTACAGCCTATCCTCAACAACTTTAGATATGTTTACTTTGTAAACTGTGATAAGCTCAGGCAAACAAACAAAAAATGTCAAGAGTACATTTTTGCAAAGAGAAACTGAATGAGGCAGACTATTATAATACTGCTTGCTATTATAGTAAATACTGTGTTCCCCTAGGGAGATAGGGCAGAATACAAATAAAGTTGTTGTTGTTGTTGTTGTTGTTGTTGTTGTTGTTGTTGTTGTTATTATTATTATTATTATTATTATTATTATTATTATTATTATTATTATTATTATTATTAGATACACCACAAGAGTAGGACACAGCAAACAAGATCACTTTGCTGTCTTGGATCACACGTCGGACACTTCCCAAGTGTCTAGGCCTATGTGATGTATTGGCGAATAATATGTGCAAATCTGAATAGGGTGGCTTTTTGCAACTGACAGATAGTAATGTTGTCAGTGCCAATTGTTTTTAATTGCAGGCCAAGGTCTTTAGGCACTGCACCCAGTGTGCCTATCACCACTGGGACCACCTTTATTGGCTTGTGCCAGAGTCTTTGCAGTTCGATCTTTAAATCCTCATATTGTGTAAGTTTTTCTAGTTGCTTCACATCAATTCTGTTGTCACCTGGGATTCCAACATCAACGATCCATACTTTGTTTTTTCCCACAATTCGTAGATCAGGAGTATTGTGCTCCAAAACTCTGTCAGTCTGAATTCGGAAGTCCAGAGTAGTTTGACGTTTTGTCTGCTTCCTTGCAGAGTCTAGACTTGGAATCTGTCGTTGACTTTTCAATTCTGGCTTTGAAAGCATTTGTTCTAATTGCTTGTTTTTGGTCTGCAAGAATCAGGAGCTCAGTCTCCTTTTTCAAAGTTCCATTTGTGAGCCACATCAATGTTTTTTCCTTATCAATTTTGCTTAGTTTTTCCCAGGAACTGCCCACTGAGAGGTCTTCTTTTGTCAGTTTGCTCTTCTGCTCTGCATTGTATTTTTACAGTATTCATTCTTTGTCTTTTGCACTTTAAGAATTTTTCTACTATTGACTTCCATCCATGTTGGTTCCTGACTTTCTTTCACATAATCTGCCAGTACATGTTTCTCTTCTTCTACCATTTATTTCATTTGCAGAAGCCCTTTGTCTCCTGATTTTCTGGGCAGGTAAAGTCTGTCAACATCACTACATGAACCACTTACCATGATAGTAGCTATTTCCTCTGGATTGTCACCATCCAAGTCAAACTTAAAAGTAACCATTTTTCTGTTGTGTGTCTCCAGCTGACATTCCACAACCCGATCTCCCTTGTTTGATACCTAAAACACAGAATTTTAATCTTCAAGGTAAAAAGGGGGCAACAGCAATAGAGGGATAAAAGCACCATGGAAAGGAAGGAAGACACACAGAACATTTCCACTTAATTTGGAATATGTTCAACCAACGAGAAGCAAATGTAATAAAACTCCACTTCTAAGTAAGTGTGGAGAATATAGAATTTCAAAAACCCAAGCACCCAGAGTCAGAAAGTGCATGTTCACATTGATTAATAAAATGTTTGTTCTGAGTACCTGTCAACCCTAAATTTACACCAAAACAATACTTAATACAATTTCTATGTCAGCAATATTTTTGTCTATTAAAAAGCTTTACCTATCAAGTCGCTGTAAATCAGGAACATTACAAATATTCAAATGACAATGGTATAAAATCCTACCACATACATATACTTCTGCTCCAAAACATGATTCTGGATGCTAAAATAACCCCTTTTCCCTGAATGACATTTCAAACATAGTTTATGAAGTTGGTTTGTTTCTACTCATTATAATTATAATTAGAATGAATTACAATCATATGCTGTCAACACATTAAGTTGTTGTTACAATATGGTAAACATTAACACTAGTCATGGGTCTGGTATTTGTGTCATGTTTATTTTGCGTTTTCATTCCCTACCGTCCATTCGGATGGCATGAAAGAGTACACCCCCAATACAGAAATATCAATGAAACAAAAGGAAAGTGGGAACGGTAACTGTTTGGTCGTCTAATTTTTGTCTCATTGGTGGCAATGGGTGGTCTCCCTTCCCCTCAGTTTTAGAGTTACAGGTCCCACCATTTCAATGATCCTCAGGTTCTCCCCATCCAGATAGGCAAAATGAAGTCTGTGGCTCATTGATGCTGTTTTTGCAGCCCTTGGCTCTTTTTCAGGCTCCATTATCTTTTTAAATGGGTAGCAAGACTCCCCTAGATTTTTCAACACACAGTAACTTGGAAAGAGACTCTCTTTTAAGAGTGTGTGTGGCCTGCAGCCCAAAGCGCCCGTGACTGGCAGGGCTTGCAGCTGAGTGCCTAGTAAGAGGTGCTCTGTGCTCCGCTGTAAAAGTAGATTTAAACATTTCTGTCCCTATAAACTGTAATGTGTGTATATAGGTATGCTCACATATGTGCATTCCCTGCACTGTCAACTAACAATTGATGCAGCCATGGAACCAAGAAGGTTGTGCACCCTGCTCTAAAATGTTTTATCCTGAGCAGAAGTGAAAACTTCTACAAATATGTCCTTGTAAAAGAGAAAATAGAAATCCCAGGGGTCATTCTTGAAAACATTAAAATATTTAGCATTACACTTGAAATGCACAGCTGAGTATTAGGCTCTGTTTTAAAAACAGCAACAAATCAGGGTGACTCACGTTAAGAATCCTCAGTTTTGGACGTGTAGTCTTCTCATGGCGAGAGCGGCTGCGCACTGATCTCCGATAATGCCGTTTAGTAGTCCTCCCTTCATGTCTGCCACTAGATGTTGGAACACTCTCATTACCGTCACTTAAGCCTGACGCAACATCTGAATGTGCACTAAAAAAAAAACCACACACACCAATGGCTAAAGTGAACAGTATTTCCTGTACTGGTCATTAACAACACCTGCACTTCAAGTTACATCAAACAAGTGAAAAATCACGAGTGAACAGATTATGAAACCCTTCTAACACCAAATCCAATTTTAAAATATTGCGTTAAGGCAGACCTGCCTCTTGAACAACAAACAAAAAAGACATGGCCCATTTTATACATAACAATCTCATATATGCTTTGTATTAGCTTTCATGAGAAAAATATTTCATATCATTTTACATGCACAGACAACTAAAGAACAATTTCATGTATGCGAAGAAAAGCCAATGTGTCTATTACTGAAAATTTTAAAAGTCAAATACAATAATGTATCTTTTACCTGTCTATTGAGGAAACTAAGGGGGTGGATTGTGAAGGCTGTTGCTGTACAGGTGGTTGGGTTTCTAGAGATGCAGCCTGAGTCACTCCAGAAGCAATCTGCAAAGATAAAGTTTTTCCTTAAAGCATCTAATTAAAGATTTCTTTTTGCAATGTTACTGAACAGCCCATCCACTTATATAACTAGAAGCTGAAAAGCAATTTCTCTCTAGATTATTTAAAAGCATCTAATCAGTTCAAATTTTTGAACCTGAAGGGGTTCTCGTGCAAATTTGAAACATCAAGAATGTTATCTGCTAGATAAATGTGGCACTACAGCCTGCCATGCAACCAAAGGTCTTACTAGCAGAATGTGCAATAGAGAAGCCAATGCAGAGTGCAAAGACAAATTCAAATCTCTCCCAGAAACAGCAATGCTCCAGGGAACAGGTTTGAGGAGAGATGTTTCCAGTGACTACTGAGAGTGGCATGTCTCCAACACAAGGGCTGGCATTACTAGCCATAAGAGAAGTGCTTGCGAGTGTTTTGCATCTGGGAGGCCCACTCACTTCCCAACAGCATAGCCAGGGGCAACAAGGTCTCCACATTGGCATCACATTCTGCTGTAAGATAAATTTATGTTAAGGATTAGCATTTGATTGTAAGATTGATTCCAAAAATAGGAGTGAATTCAGAATTCATGTCCTAAATTTCAAATTTTGAAACACACATACAAAGATATACATACACACACAGCAACATGCACTAGTTCATTTACCTCTAATGCTGTCTGCTGTGAGGATGCAGATGAGACCTGCTGTGCTACACAAGGAGAAGATTGTGGTACTTGAGCCTGTCCTCCTAGACTGCTCATAGGAACTAAAACATTCTGCTCCACATAAGGCTGCACCACTGCAGCAAGATAGGCTGGCTGAGCAATTGCATCTGTTGTTAAGGGAGGGGATAGCACTGCAGAAGGGAGGCAAGCAGAAGCCACAGAAGAGGAAGCAATATTTGAGTCCCCGGTGTATTGCGTTGGTAGCCGAGGTGGAAAGCCCTACAACAAATGAGGAAGCCGTATTAGCAGATATTAATAGTTATCGGAGAAAATATTATAAAATAGATGGGAAAGAGAAAACTGCAAGCTGAGCTGTAAAGAATTCCCTCCAGAGTGACCTATATAGAGGGCTATTTCAGTATTTTTACTTCAGAGTACCTTGGGGCCAACTGTAACCTACAACTCATCACGTATTATGTGTGCCACCCTTGAGCTTCTACACTGACAAATCTGCATGACTCTACATTCAAACTATGAAAGCCCCCAGCCATATATCTTCCCAGAGCTGAAACAAAGCAAACAAAAATATTTTGTATGCTCCAGCTCACATAGAAGATGCTCATGCTCACCTTCCGAAGCCTCTACTTCCCATTCTTCAAATGGTATTGTGCACCAGCTGAAAATTTACCTTTCAGTGGTTAAAAACTGATAATGTCCAAAACCTAGCTATTGGAAGCTAAAGCAACGGTTCGGTTGCAAGTTACTTCTCCCTTAAATTCAAACATGAGCTAATATTTCAAGATCTCACATTAGTTTTTGCACTGCTCATGTGGATAATTATATGTTAGATGTGAGGTCTTTGAAGAAAAGACACTATTTCTTTTCAAGAGCTAATCGAAACTTGAATCATACATTCAAAAACCCCGTCTGACTGATCTGCTCTCCTTCCAGAGCCTGAAAATAGCTTTGATTGGGACTCTTATCACAGTCTTACACACCAAAGAACATATAAGACTTCCCAGAGGGAATGTTCCTTGACTACCATAATACCTGATACACAGCATCTGTAGCTGGAAGTTGTACTTCAGCAGTTTGTCCCAGAGTGGCTGGCAATCCCATAGACTGAACAGCTGGCTGCAGAAGCTGTGGGAGCACCTGGCTGTTCAGCTGAGTCACAGGCTGATGGAGGGCTGGATGCTGGCTAGGGAGACCAGCTGAGCCCACAGGAATAGTAGTTACAGTAGCAGATGTGGCTAGGGTAAGTAATGGCTGGTTAATTCCAGCTGCCATAGAGATGGGTAGAGACGGGAAGCAAGGCTGAGCCACCGACACATGAGGGGCTGTTATGGGCATCTGGGAGACTGAGAACTGTGGAAGAATGGAAGCTGGTAAGGGCTGTCCCACTGGAAGAAAGTGAGAGCCAATGGGCATGACTGGGGCAACCGAAGGCTGAGGAAGGGAAGGTGCAGCCATAGGTAACTGTGGTTCACCTTGGATGATCGGCACTGGTTGGGAAACAGGAAGCTGGGAAGGTAAAGAAAAATAGAGATAGACATTTAAGAAGCAAGGTTGCAGAAAGCAGGCTTTTAATGCATTAGTCCAGCAGTAGGCAATATTTTGTCCTCCAGGCATTAGGCTATGGGATGACAACTTCCATAAGCCCTAAATAATACAGCCAGCAGTCAGGGGTTCTGACAATTATAGTCCAAAGCACCTGGAAATCATGTTTCCATTCCTTGAGTCCAAGAAAAAAATCGTTTATTTTAACACATAACAGAAGTGGTCAAAGAATATCTTTGACAGAGTGATTGGAAATATTATAATTTTAATGTTATTTTTAAAATTTGGAAATCTTTGTTATTAAAAATGCCATGACAGAATAACCAGGTCAAAACACCAATAAAGTATCATTTTATTCCAAAAGAAATTTTGGGTGATTGCTTCTTGTGCAGTCATATATTGTCTCTCTAGGGACAAGAGCCTGATGAAACGTAATAAAAAGCCACTTGCAGCCATTAGAGAGGATAGGGTTTTGTGAGTGCTACAAAGCAGAGAAAGAAATTCATTAGGAAGATTTAGAAGAAAGGGTTGCTTACCTGTAACCATGTTTCTTTGAGTGATCATCTGTGAAATATGCACATATGGGTATTGTGTGCAGGTAAAGGACAGCTCGGAATTCTTTAGAAGCTTTAAGAAACCTTTTGGTGGTAGCCTTCCTCATCCTCCCGTGGATGATATATAGCCAGCAGGTGGGGATAGCACCTTGTTCCTCAGCTGATATGACAGCAGCTTACAGAAAATGAGGCATGATGAGTAGCAAGGAGGATGGGCGGTTTTCACAGATGACCATTCAAAGAAACATGGTTACAGGTAAGAAACCCATTTTTCTTCTTTGTGGTCTCTGTGAAATCTCACATATGGATGATTAGCCAGCTCCTCACCTTGGAGGAGGGAGTCATGCCACACAGAAAAAAGCACAGTTCTGCCAATGGCAGCATCCCTTGTCCAGCTTGTAGTGGGACACAAAGGTGAGCAGATTTGACCTCCTTGCTGCACGGCATATGTTGTCAAGTGAAACTCCATGCAGGAAGGCCTGAGAGGTAGCAATGGGTTTCGCTGAGTGACCTGACTTGGGATGGAAAGGGTCTGTCCAAAAGTTGGTAGGCAAGTTGGATCGTTGAAGTGATCCAAGGGGAAAGGCATTGAGAAGAGACGTGACCATCCAGGGCATTCTGGTGATGCTTCAGAAAAAGTCTGGGAGGCTTCCTGTAGGAATGCCTGGAGTCAATATAAAAGGCAAGAGCACGCTGTAAATCCAAAGTATGTAGGCAGCATTCTAGAGATGTGGGATTCTGGGGGGAAAGCTGATAAAACAATGTTCTGACACATATGAACCCAGGAAGCCACCTTAGGTAAGAAGGCAATGTCAGTTCAGAGAACCATCTTATCCTTATGAGAATGGACAAAAGGCTGATCTGCACAGAGAGCACAAAATTCACTGGCGTGTCATGCTGATGAGACAGCGATGTGCTGATGCATCATGTTGATGTGACATGCTGATGTTTTCCTGGACAGATAGGAGAGCTCTGTCGATGCCATGGCTTTGAAAGGGGACTCTGATAGTTGGGACAAGATGAGCACCAAACTCCATGCTGAGGTTGGAGGATGCACCAGTAGGTTAATGTTCTTTGAGCCCTTCAGGAAAAGTTGAATGAGGGGGTCCTGAAAACAGGATAATTTCCCCACTATCCACCTGTACCATGAAATGGCAGCCAGGCAACATTTCAAGAAGGAGAGGGAGAACCTTTGTTTTGATAGGGAGAGTAAAAAATCAAGGAGTACAAAGGTAGACATCCGCGCCATAGACCTGTCTGGCCTGGCAAGTAAGAAGGCCCCATCTGAACGTGAAGTGGTGGAACGTGCCCCTGGGAGCTTGTAACAGAGGGGAAAACCAAGGTTGCCGGGGTCACCATGGAGTGATGAGGATGCCATCTGCTCTGCCCCTTAGGACTTTTACCAAAGTTCTTGCTACTATAACAGAGTAGAAGGAAAAGCATAGAGTCCCGGCAGCCATGTGAAGAAGAAGATATCACCCTGACATCCATGATTTATCTGCAGGCGGTGGCAAGCACAGAACAGGAGACAGTAGTGTTACAGAATCTCCCAGTGGTGAAAGATGAGCTGAGCCAAGCCTCCCATGGGTGCTGTTACCACTCATGAGTGGAGGCTAGAGCCCTGCTCAAGGAATCTGCCAATACATTCTCCTCTCCAGAGAGATAGAGTGTGATTAGTTGAATTCATTGTGGGATACACCAAGTCCAGATCTACATAGTGAGGTTGAGTAAACTGAGAGAATGCGTCCCTCCCTGTGTCTTGATGTAGAATGTGGTGCTTGTGTTGTCTGCCCTCAACTAAACCACATGGCCCATAAGGGAATACTCGAATGCTCTGAGTGCCTTCTGCACTGCAAGGAGCTCGAGATAATTAATGTGGCATCATTGTGCCTGCGGTGACCACAATCCCTGGACCATCCAGTGGCCCGTATGCACTCTTCATCCATATGGGGAGGAGTCTGTCATCAGCCTTCAAGAGGGCTGTACATGCTGAAAAGGCACTCTGCTGCAGAAGTTGGCATGGTGCAACCACCAATTGAGGGAGAGTTGTGTCCAGTCTGTCGTGCAGAACATTGAATGCTCCCAATAACCATGTCTATAGTAGCAGTGTGCGGAGCTTCGTGCAGGCGGTGAAAGGAGTGGTCGATGCCATGTGGCCCAAAATATGCTTCAGACAGGCACATGGCAAGCTGCTGATGCTTGCAAGATTGTGGATTGTAGGGCCCATAAATGGTCCTCCAAAAGGTAGGCCCTTTCCTTAATGGAATCCAACATGGTTCCTATAAAGCAGATCCACTGAGTCAGCATGAGAAAGGACTTCTTGAGGTTGACAACCATGCCGAGTTTCTGGAGAAGAAACAAGATTGATGCAAGGGAAGCCTGAAGCTGAGATCTAGAGTGAGCCACAAAAAGCCAATCATCAATATAAGGAAACACTGTTAGGCTCTGAAGGTTGAGATGAGCTGTTACGACAGCCATATATTTAGTTTTAAAAAAACATGTTTCTGTTCAGAGGCCTAACGGGAGAACATTAAATGAATAATCTTAATATTCCACCAAAAGACTGAGGTGCCAAAGTCTTAATAGAAAAAGGAAGCAAGTGTCCTTCAGATCTACCGTTGCAAAGAAAGCCCTCTCCTTGAGCAACGGCAGAATGATAGGCAATGTCACTATTCTGAACCTGCACGGTTTAATATTACAGTTAACCTCACGGAAATCCAGGATCAGACGAAGGCCACCATCTTCTTTCAGGACCAAAAAGTAATGGGGGAAAAAAATCTAGGATATTCTGATGGACTGAAAAGAAAAGATAGGGCCATCCCCTGGAAGTAGTGGTTGAGAATAGCACCCCTCTGGAGCTATAGCTCCTCCTATAGTAAGTGGGATAGCTTGGTTCTCTTACTCTAGATGGAGGAGCACAACGAAGGCAGGAATCCAAACCTATGCAAAGTCTGTTACATCTTATGAGTATGCTCTGGCTGCGAGTCTACACCTGGATTGAACAGCCCTGACTCATGAATCAGGAGGTCCTCGGTAACACCTTGTGACAAGGAAGACAGCCTCAATGAGCATAGCCAGGCAGGGCGGCAGAGGACTACTTCTGCTATAAACAACTTTCCCCCTGAACTGGCTGAATGCTTAAAAAGGTCCTTTTGTAGGCCTGCAAGAATCAGTGCCACCCGCTTGAAAGCTCTTACCAGCTTGAGTTCTTCTGCTGGTAGATGGTCCAAGTCTGTTATGCCCCCATATATGCACCATAATGGGCTAGCCTCACAAAAAGGCCTGATGAGGAATAAACCTGATACCCCATATCATCCAATTTCTATCCTTCTCTATCAGTTGGAGTGGCATAATCTTTTGTGAAGCCCGAGACTGTGAGACATCCACTACTATGGAACCGAGCATGGGATGTTGAGGGGTCAATGAAGTAGAGGTAGTCTATCTGCCTTGACGTTGCTGGTACTGAGGCCGGAGGCAGACCTGGGTCTTTAATCAACGGAAGGGCAAAAGTGGCAGCACTGTTGACACTGGTACCTGCTGCTGGGTAAAAGAAAAGATAGGACCATCCACTGGAAGTAGTGGTTGAGAAGTTGGCAAATTCAAGACACAGCATGAGGGCCGAGAAATTATGAAAGTCTTCTGGAGGAAAAGATCTTAATCCTCCAGAGTCACCCATAGGCAGCCCTAGTTTTGGTTCCTCTGATACTGCAGATCTATGCTCAATGCTCACCTCCTCTAGAGGGGTTGAGAAGCGTGATGACATTTCATGCCTTGCTGAAGGAACAACAGCCTGCAGCCTAGGCATTACTGAAGAGACCTGTGGGAACTGGCACAATGGTGTAGAATAGCGTATGTCAAGAAACTCCTGATCCCAAGATCCTGTGATAGCCAGGACGCCACAGGCAGGAATAAGCAGAGTTCATAATGTTGGAAGCGAGGTGAACCCTCATAATGGGAATGCCTTAAGTGGTGCCCATGGGTAGCAGGAGCCTGAGGGTAACAGATTTCCCCTTGAGGACTATAAAAGAATAATATACAGAAGATCCATGCTATAAAAAGCCTGCAAGGGGAGTCTTAAGATGATGCCTGAGAAATGCTAAGAGAATGACTATGGACAGACCATGCGATCGTGAAGGGGAGTGACACAAGCCATGATTCAGGTATGGAGATGTTCCTGTAACAGGGCCTGTCCCAATACCTCTGCCTTCGGAGGAGATGGCACCTCTCCTCCGAAGGCAGCTGAACCTCTGGCTGGGAGCTGCTCGTATGGTTGCGATTTTGCCTCTCCATAGTAGAGGGATGGAGCATCATGCAAGAAACTGTGAGGGAGGCAATGCCTGGGAGTCAAGCATAGCAGCGACCATGTTCCCACAAGATAGCAGGGCAGGTGCAGGTGGGGCTTGTTGCCATTGCTATGCCAGCTGGGGTGGTGTTGGGACACCGGAAGAAGACGCTTGAGCCGCTGACTCTCCTCTTGCCTCTTTTCCCTGTTTTGAGGTATTGCACACCGCTCCAATGCCGAGGGGGATCGACACACTTTCTTCAGTGTGGGGCCAGTCACGCGACTTTCCTTTGCAAGAGTCGCGAGTACTGCGCCACAATCCAATGAGCCAGGATACAATGCCAGCACTTCTGAAAGCCCATTTCTTTGGCTGGGAGGGTGAGGCTGTAAGCTCCAGCTCATAAAGGAGTGTTTTAAGGTGCACCTCCCAGTTCTTTAGTGCTTGAGGGGTGAAAGTTTGGATTAGTTTTTACCTCATGAGCCTTCCCCAAGCAAGCAGACACATTGAGTGACCATTGGTATCTGGAAGCCTTTCCCAAACACCATACATTTCCTTAAAAAGTAGATGCCATGATAGAAGCAAGTGAGTAAGAGAAGTGCAGGGAAAGAGCAAGTCCCAAACTTAGTGTACTCACAGGATTTGCAATAGTTAAGAGTAATTAGTCCTGTCCAATGTCAATACTAAAAGTACTGGTAGGGTAGTCAAAGAATAGTCAAATTAGTCTGAGTTAAACACAGGAAGAACACCATGTAGCAGTAACCAAAGAGAAGTCAAACAAATTGAAGGTCAACATGAAAAGGAAACTGCAGGAGTAGACAGGAGACTAGTCAAGCCGGTCCGTAGTCAAACTTAATGAGGTAATTTATCTAAGAGATATTCCTTGCTGCTAATGCTGGGGATTAAAGGAACTGAGGTGCTAGCCCCACCTGCTGACTATATATCCTTCAGGGGAGGGTAGGTGGGGCTACCACCAAAAGGCTTCTTAAAGCATCTAGAGCAGTGGTTCTCAATCTCTGGGTCCCCTGATGTTTTGACCTTTAACTCCCAGAAATCCTAACAGCTGGTAAACTGGCTAGGATTTCTGGGAGCTGTATGCAAAAACACCTGGGGACCCAGAGGTTGAGAACCACTGGACTAGATAATTCTGAGCTGTCCTGAGCCTACACACAAGACCCATATGTGCAATTGAACCAAGACCACGTAGAAGAAGCAACACTCCCATAAAAATGAAATATTCCTAGTCTCACTATGCCAAATACACAGGTTCAATTTGGAGTCAATACAAAGGCTCTAGATTAAGAAGTAAATGAGGAAAGAAGCTGTAGAAAAAGAGCAAGAACATATTGAGGAACTCCGAGCCATTGACATTACACCAAGGGGCTCTTCCTGCCTCCCAAAACAGACCTATCACAACATTTTATATTCTGATAAAATCAAAAGTGGGCATGTCTTTGTGTATTGATTTTCCTTAAATTAATATCTACACATTCTTCCAAACGATGCATGCACACACACACACACACACACACTTATTTATGTCATCAAAATGGAAGTTTTAAGCTGTCCAAACTTTGTGATGTCCAAACTGAAGACCTGCAGAAATCATGTTTACCTGTGTCCCAGCTGGCACCTGAGGCACAGGTATTACTTGAGCTTGCTGTGTAACTGTCTGCAAAGGGGCAGTTCCACTTGAAATTGATGGTTGAGGAGCCTGGTACTGCCCACTTTGTTGGGATGAGGCTGGCTGCTGGGTACTCTATTAGAGAAAATATAAAGCAAATTATTTCCTGTAGACAAAATCATGTTGTATCCAGAGGTATTTGCCACTGTTTGGAATATTTCAGAATATTTGCAGCATAGTATGTATTCCAACTTCACTCTTTTTGTTTTCAGATTGTTCGAAAATACTAAAGTACATGTAATACCAACTGTGATACTTCCTAGAAAATAAATTATCATAGGCATAGTCTATTGTAACTACCAATTCTACTTGGAAGAAGGGATGATATATACTGAACTAGTACTGCATTGAGGCAGGCAACCTGTAACCCACCTGAAGTCTTTGGACTATACTCCCATGGACCAATAGGCAGGGATGATTTGAATTGTATTGCAGCAACTGGAGAGGTTCAGATTCATTGACCATGCTCATGGGACAAAATTACCAACTACTAGTCTGATAAGGCCTGCCTCAGGCATCCACATTTCCATGATTTGTTGAAACAGCAATATGTGATAAGCTCAAGAACTGCCTTCCATCCTTTCACCTACTGAGGCTTGCTTCAGAAATGACATTCCGATTTCTTAAAACATGACTTCAAAACTATGGTGTGCAATCCAAGTTCATAGAGAGCAAATAAACTATATTTTCTTGGTTCAGAAACCACAAGACACTGTGGACTGGAATCCATAAGTCTGCTGTGAACCCAGGCATGCATGGGGGAAAAGCTCAAATTCATTATTTGTTCTTGCTCCAATATTATTATTATTAATTATTATTATTAAATTTTATTTGTACCCCGCTAGCATCTCCCGAAGGACTCGATGCGGCTTACAAAGGCCAAGGCCTCAACACACAATATAACAATACAAAACATAAGGCAAATTAAAAACAATTAAAGCAATATAAACAACAAGCAATAAACAATACACTAAGACACAATAGAACTGGGCCGGGCCAGAGTAATGGGTACAGGATTAAAGTGCTGATGTGACAGGTGGTATATAAGGCTTATAGGGCAAGTGCAGAGTGCGATGTGCAGCAATCTTAGTTCTAATAAAGTGCTTATGGGACTTGGTATTGGAGATTTCCTAATCTGGGAAGGCACATCGGAACAGCCAGGTCTTTAAGTTCTTTCTGAAGACTGCCAATGTAGGGGCCTGTCTAAGATCTTTGGGGAGGGTGTTCCACAATCAGGGGGCCACCACAGAAAAGGCCCTGTCTCGTGTCCCCACCAAACGCGCTTGCGACGCAGGCGGGATCACGAGCAGGGCCTCTCCAGATGACCGAAGTGAACGCGTGGGTTCGTAGACGGAGATGCAGTCACGCAAGTAGGATGGTCCCAAACCGTTCAGGGCTTTGTAGGTAAGCACCTGCACCTTAAACTGGGCTCGGAAAATTAACGGCAGCCAGTGGAGTTCCTTGAACAATAGCCAAATAGCAAAGGCGGAATGAATAATAAAGCTCTTGGAAAACAATCGCATAAAAATATCAAATACTGCATATCATCTTCTCATGCAAGGATTGCTATAGTTAAATATTCTGAATACGTTACACATAGGCAGAGATTATATATATCATAAATTAAATTAGGTTGGAAGTCTTAGGCTCACCTGAATCTAGTACATAAAAAAGCATTTAACCAAAAAAGAAAACACATACGAAGAGTGAAAACAATACTGTGTAATTACAACATAGCTGCCAAAATCATTTCAACATGCATTACTCTTTTCATGAATCATTTATCTAACTTGCTTGTAAGATAAATATTCAAAGTACAGTAAGCCCTCCATAAGCATGGATTCTGTATCCTTGGATTCAACCATTCACATCTTGAAAATATCACCTCCCCAAAGCAAACCTCGATTTTGCCATTTTATATATGAGTCACCATTTTACTATGTCATTGTATAGAGGGGGACTTCAGCATCCACAGTTTTTGGTATCCAAAGCAAGGGGAGGGGGTGTCCTGGAACCAAATCTCACCAAATACCAAGGGTCCAGAGAACTACAAAGAAAACTGTATTGAATATCCCAAATAATTCTAGAATTATTGTCACTATTACCTGTTGGCTTTGCTGCATAAGCTGGGATGATGTACTTGCTGATGAGACACTTGAAGCTGGCTGCCCTTGCATCTGTGTGTAAAGGAAGTAGAAACAAACAATCAGATCATGGAGAAAATGTGGGAACTGAACAAGAAGGACCTGAGTAATTATATTAATATTCTTACTAAGTAATTCTACACTGCAGTATGTCTGGGGAAATTTTCAAAAACAATTCCAAAGTACTAGAGATGTACTATAGATATAGTTATGTCCAATTTTTTTTTCATGAGGCAAGTCTTATCCATCCTGCCATTTCTACACAAAGCTAATCTATATATCCAGGGTAGTTTCCACATTAAGCTACAAGCTGTAGTCAGATCTACCAAAGCTACGCATTAAAAGGAAGAACAAATAGCAGCCACATTAAATACCTGTACTGGAGGTAAAAATTAACTCAATACTAATTCTACTTTGTAAGTGACAAACTCAAGAAAAGTCTCAAAACATCAAACCATAGGAATATCTCACTGTTACAACCAGAAAGTTCAGGAAAAAAAAACATCCGAAGCCAAAATGGTTTGCAGTATTCAAGTATTTTGAATACTTAAGCAAAGCAAAAAAAAGTCTATGAATGAATGTTTAAAATTAAAATTAGAATGGCAATGATAATCTTTGCAGAGTCATTCCCATCACAGTAAAATAGGTTTTTATCTCAGCATATCATGGAAAATGAACATTACAGATAGGGGAAAAACAGTTAAGCCTTGTAGTTCTACAGTGACAAGGTTGAATAAAGTATGATAACATTTTTACAAACAAATAGAAGGATTCTGAAAAAACGTAGCATGGCAACAGTGGATACCTTTATCTGAGTAGAAAATATAGGGACGAAAATATAAGATTGTTGCAGAATTATTCTTATTTATTCATCATCACAGTGAAGAGGAATTAGGAAGCAAATCTGTGGGGTCATTCTGGCAATTATTACTTCCAAAGTGAGTACATCATGACAAAGTATTATTTACAGTATTTCTATACCGCTTTTCTCACCCCTAGGGGGACTCAAAACCCCTTTAAGCACCTCAAGTTAGATATGTTTCACTCTATAATCGTTCTCCACTTTTATTATTCTCTTGTATTTATAAATGCCACAAAGGCATTTTGATAAACTTTTGATAAATGCAGTGTTCCCTGTATACGGACCCACCAAAATCAACAAGGAAGAAGTCAGCAATACAGAGTAACCAATGGAAGAAAACTCACTAGCCTCTTGTTTTTCCTATTACTAAAATGCTGTTTTAATATTAATCATTATGATAGTCCTAAACAGTAGGCAAATATTTATAGTGCAGATGTAGGGCTCTGAATGAGGATGCACATTGCCTAAGTACAGCCTTTTCAACCTGAAAAATTGAAATGTGTCCTTAGAAGGAAAAAAAATCCCTTCTTAGGCTGAGCAGCATACATAATCAACTGTGGTAATGATTTGATCCACTGATTCCCAACTGTGTTCAAAAAGTGGAGAGCTGTTACATCAACCTCAGTTCTCATTCTCTGTACACAATAAAAAGTTCCCACACACAAAAAGATAATGTATATATTTAAATAATATTTCCACATTGTGTATATACAGTTTGCATATGCGTGTAAACTCATTATTGTTTTGAACAGCATGTAATGACTGCTATTATTTTATCCAGTCTGTGCATTTTTAGACTGTGAAAACTATATCTGAATTTCACTTACCTGAGCATCCTAAGAGGATCAGATAAGTAAAAAAGAAAGTTTTTAACACTGTTAAAATACTGTATTGAACAATCCTACATGTGTCAAGGTTTTAACTAACACAAAAAAAACAAAAACAGATTACACATATAGAGAGCACACTGAGTGGTGCTCCTAAAAAGCTAGGATCGTACTGACTTCACCTAACATATTTCTAGGAATACCAAATTCCAATATGTAATATTGGAATAAGTTGAGGGAGAAATCAGGAAAGGGTCTGAACAAAGTAAGGAAGATAAGGAGCTTTTGCACAAGGGTGTCAGGGGAAACTAAAATCTAAGTATTTGTTCCTATAACCTGAGTAAAGTGTGCAGATGGTCCCGATGAAACCAGTGTTGAAAATGCCTGTTGAGATGAAGTTCCTTGTGGAAAGTGGATGAAGACCTGTGGATCTGGAAAGACCTTCTGAGACAGCTGAGGAGCAGGCAGAGGCAAGCCTGAACCATATGACAAAGATATTCCACTGGGAGGGGGAGACAGAAAATCACTAGTGTCTGAGGAAGTCAGTTGTGATGAGTCACTGGAATATCCTGGACTACCTTCTGGCCAACTCTGTAGAACAGAACTGCCTCTAGGTAACATAAACTCAGCACCCAAGTAGTTGAACTGCTCTTCTGTTACAGGCTGAAGGCGACCAGGTTGTAATGTTGGTTGAAGGGATTCATCTGGATTAAAATCAGCAGACCCTCGACGATTTCTATAAATACGCTGGGATAGGAGAGCACCTTCTCCTCCAGTCGCAGTGGGAGCCTGAACATGAAACTCGAACACACAACTTGTTCGGCCATCCCCACTATGAGTGAGCACAGCAGGTGCAGAATGTGGAACAAATAATGGGTGAACATTCATCTGTGTTGGATCTGCACTCATTGGAGCAGATACACTAGACAATGGCAAAAGTGGATTCATTCCAGAATCCAACCTCAAGTTCTGAATTTGTCTTGCCAGAAAAGTCTGCCCCGTCTGATACTCAAACGAATTCTGAAGAGAACCACCTTGTAAACTTCTCTGTTCAAGAGCTTGGTGCAACAGTTGCTCAGTCCCATGAGAATCATGGGATACAGCATCATAATGTTCTGGCAACTGAGACTGGTATGGCATGCCCACTAAATATACTGCTTCTTGAGTCAACATGTTTGCTGCATCTTTTGAAGGTGCGTGTCCAGGTCTATAATCACCAAGCACTTGGGACGACTCAAATGTAGGGTCAGCCTGTGTATGCTCTGCTGTAGATCTATGAGCTGTAGTGCTCACTGTCACCAGTGCTTCTGGTGTCCAAGCTGTTGGACTACCACCTGGGAGAAGCAAACTCTGACCAGTCTTCAGCAAGGGCTGGAAGTGGCACGTTTGGGCTTCAAGGACGGAAGTACTCTTGCGCCGCTGAGAAATGGCCATCCTCGACGGAATGGGAGGTGGCGAGAAAGACACTGGCCGTTCATGAACGGTTGGAAAAAATATCTGGGAATCTGGGAATGTTGGGGTTCCCCCACACGGATGCACCATGGACTGAGGCTGTATTGACATGAACAAGACAAGTAATTCACATATTATTGTAACATATAAGCATGTTTAGCTTAGTAGGCAGGTCTTTTTAGTAACCTTATAGAATGGCTACGCCTAGTTCATGGTCAACACACAAAATGCTTTGAAGTGTTACACATATCCATTAAATACATCCATGGCAAATATCAGTGCCTATAAGAGTGTTTGCTTTGTTAGAAGCTGCTTTTTCATTCATTCATTAATTAAGCAATTTTGCTGAATGCTGTTCTTTAATAATATGGTTACATTCATCAATATTTTATTTCTGCAACCTAGTCGATGAAAATTATTTCGCTATAAAATATGAGTTTCTGCTTTGTATTTGAAAGAAGGGTCTCATTTTCTTCAGAAACCTATTAACTTTTTATTAAGGTTGAAAAAGAATCCCTATAACTGGATACCATCTATGGGGAACCATATACTAATATATCACAGAGTAGATTTCCATTCACTTACATCATATACAAAGCTCTCTATCAAATGTTTGATAGTGTCCCTGTATATAAAGCATTAAAATGCTCATTTTCCTCTGTGATGTAACTATTATTTTCATTTACTGTATACAAGATTCCATTTATACTCTAGAAAAGCAGCAGCAAATTCTTAAATGACACAGTAAGAATTGAGAGTGTGAATGGTGCTTTCCTGAGCTGTAGAAAAGTGATTCTTTTTCTCCTGCTTCAACGGTATCTCAAAACAGGCAGAAATTAATAGGAAATACATTATACTCTTTTTTTGTGAAAGTAGGACAATCATATATATTCTAACGTTTGAAGATAAATTCAGAACCAACTAAGGTTATGAAGATAAATCCAGAACCAACCAATAAATCAACTGCTACTAGTTTTATATGTTAAGCTGCTGTAACTAAACAAAAAATCATGTGCCAAAATGGATGAAAAAAATCTATCTAAAACCTCACTCTGCAAGCAGATAATACTACAGAACAGTCAGCATTTGGGCTCAGAGGATATAGAGTTTATTTGCATAAAGTACAAGCAAGAAGGAAGGAGGCGAACTCTGAAGTGTGGGAGGAAAACACTAGAACAGGAATTGGGCCTTCCAGTAATTTCAATCTTTTGACTAAACTACCTGCTCTGAGGGAGCTTTCTTCCTAATGCTCAGGGCTAGGAAGAGGTCCTCCACTTGAAATAGCAGCTAGCATTCCCACACAGATCATTAATAACACTGGCATGTTTAAAAGTTTTAATTGGCATTTTTTTCTATCCCAAAACTCCCACTTTCCCATTTTCTGGGAACAAAGGAGAAGACCATTTCACTGACTACTCCCAGGCTCTGGAACTCTCTTTTTAGAAAGGTTACACTGGAGCCATCTTTGCTATCCTTTTCTAGGCAGGTGTTTCAGCAGGACTTTGAGGGCTGATTACTCAGGAGAATGGGCAGTTCATAATATTCTGTGTTGTTTATTTATAATTTCATTAATTACATGGTTTTAACTTTTGTAAGTCATCTTGAGGCCCTAGATTGGGAAAACATGTGATATAAATAAATATAGATTATCCCTTCTCTGCAGGTAGAGAATGTATTCACTCAAAGTGAATAACATATTATCAAAATACATAAAACCACAACTCAATCTGTGGCCTGTTCCTTTAACAATTCATTATAACTTAAGGCTTTTCCAGAAGTTTCAAATATATTAGTTCCCAACTTTTGATAGAAAAAGAATCAGCTTTCAACTAGCACAGGGCGAGCATAGTTCCTCTTCCCTTCCTTAAATAATTCCAACAATGACGCCAGGATGTATTTAATGGTGACTTATCTTCAATGCACTAGGAGGCATACAGTGACATACAGGGTTGACAAAGAGGGCAGGCAAGCTGGAGCGCCGGTGCTGGCGTGGAGAGGCAGTGTGCATGGGCAGCACACTCTCCAGGGCTTTGGAAAGCTTTTCACCAAAGGTTTCATCAGGGGCAGTCCGAAGGCAAGAAGGAGAAAGAGGTGCAGACAACACCGATGGCGGGGTGGAAGGAGCACTGGGAAGGATTTGGTATAGAGGGGGGAAAGAAAGAGGGGAAGGACAAACTGGCATGCTACAGCCACGTGGAGGCTAAGGAAGAAAACAAAAAGAAGTGAATACAAATCACATGACTAATGAGTTGGAACTGAGAGAAACACATTCATGACAAAGGGCCAATAGTGACTGTAACATACCAGATACAAATAAACTTGACATCATAAATCATAAACAAAAATGAGTATTATGTGCACCTCAGAGGTCTGCGAAGTTTTCTTCAAATATCACATTCACTAGATCATTTTATTCTCATCCCACAAAGTTTACATACATGTAGGAAAAGACATTTGCTCTCAGAACTCAAATCCATCAGAATGTGCCAAAAAGTCTCCAACACCAAAGAATCTGGCATCAGATGGGTCTCAGGCATCTTAAGGAGGCAATTAGAAGCTCACACTGGTTTAGAATCGGGAAAGTGCTATGTTCAGAAAAATGTTCCTTTCGTATAACTGCTTTTTGTCTTTGGTGAAATACCATATATTTATTCGAAAACAGATTTTCTTCCTAAAATAAAGGATGTGACTAGAAACAGGTAGTTCTTTATTTAGACAAGGATTACAAGACATCAAGAATCAGCTACATCATAAACTGTGGAACATAAAACTTTAATTTAAAAGATAATTGCCTCAATTAGACAGTATTCTGGAAAGGAGTTTGTTAGAGAAGATAGTTGCTGCACTTCGCCTACAACTGCAGGTTACTGTTTATTTTTCTGATTGAACAATTATTTCCTAGATTACTTTTTAATGCAAAGGTTCCTCAAGCAGACATGTGCTTTTTCCCCAAACATGTTTCTAGAGCAGTTTTAAAAACTAATCTCCTTGTTTAAAACTTCTCTTCCAAAGAGATTGAACTCAGAACTGAACATCCAGAGAAGTTCAGGTGGAAGTTTTTCTGGAATGCTTTGATGTGTCATCCAAACTTGGTCTGCTCAGAAGAACCATTAGCATATCCCCTTAAGTGTTAGCCATGATTATTCAACCTTGAAGCAAGGTCTGTGAAGATTGCTTAATGGGTTATAAATTTAAGCTATGGAACTGAGCTGAAGCATAAAAATCAAAATAATGAACCAAACTAAAAACAAAAAAGTCATTTAAAAGGTCTCATTTTGCGATGTTTTAAAAGGGCACAAAACTTCATAGGTGCATTTGATAAAAACAAAATGGTGAATTGCTTACAAAGACTGAAACGATTCTTCCTTCATGAAGAATTATGTTCTCTAAAAAATCTTCCCAATGTGATTTACAATAATGTATAGTAATAGCAATAATGGAGATTGCCGAATAAGATATTCTGCATCCACTGGACATGGACAAATTATTTGCGTAGTAATTATATTTTTGCCTCTCTAGACTCCATAAACATCAAATTTTGTAAAAAGAGTTTAAGAGTAGGGCAGCAGGTTTTCTGGAAGACTCCCAAAATCAGCTCTGAAAACATACCACAAAAGGGTACCAAATAAAGGGTAACACAAATGAACACATGAAGTGGGAAAGGTAATTGTGCCCATGAGCAATTAAATGCAAGCTGTAATTAAATGGAAACACAAAAGTGGGTTCATTTCAAATTGCAGTGTTTGCATGCAGCATTCTATAATGGTTAGAAATCCTTACCTTCTCTAGCTGTAACTGAAAACTTGTACAACTTTTACAAAACGTATATATTTTTTACTATACTCAACTATTTTGTAAACCTCATTATTACTTTCCTCACACAGTATTAACTGTATCTGCAGCTCTACAACACTTGACACTTGCCTATTTTAGATATCATAAACTAAATGGAAATCTACCCCAAGATATTAGTTCTCATATATTCACATGACAGTGTTAGCTAAAATCCTCACCACTTTAATACAGAATAATGATATGCCAGCATAATCACTAGATTTCTCATTTGAGCAACAGCCATCACACTTTTCAGCTGGCCCCTTGAGCAAGTTGATTTGTTCTCACCTCCCAAGTCAAAAGTGAAACAGAGCTCTGTGGGTGTACTTGTAGAATAGCTGGTCGCACAAGGGACTGCATATATACAGCAACTTTGCTAGTGTGGTGTTCCAACAAGGAACTAGCAACACTTGACCAACAGATCCAATGTCAGGCCAAGGTATTTGCACATCCTACACCTGCATATGCAAGCACTGATCTGAGTTTTGCATTCTAAATTCAGATCACAGCTGCTTAAATAACTACACAAACCCAGGAATATGGAACAAGGTTGCATGAGAAGTATTTGCTCCGCTATTTCAACCTTATACTTACCACGGCAGATGACTGATATCCTCCAGGTTGTTGGGATTGTGGTTGGCCAGCTGCATATCCCGAGGCTGGAATAGACTGGTCATGCTGGGAACCATACGAAATAGTCTGCTGGCTACTCACACACGATTCAGTAAAGAGAGACGATCCTTGGCCACTGTCAACCGTGCCATCAGCTGTACAGATGACAAAAAAATGAGTTTTAGACTGCACCCCAGTCACAAGTTCCCAAACTGCTTACAAGTTACTTTACTTTCACTTTAGTAAGAAGAAATCATGATCAGTTGTAACAGTAGTTTCTATCCTCTTTCCTCAAAACAAAAACTACAGTATTAGCACCTTGATTCTAAGCTATTATTACGTTAGACAGCACACCTTCTCTGTCTCATTTCAGAAATCAACTTCAAAAGTTTCTCCTGTGACTGCAGGGGTTCCACAGGGATCAGTTTTGGGTCCTTTTCTTTTTTTCATTATATACTCTCCTTCTTGGATTGTTTTTCATATTTGGATTTTAAGTATTTCTTTGATACAGATGACACGAACATTTTCCAGAGTATAAAATCAATTGAAACCTTTCAATAGAAGTCTATAATGGACTGCTACCTTGGCAGCCACCTCTCCACCAAAGTCAACATCGACACCGAAATACAACACCGCCTGAGCTCTGCAAGTGCAGCATTTTCCCGAATGAAGCAGAGAGTGTTTGAGGACCGGAACATCCGTAGGGATACCAAGGTGCTTGTCTATAAAGCTATTGTCCTCCCAACCCTGCTATATGCCTGTGAGACGAGACGAAAAAGCAAAGACCACCAGCATTGAAGCGATGGTCCTCCAACATCAACTCAGCTGGGCTGGCCACGTTGTCCGGATGCCTGACCACCGTCTCCCAAAGCAGTTGCTCTACTCTGAACTTAAGAACGGAAAACGGAATGTTGTTGAACAGGAAAAGAGATTTAAAGATGGCCTCAAAGCCAATCTTAAAAACTCTGGCATAGACACTGAGAACTGGGAAGCCCTGGCCCTTGAGCGCTCCAGCTGGAGGTCAGCTGTGACCAGCAGTGCTGCAGAATTCGAGGAGGCACGAGTGGAGGGTGAAAGAGAGAAACGTGCCAGGAGGAAGGCGCGTCAAGCCAACCCCGACCGGGACCGCCTTCCACCTGGAAACCAATGCCCTCACTGCGGAAGAAGATGCAGAGCAAGAATAGGGCTCCACAGCCACATACGGACCCACAAGGAAACCCATAATGGAAGACCATCTTACTCGTCCAACGAGGGATCGCCTAAGTAAGTAAGTAACTAATGGACTGCTTGTTTAGCATGTATTTGTAGATGACAATTCACCGTCTTAAACTGAATATGAATAAAAAGAAGAGATCTTGGTGTTTCAGCATAACCATCCCATAGCCTCTCTTTCATGCACTGTACTCTGTTTGCAGGGTTGCACAGTGGATTCTCTTTTGGTTGACAGGAACCTCGGGAATCTTGCTGGATGACAGTTTGTCTTTGCGGCCCTTTATGGTGATAGCAAAGACATGTAATTTCCATCTTTTGAAAATCCATAGCTAAGCAGGGCTAGCTAATGAGTGTGATGTGCTGTAGGCTATGTTTCAGAGGCAAGAAATGGTCAAACCACTTCTGAGTCCTCAAAACCCGATTATGAAATTCATGGGGTCACTGTGAGCCAACAGGTCAACTTGAGAGAACGTGTACATACAGAGGATCTATAGGTTTTTGATTGTCAAGACAACCACTGCCCATCTGGTTGTTAAGGTTGCAGTTTTGTTGCCTAATTGCAATCTTTCCTTCTTGCTTTCTTCCCCTTCTCCTTCAGAACAGTGTTGTCCACATTTGTTTCAGTCTACCTAAATATTCAAATTTAATTCTACTGTAGATCTCTTCACTGGATAACAGTTCAGGCCAGGGTCTGTACCAAACTTTTGTTCTTGTATTTAGAGCTATGCGCTCTAATCTCCCCCAGTACCTGGTACCTTGGATAGAATGCTATGATTCCTGTAAGAACATAAGAACCAAATGCAAGGGGATAATTGTATGTTCCAACAATGTGAACAGCTGTGAAGGATGCAAGCCTTTCAAGATATGGTTCTGTATCTGTGGAACTGTCTCCCTTTGAATCTCTGGCTGGAGGAGGATCTCAACCATTTACAAAGGGAGTTGAAGACTTTTCTCTTTGATTCTCTGGATCAAGTTGCTGAGCCGTGCATGAAGTTGCTGAAGTGGCTGGTTTTTTTATATATATTGACAGTGTTAAAGGTATAGGTTGTCCCCTGACATTAAGTCCAGTCATGTCTGACTCTGGGGTGTGATGCTCATCTCCATTTCTAAGCTGAAGAGCCAGCGTTGTCCATAGACACCTCCAAGGTCATGTGGCTGGCATGACTGCATGGAGCGCCGTTACCTTTCCGCTGGAGCGGTACCTATTGATCTACTCACATTTGCATGTTTCCGAACTGCTAGGTTGGTAGAAGCTAGGACTGACAGCGGAAGTTCACACCGCTCCCCGGAATCGAACCTGTGACCTTTCGGTCAACAAGCTCAGCAGCTCAGTGCTTTAACCCACTGTGCCACCGGGGCTCCTTGACAGTGTTACATTTTATTATACTTGTCTTGATTGTATATGTTTTGTTCTTTCCTTTAATTGAAAGGGTGTTGTAAGTACTGTAAATACTTACGCCCTCTTTGGGGGATAGAAGGAAGGGTAGAAATAAATAAAATAATAATAATTAATTAACAAGTGTTATGACTCAGTGCAAACTTAGCTATGATGTCTCAACACTATTCTACACTATTCTACAGTGTGGTGGAGGCTCCTTCTTTGGAAGCTTTTAAGCAGAGGCTGGATGGCCATCTGTCACGGGTGATTTGAATGCAATATTCCTGCTTCTTGGCAGGGGGTTGGACTGGATGGCCCATGAGGTCTCTTCCAACTCTTTGATTCTATGATTCTATGATTCTAATAGCTGCTCCATTTGGATAGAGAAAAAAAGTAAAGCAAATGATAGTGCCCTTCAAGAAATTCACAAAACTTCTGAATAAATGTGATTATTGGTAATTTGTTGTTGTTCATTCGTTCAGTCGTCTCCGACTCTTCGTGACCTCATGGACCAGCCCACGCCAGAGCTTCCTGTCGGCCGTCACCACCCCCAGCTCCCTCAAGGTCAGTCCAGTCACTTCAAGGATGCCATCCATCCATCTTGCCCTTGGTCGGCCCCTCTTCCTTTTGCCTTCCACTTTCCCCAGCATAATTGTCTTCTCTAGGCTTTCCTGTCTCCTCATGATGTGGCCAAAGTACCTCAACTTTGTCTCTAGTATCTTTCCCTCCAGTGAGCAGTCGGGCTTTATTTCCTGGAGGATGGACTGGTTGGATCTTCTCGCAGTCCAAGGCACTCTCAGCACTTTCCTCCAACACCACAGCTCAAAAGCATCGATCTTCCTTCGCTCAGCCTTCCCTAAGGTCCAGCTCTCACATCCGTAGGTTACTACAGGGAATACCATGGCTTTGACTAGGCGGATCTTTGTTGCCAGTCTGATGTCTGTACTCTTTACTATTTTATCGAGATTGGACATTGCTCTCCTCCCAAGAAGTAAGCGTCTTCTGATTTCCTGGCCACAGTCTGCATCTGCAGTAATCTTTGCACCTAGAAATACAAAGTCTGTCACGGCCTCCACGGTTTCTCCCTCTATTTTCCAGTTGTCAATCATTCTTGTTGCCATAATCTTGGTTTTTTTGACGTTTAGCTGCAACCCGGCTTTTGCGCTTTCTTCTTTCACCTTGATTAGAAGGCTCCTCAGCTCCTCCTCGCTTTCGGCCATCAGAGTGGTGTCATCTGCATATCTGAGGTTGTTAATGTTTCTTCCAGCAATTTTCACCCCAGCTGTGCATTCATCCAGCCCCGCACATCGCATGATGTGTTCTGCATACAAGTTAAAAAGGTTGGGTGAGAGGATGCAGCCTTGCCGTACGCCTTTCCCAATCTTGAACCAGTCTGTTGTTCCGTGGTCAGTTCTGACTGTTGCTACTTGGTCCTTGTACAGATTCCTCAGGAGAGAGACAAGGTGGCTTGGGATGCCCATCCCACCAAGAACTTGCCACAATTTATTATGATCCACACAGTCAAAGGCTTTAGAATAGTCAATGAAGCAGAAGTAGATGTTTTTCTGGAACTCCCTGCCTTTCTCCATTATCCAGCGGATATTGGCAATCTGGTCTCTCGTTCCTCTGCCTTTTCTAAACCCAGCTTGAACATCTGGCAACTCTCGCTCCATGTATTGCTGGAGTCTTCCTTGCAGGATCTTGAGCAGTACCTTACTGGCATGAGAAATAAGGGCCACTGTACGGAAGTTTGAGCAGTCTTTCGCATTTCCCTTTTTTGGTATGGGGATATAAGTTGATTTTTTCCAGTCTGATGGCCATTCTTGTGTTTTCCATATTTGCTGGCAAATGGCATGCATCACCTTGACAGCATCATCTTTTAAGATTTTAAACAGTTCAGCTGGGATCCCGTCGTCTCCTGCTGCCTTGTTGTTAGCAATGCTTCTAAGGCCCATTCAACCTCACTCCTCAGGATGTCTGGTTCTAATTCATTCACCACACCGTCAAAACTATCCTCAATATTATTATCCTTCCTATACAGATCTTCTGTATAGTCTCGCCACCTTCTCTTGGTCTCTTCAGCTTCTGTTAGGTCCCTGCCATCTTTGTTTCTTATCATACCAATTTTTGCCTGAAATTTACTTCCAATGTTTCTAATTTTCTGGAAGAGGTCTCTTGTCCTTCCTATTCTGTTGTCTTTTTCCACGTCCATGCATTGCTTATTTAAAAATAGTTCCTTATCTCTTCTGGCTAACCTCTGGAATTGCGCATTTAACTGGGCATATCTCCCCTTATCACCTGTTTCCTTTTGCTTTCCTCCTTTCTTGGGCTACTTCCAGTGTCTCAGCAGACAACCATTTTGCCTTCTTGGTTTTCTTTTTCTTTGGAACGTACTTTGTTGCCGCCTCCTGAACAATGTCGCGGACTTCTGTCCATAGTTCTTCTGGGACTCTGTTTACTAAATCTAGTCCTTCAAATCTGTTCTTCACTTCCACTGTATATTCGCTAGGAATGTTAGTGAGATCATATCTAACTGGTCTGTGTATTTTCCCTGATCTCTTTAGTTAGATTCTAAATTTTGCAATAAGAAGTTCATGATCTGAGGTCTCTTGTCCTTCCTATTCTGTTGTCTTCTGGACTGGATGGATGTCCGCCACCTTTGGCTGCAAAGGATGTAGTCAATCTGATTTCGGTGTTGACCATCTGGTGAGGTCCATGTATAAAGCCGTCTTTTAGGTTGTTGGAAGAGAGTATTTGTTATACACAGCGAGTTTTCCTGGCAAAATTCTATCAGCCTGCGTCCCGCTTCATTTTGTTCTCCCAGACCATGCTTGCCTGTGATCCCTGTTGTCATTTGACTTCCCACCTTGGCATTCCAGTCTCCTGTAATGAAAATAATGTCTCTTTTTGGTGTATTATCCAGTAGGTCCTGCAGGTCCTCATAGAACTGATCTACTTCTGCTTCTTCAGCAGCTGTGGTTGGGGCGTATATTTGGATCACTGTAATGTTGAAAGGCTTTCCTTGCACTCGAATTGAGATCATTCTGTCATTTTTTGGGTTGTATCCAAGCACCGCTTTAGCGAATTTCTTATTAATTATGAAGGCTACTCCATTTCTTCGATGTTCCTCTTGTCCGCAGTAGTAGATCTGGTGGTCATCTGATGTGAAGTGGCCCATTCCAGTCCATTTCAGTTCGCTGACCCCCAGAATGTCTATCTTTAGTCTTGACATCTCGCCAATAACAACATCCAATTTGCCCTGGCTCATAGATCTTACATTCCAGGTTCCTATGGTGTGTTGATCTTTAGAGCATCGGATTCGTCGTTCACCTACAGTACCGTCGGCCGCTAGCCTTCCTTTCGGCTTTGAGCTAGCTGCGTCATCACATCTGGGGCTAGTTGAACTTATCCTCTGCTCCTCCCCAGTAGCATTTTGGCCATCTTCCGACCTGGGAGTCCCATCTTCCAATGGCATACCAACATATTTCTGGTTGTACTGGTCCATTTAGTTTTCTTGGCAAGGATACTGGGGTGGTTTGCCATTGCCTTCCCCAGGGATCACACTTGGTCTGACCTCTCTGCCACGACCGTCCTGTCTTGGGTGTCCCTTCACGGTTTCGCTCATGACATCATTGAGGTGCTCAAGCTCCAGCGCCCTGACAAGGCGGTATTGGTAATACAACAGCAAAAAAAGAAAATATACGTAGTGTCAAGATCCTGTTTTGGTGCCTCCACATATCTAGAGTTTTACTAGGCTGTATTAGAAGCAGATGCCATGGCCCACTGGAACTATCAGTTCTGTGGTACACTTCTATCAAGGAAGATGGTGGTTGTCTTATGAGGAAAATGCATACTCTACAGACAGATGGACAAAGATCAATTGTTTCATAAGGTTGTGTTGTTGATGATGCTAAATTTTGTTAGTTTAACAAAAAATGACTATTGTTTAGACTACAGATGTGCTAATACCAAGTATTAGGAAAAGAACCAATGCAAGGAAGAAGATTTTCAGTGATAACTAAGATAATTGGACAAAGGAAGTTTATAACATTATCCCTGTGTGTCTCCTAAAGTATCCCTGTGTGTCTCCTAAAGTCCTTCCAGTCCAGTTTCTCCCATGTATTTCATAGTTTTCTTAACCAAGGTTTTGTCAGTTTCTTCCATTGAAATGGAGTGTAGCCAGCCTTAATGTGAGTTTAGGTCCAAAGGATTAACTACTGGTAAACAAAATGGTCACACCATGAGGCCTACAACACAGCTCTGAACGCCACAGTTGGGACATCAACCCCATAAGGAAGGAAGAAATTCAATTGAGATTTGTATTTTGGAAGGGAAATGTGTGTGTTTGTGTATGTGTCTGTGCCACGAAGGAAGGAAGAGGAAAGTAAGGGAAGAAAAGGAAGGGAAGGGGTAAGGTATATGAGGAAAAGCAAAGGAAGAAGAAAAAAAGAAAGAAAAGAGAGAAGGACAAGGGCATGAGGGAAAGAGAGGAGAAAAGAAGGAGTCACAAAGAAAATGCAAACCTGGGGCAACACTGGAGATGTATGCTAGTACTTACATAAAACAGAAATGCTAGGCTGCTGGTACTGCAGCTGTTGGTGTTGATCTGCCTCTGGTTCCTCAGGTTCCACTTGTGTAGAAACTGAAGTTGAAGTAGTGGGAATGGTTGCAACTCCAGTGACAGGGGTGGCATGTTTTGTGCCTTGCTGGGCTGCATTTGCTTGTAACTGTTGTTCTATCTTTTGATTCTGATTGATTTCTTCTTGTTTTCTTTTTTCCTGCTCTTCCCTCACCAATTGACGCTGTTCTCTCTTTCTCTTAATCAAGGACACTCTGTCCTTTATTGCTTTGGCCATTGTTTTGTGATCCCCTTCACAGACATACCCAGACTCAACCTGAACAAAAATTGGAAGTGTAAACAATTTAAGTGAATGAAACTTAAATCACTGTTGGATCATGCATGCAAATAATTAAAAATATTGCTAAGACTTTCTTTAAGAATGAGCTTATCCATACAAAAAACAAAGAAAATCTCTACATGTGACAATCGGTAACACATGTGCAATCACAATTGAACACCTGTATCAACACCTCTATTGGGCAGATATCAGGTGTATTAATCGCTAACAGCTATCACCTGTTCTATAAAATGGGGGGGGGGGTCAGGACACAATGTACTACATCAAGTCTGCATAACCTGTGATCTGCCAGGTGTTTGGGACTCCAACACCCTGAAGCCCTAACCAGCTAGTGTAATGGCTAGGTATTTTGGGAGCTTAACCTGGAGGGCCACAGATTGTGTAGGCCTGTCCTGGATAATTGGCAGCAGCAAAGATGTGTAGCACCAATCACTTATTTCAAAGTACAAATGTGTACTATGTTTAACACTGATTTCCCACATTCACAAGATTTGATGAGGGATCTCTAATCCTGCAGCATATATTTGTATTTAATGAACTGATTTAAAAAGTGGATTAGCCAGAAGGGTGTATGCATAGATGTTACTACATGCCATTCCTGCAACAGTGGATAGTGGGAATCTACTCTCAGGGAAACAAGGGGCCTTCTTGGGGGAGGGGGGTTGGCATAACTCTGCATTTCCATTGTGTCATTGCCTCTCCTTTATTTATTGTATTTCATGGTTAGACTTGTCTCATCTTCAATGTATTTCATTATGTACATATATACTAATACAGCAAATCCAAAATCCTGCTGGTGTGCTGGTTCTCTACCTCCATTGGATAAAATTTTAACACGTCCAACACTGTACAATATAGGTCTCCTACATAAACCTGTCCAAACATTAAAGATCAGAGGTAAATGCTATTCTCGAAGTCATATTTGTAGTGTTCATTCAAGTCATTTTAATTTGGTTTTGCCTTTGCCATTCTTTGAAGCTGAGAGAGTGTGACTTACCCAGTGGGTTTCCATTTGCTGAGCATGGACTGCTCAAACCACTACATCACACTGGCTCTCTCGAAGACACACTAATAATCAATTTCTATAGGGGCCCCATCCTTCCTTTCTGCATCTATCACTGTTTCTCAAATTATACTACTCCAGGTGTTTTGTACTTCCGCTCCCAGAAATTCCAGCCAGCTTACCAGCTATCTGGAATTGTGGGAGCTGAAGTCCAAAACATCTGGGGGAATCGTTTGAGAAATTCTGCTTTATATTGCTTTAACAGAAGCCTCTTGCAAAATCCTTTAAAGATGTTACTTTATACATTGGAAGTGAAAAACAACTATTCTGTATCATGAGCATACAGGTATTTTTCCATATGTGCTAGTAGTCTCTGAAAGTATAAAATCTTTTTTAAAGTATCATAAAATTGAAAATTGAATCCACTCATACAATTCTTCTGGGATATCATAAAGTCAAAATTCACTTTTTAATACTTTGGGGCACACACTGAATAGGTTCCGATGTACAAAGAACTGTACTCTATGGACTACAGCAAACCCATTCTGCAACTACTTTTTAAATTTAAAGATTCCAACACATTATATGCAAATAACTTTTCAGTAGGGAAGTGCAAAAGTAAAAAGTTGGCATCAGGGATGAAAGAATGCCCAATGTTGTTCATTAACTTTTATGACTGCCTCCAACTAGGGGTATAATTTTTAAATGTTCATTGTTATCTAAGCAATCAAACTGCAAATGAGACAAACTACACCTAAAGATCAGGGTTACTCAACTATGCAGACTTCTAACCTTTACATTACTTACCATTTCTTGTGCTACATCCTCTGGAACATCCCTCTCCAAGTCAAAAGAAAATTCTATTGCTTCATTATCCTTGTATTTGCCCTTAAGCTTTTTAATGTCTTCAATTCGTAACCAGAGCTTAATGGCAATTTTCTCACCATCATCTTCTTCTGCTAGCTCTACCCGCACACCAGTTTCTTCTTGGAAAAATGCATGATTCAGAAGGTCCTTGATAGCATACCTGAATGTAGGAGAAAGAAAAGAACAAGAGAGATTGAGGAAGGGGAGCCATGTCAAGTTTTACTGAGAAGTAAAAAAACACCCAATTATTTCCCCATTTTCCAAATGGATTAGACATAAAGGTAGTCCCTGTGTTATAAACATCTGACTTATTAACAATTCACAGTTAAGAACAGGGCTCAGATAACAAGAAGTGAGAAATCTATCCCTAGAAAGACAAATTCACTCCTGAAAGAGTTACCATGGAGAAAAGGTATCTTAACTGAAGCTTTATCACCAATCCTTGTTTCCACAACAAGCCACATTTTTCAAAATCCAATTATCACAATGATGGAGAGTAAGGTGAAATTTTCTGAACAGGGGCACAGACAGCAAAACAAACACCACAGTGTAAACCACTGCATACTTGGATCACGTGATTTTAATGTTTTTATTAGGTACTAGCTGTGCCCTGCCACGCGTTGCTGTGGCCTATAGTAAAACTTATCAAAGTTGAGGTAGATATCTGGACTATTATGAAAGAGAGGTACCTACCTATTCCTTCCCCCTTTTCCTCCCCCTTTCTCTCCTTTCTTCCTTCTCTACCTCTCTTTCTTTCCTTCTTTCACTACTTGGTTTCATCCTTCTCTCTTTCCTTCATTCCCTCCCCTTTCTTCCTTTGCCTTTCTTCCCTCCCTGTTTGCTTCCTTCTTTCACTTTTTATTTCCTTTTATTTCACCACCATCATAACAATAACAATAATGCAATGCATTGCCTCTGGGACCTGACACCTCTCCCATTCCCCCAGGGTCTCACAGGAATAATAGCATCATAATAATCATAGAAATAACAACCTTTACCCGCCACGCGTTGCTGTGGCCAACCTTCCCTCTTTCTCTCCTTCTTTCCCTCCTTCCTTCCTTCCCTCCCATCTTTCCTTCTCCTCTTCCTTCTCTATCTCTTTCCTTCCTTCCCCCTTTTTCTTTCTCTTCTTGTCTCTTTTCTTCCTTCTCTCTTTCCTTCTTTCCTTCCCTCCTCTTTCTCTACATCTTCCCCCTTCCTTCACTCCCTCTTTCCTTCCTTCATTCCCTTTTTTCTTTCCTTCTCTCCTTCCTTCCTTCCCCTTTTTCTTTCTTTTGGTCTCTTTTCTTCCTTCTCTCTTTCCTTCTTTCCTTCCCTCCCTCTTTCTCTACATCTTCCCCCTTCCTTCACTCCCTCTTTCCTTCCTTCATTCCCTTTTTTCTTTCCTTCTCTCCTTCCTTCCTTCCCCCTTTTTCTTTCCCTCCCTCTGTCTCTCATTTCTTCCTTCTCTACCTCTTTCCTTCCTTCCCCTTTCTTTCTCTTCTGCTGTCTCTCTTTCCTTTCCTTCCATCTTTCCTTTTCTTTCCTTTTCTTCTTCCTTCTTTCTCTAACTTTCCTTCCTTCCCCCTTTTTCTTTACCTCCCTCTCTTTCTTCCTTCTTTCCTTCCTTCCTGTCTTTCCTGGATTTTGACAGGGCGGAAGGGGCGGGGGGGGGGTTGAAGGTGGCGTGAAGTAAAAGGAGGTAAGATTGGGGCGGGGAGTGATGGAGCGTGAGGTGTGTGTGTGTGTGTGCGGCAGCGGGGAGTGATGGAGCGTGGGGTTGCGTGTGTGTGTGCGAGCGGGGGGGGAGTGGGGTTGCGTGTGTGTGTGCGGCGGCGGGGGTAGTGATGGAGCGTGGGGTTGCGTGTGTGTGTGCGGCAGCGGGGGGAGTGGGGTTGCGTGTGTGTGTGCGGCGGCGGGGGGAGTGATGGAGCGTGGGGTTGTGTGTGTGTGTGCGGCAGGGGAGTGATGGAGCGTGGGGTTGTGTGTGTGTGCGTGCAGCAGGGGGGTGTGTGTGCGGGAAGCGGCATGGCGGGGCTTGGAGTGGGCATGGCTTCCGCAGAGGGAACTGTGTGCGCGCGCCAGGGAACTTGCGGCTGGGCACCAATGTGCATGCTCAGTTGTTTTGCCGTTTTGTGAGTGTGTTGTTGTGTTGTTTTTCATTTTGAGTAGATATGTTTGTACCTTGTGGGTTGTGTTATGGGCATGGCAATTTTGGTTAAGTTTCGTTGGGGGGTTGTGGAGTTTTGTTGTTTTGCCGTTTTGTGAGTGTGTTGTGTTGTTTTTCATTTTGAGTAGATATGTTTGTACCTTGTGGGTTGTGTTATGGGCATGGGAATTTTGGTTAAGTTTCGTTGGTTTTTTTGAGTTTTGTTGTTTTGCCGTTTTGTGAGTGTGTTGTTGTGTTGTTTTTCATTTTGAGTAGATATGTTTGTACCTTGTGGGTTGTGTTATGGGCATGGCAATTTTGGTTAAGTTTCGTTGGGGGGTTTGTGAGTTTTGTTGTTTTGCCGTTTTGTGAGTGTGTTGTTGTGTTGTTTTTCATTTTGAGTAGATATGTTTGTACCTTGTGGGTTGTGTTATGGGCATGGGAAGTTTGGTTAAGTTTCGTTGGGGGATTTTTGAGTTTTGTTGTTTTGCCGTTTTGTGAGTGTGTTGTTGTGTTGTTTTTCATTTTGAGTAGATATGTTTGTACCTTGTGGGTTGTGTTATGGGCATGGGAAGTTTGGTTAAGTTTCGTTGGTTTTTTTTTTTGAGTTTTGTTGTTTTGCCGTTTTGTGAGTGTGATGTTGTGTTGTTTTTCATTTTGAGTAGATATGTTTGTACCTTGTGGGTTGTGTTATGGGCATGGGAATTTTGGTTAAGTTTCGTTGGGGGATTTTTGAGTTTTGTTGTTTTGCCGTTTTGTGAGTGTGTTGTTGTGTTGTTTTTCATTTTGAGTAGATATGTTTGTACCTTGTGGGTTGTGTTATGGGCATGGGAATTTTGGTTAAGTTTCATTGGGGGGTTGTGGAGTTTTGCTGTCCGGTTGAACCAACCTAACAGATTTATATATATAGATTTTCATTCTTATATTTCATGTTTTGAATGTATTTTTATTGTATCTTACGATAAATTGTCCCATTAATTTTATACTTTGTTATGGTGTTGATTGTAATTTGGTGTATGTTCGTAAGGCACCGAGTCCTCCCAGGGGTAAGAAAAGAGGTATATAAATATGGTAAATAAATAAATAAACCCTTCCCTTGCTATCCAAAGTTAGGGAGTTACACTTAAAAATGTACCTGTTCCAACTTACAAACACATTCAACTTAAGAACAAACTTGCAGAACCTATCTTGTTCGTAATGTGGAGACTGCCTGTATCTATATATATAAATTTCCTCCTGGCGTCGTATGAGGAAACAAAACTCCAAAACCCCCCAACGAAACTCCACCAAACTTCCCATGCCCCAAGGGCAACCAACAAGGTACAAACTAATCCAGTCAGAAATCAAAAACACAAAACAACAACCACAATAAACGGCAAAGCAACTGAGCATGCGCACTACCGCAAACTCCCCGCCGCGCGCACACTCCACACTTTCCTCCCTCCCTTCCGGCAGCGCTCTCCTCTCCTCCTCTTTTCAGACTGAAACACAAAGCGGGGCATCGGGAAAAGGGGCTCCAAAGGGGGGCACCAGCAGCAGCAGCAGCAGCCCACTCCCTCCGGACAGAGTGACCACAAGGACCGCGACGCAGCCAGATCCCTCTCGGTGGGCTTCGGGGTGGACCCTCATCGACCCCCTTTGTCTCGCCCCTCGCCTCACCACAAACAGGCAACCAAGCCCCGCACGCTTCCACCGCCCACACAAACACACACACACACACGCACCACACTCCTTCCCCCCGCCCCCTTCCCGCACCGTTAACACCCATCCCAACTCCCCCTCCTCCCTCTAACCCAGCTCACGTCACCACCAAGCCACGCCCCCTTCCACTCTGTCTACACCCATCCCAACTCCCCCTCCTCCCCCCCCCCCCCCGCGCGGCACACACACACACAGGCTCCCTCACTACCTGTTGGGAAAGCAGCAGCAATGGCAGCAGCAACGGAGCATCCACGCAAGGAAGAAGGGGAGGGGGGGAGGGGGAGGAGGAAGGTCCACGGTGCTTGAATGAAGGACCTTCCTTCTCTCCCTCCCCACACTTCTTTCCTCCCTTTCTTTCCTTTTCTTCCTTCCTTCTCCTTCCTTTCCTTCTTTCCCTCCTTCCCTTCCTTCCTGTCCTCCTTCCTTTCCTCCCTCCCTCCCTTCCTTTCCTCTTTCTTCCTCCCTCCTTTCTTCCCCTCCTTCCTTCCTTCTCCTCCTTCCCTCCCTCCCCTTTTCCTTCCTTGACTGTCCCTTCCATTTAATAAGGAAATGAAGGGGAAGGAAATGAAGAATGGGAAAGAGGGAGGAAACGAAGGAGGGACAGGAAGGAAGGAAAAAAGGAGGGGGAAAGAAGGGAAGGAAGGGGGAAAAAGGAGGGACATGAAGGGAGGGAGGAGAAGGAAGGTGGAACAACCAAAAATATTGTGTATCCACAAGTATTAGTAAATAACAGTTCTTAAATACCACTACTTTGTCAGTACTTTATTTTCCATAACAACACACTACGCCACAGCAACGCGTGGCCGGGTACAGCTAGTTTCACATAAGAATTAAATCTTATTCCAGCAACTTACACCCAGCCCACATTTTCCAAGTAAAGAGAATACATACTTATTTTCAAGTTTGGTTTGTGTTCATATGAACCATAGTTTAGACTAATAAATTGCTGTGGCAGATTCTGCAACAGATTTTGATGAGCAAGCAAATTGCTGACTATATGAGCATAAGACAGGCTTTTGAAATTGCTAACAAGTACTACTTATTAAAATGTAGAGAAAGGGTAAAATGAGTATAACACAAAACAGTAGTCAGTTGATAAGACACCAACTATCTCTCCCCCCGCCCCATTTTAATAGATCCCACCCCTAAAGAAAGATACTTTTTAAATGAGATGCATGGTTCATGAGATGATTATATCGCCTCTACCAAAGGATTAGGAATCACTTATACCTAGAATTTCAACAGGACACACTCCTAAATCAAACTAAGAGGCTTAACATGCACTTTGCTTTTTGAGATAACACCTGCAAAACAAATCCAGCCTTGTGCATCTGACCATTTAGGGATTACACACTGTAGTACTTATATTCACTAGGGAATCTCTAACCAATTTTAAATAATTGTTGCTTCATGGCTCCATTCCTTCTGCCTAGTCCAATAGGAATCAGCACTTACCTTTCATCTTTGTTTTGACGGATGCATCCCTCAATTATTTCCTTTACTTCAGGAATTGCTACTTTATCAAAGCTGGCTGGCTTGACTCCCTGAAACACAGAAGCAGCAATGGGGAAAGATGACAACAAAACATGCACTTTTGACAGAGCAAACAATCAGACATGGTGATTTTTACTATTATTTTTAATCACATCAACACTTTTGTTCTTCACATACAGGAAATGCATGTGTAGTTTGGGATTATATTTTGTTTTCTGAAGAAACAATTTTCTTTTCAGCAGTTTGAATTACATTAGCATAATCATGGGGACTAGACCTTTATTTTAGCACTCCAATACCCTCATATAGTGTTTGTTTTTCCATTGCACTGGGCCTTTGTTATCAGCTGGGGTTTGATTCTGGGCTCCTGTGTGGATACCAAATTCGGTGGATTCTCAACTCCCATTATATACAATGGAGCAATAAAATGACGTCCTTTATATAAAATGGGGTGGGGGTGGGGATGAGTATTTTATCGACTGGTGAACAGTTGGATATGGAGGGCCAACTGTATCAATATGTTATTAGGTTTATTTATTTATTTATTTATTTACTCTATTTGTATCCCGCCTTTCTCTACCCCGAAGGGGACTCAAGGCGGCTTTACATATGGTAACTATTCAATGCCTTTGGACAACAACAGTTAGAATACACTTACGTTTTAAACAATTAAAATTAAAATTAAATGCACATTAAAACATATAAAATATTGCATACACTCATTCAAAGCCATAACCGTAAATACTTGTGTAACTTGACTTCAAATTCTTCCAATTGACTAAAAAGCTTCAAAATTAAGTATTATAGTTCTAATTATAATAGACTTTTTGGTACATGTATTATTCAGGTTACAAATCCATACTTTCTGCACATAGATCTCACATGCATATGAATTTTTGAACTCAATCTTGATATTTAAGAGCTTTCCCCCTTTTTATACAAAAGAAGCTTCCTCTAACAAATTCTTCCCATAGGAAGAAAGGTTGGTTTTAGTCCTATGAGCTGGAAACAGAGAAACATAAGTAAAATTACAATGTCCTCAGAATGTCCTCTGAATGTCCCCTGATCCACAGAAAATACTTAAGAGAAGGGGGCCTTCATGCTGTCACTAAGCTGTTAGGGGAAACAACATTTTGCCAGCCACTTTTAAGTCATTTCTCTGAAAGCAATCAATTGTTATAGATACTAATTGTTATATAAACTAATGTAGAAACGTTATTCCTTTTTCAATGTCACATACAGATATACAAACAAAGTCCAGAGAAACCCAGTAGCCAATCAGTAATGTGGGGACTGCCTGTATTTCACATATGGGTTAATCTACTATAGATTTAATGAAGTTTGGCACCACCTTGGCTCAATGCTATGGAATCCTGGAATTTGCAGTTTGGTGAGGCACTAGCATTTTTTTTATTTTGCAGAGAAGACTACACACCACATACAACTTCCATTATTCCATAACACTGAGCCTTAGCAATTAAGTGGTATCAAGCTCCGGTCTTTCTAAAGTGTAGATGCATCCTGTGACTACAAAATGTTTAGTTCAAACTTTCCTGCTACCCTAAACCAATATGTGACCTACAGCAAGTCAGTTTCTTAGTTTCAATACTCTTCCCTGCCAGGGATCTACCAATATAGAGGTAAGCATACTTTCAAAATAAGTATTACTGAAAACATGAATCTCTGAAAGCATAACAATTTACAGAAATTATAAATACTCCATTTTACACGTTCACTGGTCTGAAAAACTGGATGAAATTCAAAATTACCATTCCAGAGCTTCTGGAACAGAAGAAATCCTACATGAACCACACTCTCTTTTGCAATGGACTTCCAAGGACGTGGAAGAAGAGTCCAACATACTAATAACAACATGCTGAAAGATGTATTTTCTACAGAACCAAGTTGAGTTCTTATGTGCTCAATCAATTCCTAAAATAAAGCATGAGCACTAAAATGGAAACTGCTCATGTTTATACAGCATCATATGAGAAAAGCTGAAATTACTCAGTTTCCTTGTGAGGTTAATTTACTATTAAATTTAACCTTGCATGTGTAGAGCGCAGATTCCCACAACTCAATTACATGACCTGAAATTTCCAAATCCCTTCCAACTGAAAGAGCTAAGCTAATCTGGCCCATATAAAATATGACCCTCAGCTGCCTACCTAGCAATTCATTTATGCCAAAACTGTTACAACCCTATCGGAAGTTAAGGAAGTCAAAATATAAAGCCAGGACTGCTGAGAAAGCAAAAGAAATGGACAATTCATTTTTGAAAGTCCTGTAAAATTATATCTCATTTAAGTCTGTATGACCAAAATTCTTACCTCTTTATTATAATCCTTGTGGGAATTGCAGCAACAGTGTGAATTTATGATGACAAAAACTGGACAGAAATCTTTCTTTGAAAGATCCATGAAGACACAAACACACACACACACACACACACACACACACTTTTGTGTACAAAAGTACACCTATGTGAAAATGTGACTGGTTAAATTCCAGTTTTAGCGCACAGCAGAAGGAAAACAGACACTAAGCTTTGAAGGAAACATAGTCTCCTTATTTACAGTTCTCATTTCCTTCATACTGTGTGATAGCATACAGAAACCAGAACTGAGCTCAGAGCTGTCCAGGATCCAAAAGACAGAGAGAGGGAGGGAGGAAGTATGCACAATAATAAAGAGGAAAGTTCAGCTTCAGACCCCTCCCACAGAGCCTCCTCTCACATTTCTGGCAAATTTGCATCTTCTACAACACAAAGAAGTTATTGCAATGCTATTAATCAGTTTGTTAGTTCTAAATTCTATTGCCTAATTCAATTGTTAATCTCAATCAGATTAAGCCTGTGAACATCAAAGGAACTGAGTAAATAAATCTTTTTTTTTATTATTCAATGGGTCTAGTTTAGACAAATAATTGGACTTATTCATTATATATAAGAAGCACTACATTGGGTTGTTGTAGGTTTTTTCGGGCTATATGGCCATGTTCTAGAGGAATATAGCCCGAAAAACCTACAACAACCCAGTGATTCCGGCCATGAAAGCCTTCGACAATACATAGCACTACATTAACTGTATCACTGGGATGTTATTCAGCCATTATAGAAATGTGTCCAAATTGCTCTATTTGCATATTTTTCATTGTTATTTCTGATGTTGTTTATTTGATTACCCATGATTCGATGTGTTTTGTTTTGTTTTTCTTTGGCATTTAATATTTGTTAATTTTTGTTGTAAACCACCCTGAGTACCTTTTGGGAGATAAGGCGGGATAGAAATAAAGATCATCATCATCATCATCATCATCATCATCATCATCATCCATTTACAGATTTCCCCTTCCCCACAAATATGCGGAATTCATTAAGACGTTTTGTAAGCTTTCATGTAAGAAAATTTTCTAAATTTTCTAAAGCACAGAAGTTTACTCAATAAATGCATGAATCTACATGCAAATCACATCTGGCACACATGAAAACTTCTGTAAATACATAATTTTTTTCTCTACATGCTCAAAGTTGTGTTTGATGAGGAAACACTTATAACACTGATCAACCCACACTTTGCTGCCTCAAATGTTAAAGCTGTTTCTGGGTATATTTGACCTGCTACTTCCAAAAATGGAACCAGTTTTCCACTATCAGCTCTAGTTTTTGGGATACAGAACATATGCCATATACCACTCTTCACTTTGCTTGCCCATAAAAAAATCAGGATATTTAAATGTAGAGTTTTAATTAATATCTTTTAAGCATGAAGAAAACACAGTAAAAATTAAAAGAAGTATACTGCATGAACACCTACTTATTCCATACTGGAAACAAAGTTGTATGGTGCAAACTTTCCAATCATTTAACACACCATATGTAAGAAACTAGAGCTTATGTGGTTTATCCAATACAATTTTCTGAAATCTGTGCCCCAAATAATCAGAGGAGGAGGCCTAAAAACCAAGATACCAAGAATATTTTTGGTTGAGCTGTGAAATTTGCACATAGTCTGTATTTGTATTTCCCAAATGTAAATATTAGAAAAATGAGAGTTAATATGGTCCTTTGGATTTTCTCCAAAACAAGACATTTAAGGTATAGAGCCTGAAAGGAATTTTACTCTAATCACTTTAATTTATTTTTAGCCTGTCATTTATTATGTTAGCGAATGAACTTTAGCCTTCAGTTTCACAAACAAGGTACTTTGAAAAGTCTATTACTTTCTGCTAGGCAATTTTGGTACTAGTCTAAACTAGATGCAGGCTGTTACTATTAGAGGAATTTTAAGAGGAACCCATGATTTCAATGGAAAAAAAAGTTAACCCTCCCACAAACCTTGAGGCAGTACTTTGCAAGGTAATTAATTTATTCCAGGAGGCCTGCATGCTTGACATCCTCCTTCCTGGTCCACAACTTCCCTGTTAAACTTAACTTTTATATAGCAAAAGGGGTGTGGGGAGATAATTCATCGATTTGAACTAGTGAAATCCTACTGGATCAATATACTAATAAAATCTTGTTATAACATTCATATATATGTAATAAAAGTATTCTTAATTATGCTTATTTATTTATTTATTTATTTATTAGAGACACAATCAAATTACTTGTGATGGAGGCTCCTTCTTTGGAGGCTTTTAACCAGAGGCTGGATGGCCATTTGTTGGGGGTGCTTTGAACACAACTGTCCTGCTTCTTGGCAAGGGGTTGGACTAGATGGTCCACCAGGTCTCTTTCAGCTCTATGATTCTATGAATTGTCCCATGAAGTCTATGGCTCCCAGAATCAATTTAAGCCAACATGCAAGTATGATCAATTGATTCAGTGGGCCTACTCAAATGAAAACAAACATACTGCAGGGCCTAAACCTGAGGTACTGTATAGTCTAAAGCAGTGATTCACAATCCTTAGTACTTCAGACGTTTGAGACTTTCCTAGATACTGTGTGCTGCCCATACTTTTGAGAGATGAAGTCCAAATCATCTGGATAACCAAAAGAATCACTGCTGAGGCAATTGATTTTTAACTGAATCTAAAAATGTTACTTGC